GGGGGGGGTTGTCGATATCCATGGGTGTAGTGTAAGAATTCTACGACAGCTAGGCACGATGACATTCTTCAGCATTTGACCTTGGTTTTTCGAATCTGGCTGATTTTCACGACATCACTCATCAGATGCCTTCTGCCAGAGCGATTGCATGCCAAGAGCGCTTTCGAGTTGCACGAATGCCTAGAAAGACTGAAAGCATTGGTTCTGCATCTTCCCAACTAGGATAAGGCTGTACATTGTTTTCCCAATTGGGCAGGGTGATCGGGCAATTGCGCGGCTCCTTGTTTAGACAATGCTCTCTCTTCTACGGGGAATTTGCGAGGCCGGAGAGGGGTGAGAAATGGAAAATGTATATGAAGTGAGGAAATGTTCGCGGCAAAAGATATTTAGTCCTCATTCATTTATTGGCACACATCTCTTGCCTGACCAACCCCGGCGGTTTTCAACCAGCGCTTCTTTATCGGAGGCAACTGATACGGTTCTCGGATCGCAGTCAATTTCCTTTGAGACTGTCTCTGAAGTTCCAGGTAGGTAGGTTACCGAGGGATGGGAATGAGGACGAGAGGGTGTTGCGGTGTGATGGTGTGGAGGAGTGGAATGAGAAATTGGGTCTTGAGCCACGGGGCGTGGAGGAGGTAACGTTTGGGGATGCGGCGAGGAAGCTTTTGGAGCTGGAGAAGATTTTGGTCTGGGGTTGGTGACGTGCGACTTGCTGGGCTCGAGAGGGGATGCGATTTATGAACTTGAGCGAGGTTGATCTAGCTTTCTGCTTGATCTTCATTCAATTCGACCTTCGTAGTTGAGCCTTTGTGAAAGCGCTGCGGAGACGTCCTGTTGAATTGCAGTTGCTGTAATTCATGTGGATGTGGGTGGGATGAGGTGAGTGGTGAGAAAGGCATCAATGATCTTTTGTTGACTTTAGCACCACCCTTCATCGCCAAAAGCTGTTGCGACCCATACATAACCAGCAGCAATTAGTTAAAGCCACGCAGCTGCAAAGGATGCCCATAACCTCGATGAGGAGATGATTGGTTTCACTGTAAACTGGTCAGCAAGGATATCATGCCTTTTCCAAATATAGTAAACACGCTATATATGGGTTGGACCCCCCGGGCCTGAAGGCGGAAGCTTCGGAGCCTGTGTTGGTTGATGAATTGAGGGGTCTAAAGCTGATTGATATCTGATCCAGGATTTAAGTAGGCCCGGATTTGGATGTAGTGGTGATGATGATCTGCGATGCAAATTGGGATCCATGAGTTAGATATTCTAGAATCCCATGCCAGCAGACCAGAGGTGAATTCGGTGCCAAGTGTCTTGCTCGTTGCAAACTCCCGTGATAAGAGTATAATATTCATAGCCCAGTTGTACCGTCATACATCTTCTCACCTTAGGTTGGTGAATCAGTGGACGTTCTTGATCTTGCCGCTCCCAAATAAATATTCACAGAGCACTCCCGACATGGACGCCAGTCCATCTCAACCAACTGACACTCACTCCCCCAACTTCCGAAGCTGAATCGAAGAGGGCATTGAAACAAAACGAAATTCGTTTTGGATATCTCGAGAAGACGAAGCTGAGGTGGGGTTGTGTTGTAGAGGAGAGTATTGTACGGCAGCCAGATCGCCCCACCAACGAAGCTGAGCGTGAGTCGACAAACGAACGTCAGCTTTGCGCTGCGAAAAGTCGTGGAGATCTCATCTACTCTTTAGTCGCCTCTCTTCTCTTGTGAGTCAGGTCTACTATTATTTCTGCCTTTGCTCAACTCCTCCTCCTGCTCCTGCTCCTCCTTCTCCTCCTCCTCCTCCTCCTCCCTTCCTTCCTACCCTCCTGACTATGGCCTCAGGCCCGACAAGCTCGACCAAGCGCAGCTTCACATGGACAGAAACATGCGCGAACGCGTGAGCAGGAAACGGAAGAACCCCGACACCAGCACCACAACACCACGACACGGAACTTCCTCCTCCTCCGCGAAACAGAGGAAAAGAACGTCCAAGACCAAGAAGGAAAATAGGACTCAGGACCCGAATGGGTTCTGGGGAATAAAACGGATCGTCAAGCAGGAATACCGAGACGGGAACATATGGTATCTGGTCGACTGGGAGGACGACGAGGTCACTGGAGAGTCGTTTCCTTTCGAGTGGGTAGGTTATACTATTCTTGAAGTTGAAGGGGGAAACTGAAGTTGATGAGTCCATTGCTAACATTCTCTTCTAGAGGCACCACTCAGACGTAACATCCGACGCCCGCGCTGAATGGCAGAAGAGTTGGCAGAAGCAACCAAGCAATACCAGTACTGTCGCGGCCTCAACGTCCGACGACAATCCTGACAGTCAGCCCATACGCCCTGCCAAAGTTCGGAAGCTCGTATCTAGGGCAGAGATCGCTGCAGAAGAAGAGCGATCGCGGGCCGCCAGTACTGGAATTCAAGCAAGCTTGTCGCAACCTGTGGAGCAGCCGGCCCCGCGACGTGAGATTCCTGATAGCTACGAGGAAAGTGCCCCCGTGGAACCCGAAGCGGGGCAGTCCGAAGCTAGGGAATTTCGTGTGGAGGTAGGAAGGCCCAAGGATTTTGAGACCTCCGAATACGCGGCCGTCCAGGCGACTCAGCCGTCTCCTGCTGAAGTCGCCAGTGACCTGGTTCCTTCGTCTTTATCAACCCCAGCTTTCAAACGACCGAGGAGTCGACCTCACAAGCCAAAGCAGTTTGTCTGGGACGAGGATATCGAAGAAGAGATTCCAGATTCACAAGAAAACGAATCGTCGTCTTTCAAACCTTCTTCCGGAACAGTAACATCGAGACCTGACTATACGGCGAAGAATACTCAGATAAACACAGAGGCATCTCTTGTCCGAATCGAGTTTCACGTTACTAAGCTGGTATCGTCTAACAGCCACTCTGGCATCACCGAGAGCCACTTAGCAGCCGAGCCTGCGAGAGAAGAGAATATTGAAAGTTCAGAGCCGACTTCAGCTCAACGTTCATCGAGTGAGGAACCCTCCAGTCAATCTGGCCGTTATCCGTCTGCACAGATACGATCCCCAGCTGGAAACCTTCTATCTCAATCGCAATCTCCCGAGGGACCACGGTCTGACTCGGTCGGACCAGACCAGCTGCTGTCAGTAAATAGCGTGGATTCTGGTGAGGAAGAGAGACGAGAAACAGCAAGCCCTGTGGTGGATAGTCCAGACCCCGGTGATTTGGAGATTCGAGGAATAGCAAGCCCTGTGGTAAACTGTGCACAGACCCAACACCCTCAACTACATTCTCAGTTTCTTCAAGACTCACAATTGCAAGCTGGAGCATCTCCAGCAAGATCCATATCTCACCCTACTAACTCGCAAGCCTCAGAGCCCATCTCACATAGTCAACCTTCCTCTTTGCCCCAATCTCGTTTTCCTCATATTGGAAATTCACAGGACGATTCAAGAGAGATCAATCTACCTTCAGGTGACACTTTTCCCGACCTAGAGCCCGAAGCATCCGGAATAGATCAAATCGACGATACGCAAAAGTCCTCTAGTAGCTCTGGATTTCGAAGCCAAATCTCTACATCGAGCCATCTTCCTAGTCCCCCGGTCGAGGAAGTCAAGCAAAGCATTGAACAGAACGAGGAAGCAACACCGGTCAAGTCGTCTCAGTTTAAAGAGCCTGTCTCTAGTCCGTCAAGCCTATTGTCAACAACGGGGATTTTCGCAACGATGGAACCAAGTATTGAACCGTATGTATTCGGGGAGCTCGTCCTCTTGTTCCGGATACAATTCCTCGTCCATTTCCCAAATCAGTGCTATTATCAAAGTTGCTGACTCACTTTAGAATTGCTCCTCCACCACCTTCGGACCCAACCTCAAAATTAAAGGCGATAATGGCTGAATTAAGAGCGAAAAGGGCATCGGAAACAGCCGGAGCTTCTATGGCTTCTATATCCCCATCACCAGCACCCTCATTTCGAAGAGAAGGAGCTTCCATAGCTTCTTTATCGGTATCTTCTGCAGCACATCTGCAGAATGAGCGAGCCGCTGCTGCTAACCAAGAAGTACTGGTACAAACGGCCGAAGAGACGTCAACTCCTGCAGTAATACAAGGCTCTCAGATTGTCGAAGCCATATCCTCCGAGTCTCCACCTCCTCCGCCACTCACTAGGTCTCCTAAAGCGTCCCCAGAGCGTCGGCAGCCAAGTATTGAGCAAGAGCTGGTCCTGGAGCAAGAGTCAGCTACAGAGCATACTTTGGATTCACCGCCACTTGATGTTCTTCCTTTACGAAAAAACGAGTTCGACATACCTTTACCCATCGTGGGCCTTACGAGAGGTATTTACGTTCAGGTAATTGAAGCTCACGAAGCCAAACTTTCTTTCTACCGCAAGAAGGCGGGCTTCTACAAAAGCATTCTAGTAGAGATCAGCTCTTTGGTGGATGATCTTCATAAGGTTTGCAGCCATATAGGCTTACTGGAAAACGACGCATCGCAAGAAGCGGTCTCGCCGGCAGAGCAAGCTAAATTTGCAGAGAATGTCAGTACGAAAGCCATTTTTCTCGCCGAATTCCTGCCACTATTGAAAGAAAGTAATGAGCATATCGTCATTCTGGTACGGCCTGGTAAAATGTTGATGATTTTGCAACATCTCTTACTTCAGCACCGAATCATGCACTGCCGGGCAGATCAGCCAGGATGGAAAGAGACAAGAACATCGGGAAATCTATTCCGGGTTACTCTTTATCCCACGGGTATTGAAAGATTCAAGGTTGATCCACCTTCGCTTGTCATTGCTTTCGACTCGACCGCTCAATCGGCACCTCAGCTCAGTGAGTTGCGGACTTCAAGATCCCTGGACCATCCAGTACCTCTATTCTCTCTACTGGTAACCAACTCGATTGAGCATCTGGAAAGGTGTTTTGATTCTAGCCTCGAGCCTTCCGATAAGAATTTTAAGCTTTTAAGATGCATCATCCAACTTATGGATCGGGTTGGCGACATTGACGAGGCTGTTTATCATTCTCCGCCAGATGCCGCTAAGGTTGCCGCCGAATTCATACGTGACGGAGGTGCTTGGCCACTATTGCCGATGCCGGAAATAGAAGGACTCGACCTGAGCCTTATAAACAGCCAGTCCCTGTCTTCGGAAGAAGCAACGGCTTCGGCGTCCGAAACTTACAGCGTGTCTTCTCTGCAGGTTCTCCAACCAGGTTTTAAGCGGGACTTGGTGAGGCCCTCACCATACAAGAAGATTATTTTGATCTCACACTAAAATTTCTCAGGCTACAGAAAACTCAGTCGAAACAAATCCATCAAAAAAACGAAGATTTACTCCGGTATTGGCCGAGTCTGACAATTTACGCACCAGTGACACTATTCCGTGTTCGACGCCAGCAGGTTTAGATGAGCCAGAGGACTTGGATATCGATGCACTTCTGAAGAAGGTGAGTCGGCCCCTAGATTTTTATGGGCCGTGGTTGCTAAGATGCAGTAGGTCAACGATCTAGAATCACAACTGCGCAGCAAAGATGCTACGGAGCTAGAGATTTTAGAAATCAACTCTGATTTGGAGAGTCGCTGCAAGGACTATGAAAAGAGCATTGCTTCGATTCAGCCTAAATATCAAGAAGCCCTCGACGATAGAGGAAGCTTCGAATACGAGTGCATTCAGGCAAAAGCCCGCGAGAATTCAGGTCAGAAGCAGCTTGACGACAAAGATGCAAAGATAAAGAAGTTGCTTGAGAAGATCGAGTCGCTAGAAGCCGAGCTCGCCGCTGCGCATACCGCTCTCGCGACTTCAGCTAGCCCCAAAGCAGCCGAATTCGCCCGAATCAGAGAAGAACTCGAGCAGTCCAAAGCACGGGAATCACAGTTGCATAAACGTCTTACGGCCGCGAATAATGACCTCGACTACATACGCGATTCATACCAGACCGCGTCCGCGCGTGCCAAGGAGACACAAAGCAATTATACCACCCTCGTGTCCGAAAACACTTCGTACCGGGAAAAAAACAAGGTTGATATGGTGCGCATCCAGGAGATACAATCGGCCAACGAGAACGCGGAGCTCAGAAAGAGTAACAAGCAGCTAAGAGCCCGGGTGGGCGACTTGGAACGTGCGACAGAAAAGATGAGTGAGGAGCTTAAGGCGCTTACAAGTGGGCGCAGAGCGGTGAGGGCAGCCAGCGCGCCGAAGAGTATGAGTCCGGGCCCGAGGCAGAGGATGTTGCAGCTTAGCAGTCGGGGCAACAGTCCTACGCCACGGGAGATTGGTGCTGGCGGGAATGGGTACCCGATTGGAGCGGCGCTGTCGTCGGGGCCGTCGAACTTGAGAAATGACAATACTTCCTCCTCATGAAGGGTAGGGTGGGTAGATAGACGGTTGCAGATGGATGGAGGAATGGGATACCCGGAGGGTGGGTGGGTGGATTGTTCTTTGATCATTAGCGGGAAGGTTCTTTTATTTTCAGGGTGATGCATCATCAATGCCTCCTCCGCGTCAGGACTCTACTTGCTGTTTTTGTATTGCCTCTTGCATATTCGGAGGGATTGGCGCGAGAGGCATACCAATCGACGCAAATAGCTAAGCGCAATATAGTCGTCCATTCCAGTCCAGTCCTGCCTGGTCTTACAAACGTGTTTACATGTGTATGTGGGTGCGGGTGTGGGTGTGTGCGTACGGTACTGTGCACATAACAAGGTATGTATATCCGTACAGTGGACTGGTACGGTACTGATCAGACGAAAGGGGGAAGACGAGAATAGCAAGACAGACATTGCGGACGGGGTATGCCCGAGTCGACGAAGTACCGATTCGGATATTCAATCAATAGAGCGTGTCAGTGTCCGGGTGTGGGGTGATTGATCCATTATCGTGTATGTCCATCTCGGTATTCACTCTGCGTGTTTTGCTTATTTGATGGGAGGGGAGGGCGGATTCGGCAGTGTTGAAGAGGAGAAGGGAGAGGAATGTGTGGAATGGAAGGACAAGAAGGGGAGGGAGGAATGGAGGGGAGGATTACTTATGCGGGCAGGTATGCATGGCATTGTTGTTGTAAGTCGCTGTGCTTTGCGGTTTGGCTGTCGTTACTTGCTGATGTCGGTAGGTGGTAGGCACACACATCTGGCTGGGAATGTATGACCTAGGCTGCTTGTTACAGGCCTAGTGAGAGAAGCAAGGGAAAGAAGATATGTGTGATGTACCGGTAGGTCTATTCAGCCCAAAACACAGGCCATATCCCTAGCCTACTAGCACCGCAAAACCAAAACAGAACGGGCGCCCACATAATCTTCCCTCATCCTATAATACAGCAAAAGACCCCCACCACCTGCTCGTAGTTTAATCGACCAAGCAAGACCCGCAGAAGAAGTCTCGTTCTGCCCATTTCAATTCGTAGCGACTCGCTTTTTCCCGATTAATGCAGCCCGTTAGTGTACATGGAGGGGTTTCGTAAAAGTCAAAAGTAGGAAGATCCGTCGCTCTAGATACGCTCATCATATGCAAAGTTTGGAAAAGGAGGGCTGGTTCTACTTCTTCTCTGCAGAGAAGGGGGTATCGTTTACATCCTTGTTGCCGTTGCGAGCGGGTGTGGTGTGATGGTTGCCGTGTTGGGATTTCTCCTTTCGCGCGTCGTCAATTGCAGTCCTCTGCTGGATGCTGGAGTCGTGGCTCTTCCACTCGACTTTGGTATCAGGTGGGAAGCTGAGAATGCGTTTCATCGTCTCTCTGAAGACTGTTAGTATGGTGTCACGATAGAGAGGACTTGCACATACCTGATCCTTAGAACCCTCCCGCCATCATTGCGGGCCCAAATGCTCAGGATGTCCTCCCCGTTTCTTACACTCAAAACGGCTCCACAGACTTCCTCGCTGGCCTCTGCAAACTGATCTCCAATCAGCGCAAAGAGGAGATCCTCCCAGTATCTATCCGCCACGCCCTTCTTCAATCTGACGATCCACTTTCCACCCTTCTTATTCTCTTCATCCTCCCAGACAGGTCTGATGCCTTTCTTGAAGATATGGTAGTCCGAGACAAGTGGTAGGGTAGATGGACGCTTCAGGTGGCTATACAAAGTGAAGAACTCCTCCATCGTATCGAACTGCGCTACAGGATGCAATGTTTTCTCGTAGTCCACAAATCCATTCGACTTTGATATTGGCGGCCGGAACCAGAGCGCCCAGCTATGCCTCAAGTTATGCGCAGGTGGAGGTGTGAGAACCTTGGAAGTCGTGATGCTGGTCTTCGAAGGCTTGGAACCCAAGTCCCTGAGCTGCTTCTCGGCTGTCGGGGTTTTCGCGCCAATCGCACTGATGTAATCTAAACTGGTAGTTGCCTTAGGAGTCTTCGGGTTGGTATTGAATTTGGAGAATGCACCGGTTCCGAGTCCGAATGCGCCAGTTGCGCCACCGGTTGGGGAGGTGAGGGAGGATATAGGGGGGGCCGCGACATTGAAGGGGTTCTTGGTGGTGTGCGAAGACGTCTCCCCTGCTCTTCTGCCTATGGATCCTGAGAAGCCTACTTTCGATTCAGTGGAAGGCCGAGCGCCATTCGTGGGAGGAGGCCCCGTAGACACGGAGAGCTTGCTGGAGCTGGAGACATGTTAGCTTCGCGCTCGTGGCAGGTACGTACGAGACGGGGCGACTCACTTGGCACGGCGAGTCCAGAGATCCATAGGGAACGAGAGAGGGGGTATCTGAGGGTGGGGAGAGGCGATTTGCAAAAGCGGCAAGCTTTGTCGTCGGTGGACAGAGCTCGTGAGCTACAGACGACTTTCCAAGAGCTGTCTTTCCAAGTGGTCGCTGAGCTGATTTCGAGGAGTGGACGGCAGAGGCAGAGGCAGAGGCGGGGCGAAGGGAAATTGATATCTTGTACTAGCGGAAGAGATGTAGTACTGTGATGCTTCGATAAACGTTATTTTACTGAGTTGGATTGGGTTGGGTCGGGTTGGGGTGGGATGGAATAGAAAGAGTCGGGCTGGAGATGTTGGCTGTAGTTGTGGGTTGTTGTGCGTTGTTGTATGTCTGGAGAAATAATTGAAAGCCAGCGGGGCCCAATTCGAGGTGCCATCCAATTATTTGGGGCTAGCGACGGATACGGTCTAGCGCCCGACACCTCTCGTTTGGATAAAATGCAGAACCTTTCTTCCCTTCGTGCGCTTTCTTCTCCTCTTCCTTTCTTCAACAGCAAGACCTCCAACTCAAATCTTCGCCAGCTCGATCCATTCCACACTCAGCTGGCGACTCCGATGCGTGGTCAAGATCGATCTATCTTACGATATACTACCACTTTAAAACCATCGTAGGGAGGGCCCCTTCCTACTTGTAGGATGCGTGCGCTCCCATGAATCTATGATGACCTCAAGATGGCAACATGCTCGCAGCCGGGGAATATGGGGTAGATGGGAAGGGACCGCACATGCTACTTGATACTGACGGTGGTGAGATGAGATGAGATGGGACGAGACGAGACGAGATGTACGTAGCTTCTCTCTCTATCTATATTGCATCGCCGCAATGCAATCAAATGATGACAACACAACTCTGGTAATACGATTCAGCCCTCGTGCTCTGCATGCATGGTTAGTGGTTGAGTATGAGATTCAACATTGGCGAATAAAGTCTGATGAGATACTACGTGCAGCCTGCCATCGTGGGAACTCACTTCTTCCAGAAGCTCCAACCCTGGCTAACGTTCTTTCGGCGCCAGGCAGCTTCTCAAAGTATAGGGCGGGCAGATGCGGTCATATGTCGCACAGGCCGAAGGTGTGCTTCGATCAAGCCAGGATTTTCACGGTGACCAAGTGGTAGTCGACATACGTCCGACCAGTTCCACACCAAAGTTGAGTAAAGCTGGACCATGTTGCTTGCTTCAAGGTTTCTGGGACGTGCTCAGCACTCATACTATCATCGACCGGCTGCATCGCTCCCATGTACACCCACGCTTTCGCGAAACCAGTTCCAGCATCGAAATCGCATGACTGTTCAAGAGTACCGTTGTACAAAGAACTCCATGAGCTCCTTAGCCTCCCTATAACGTTGCCTCTGTCGTTGAAGGCGGCTTCGAGTGAAATGTCAACAGTATTTGTCGAGCGACACTCGTAAAGTCGAAAGTTGAGCGCACCTCTGGGCCGGTTCGTTGCACTCCATAGCACTGCTCCATTTTGGAAGCTTACCGGGTTACGCTTCGAGGACTGCTCTTGTCGAAGACTCTGAGTATGTAGCTCCGATAGCGGTGGCAGTCTCGTCTCGTATCTTTCAGAAAATTATCTGGACAGAAGGCTTCCAAGTTGCCCATTTTTGTGATTCGTCACAGGGAGGTGGACTTCTCACTTCATGATGTTATGAACCCGAAATTGGGTACATTTAATGTCTTCAAATGATTTACCTGTGACTCGCATGCTCTGAGTATGAAGCATACGAGCTCCTGGGACGCCTTTTGATAGGAAATATAGCAATAGGATTGGCGAATATCCGCTTTCATCAATTTTTCCCTTACCAGGCCAGGCACGCTTCTCCTTTCCTATTCACCTTCTATCGTCAACATCAGCTCTTCAAAGCTTCATTTGTAATATATATCTGAGTGGTAACCAGGATCATGCCATTTGAGCTGTCCCGCAGTTTCTGCCTTAGTCCAAGCGGCCAGCCATGAAAATCGGAGCACTACCACCAGCTTTACCATGTTCGGCATGAGGAATCTCAATTTGTCTAGCTTGTTCTTTTATTAGTCATGTCCCCATAACCGTATCTTTACGTTAGTATACTTCAAGACTTAAGAATACTTCAAAACGATGATAGCCACTCGGAAACCGACGGCTTATCTTCTCGCCTCATACCACGGCAGTTCTCTCGCAAAGAGAGCCGAATTTTGTCCACTATATCATGCATTGAAGAGTGGCCATCATCCGCTTCTAGAGATACCACGAGAGTTACGGAGACTCCGTATGCTACGGCCCAGATTAAGCCTCCATCAAAACATACACTGCGCTCCGGGCTATCCACGGGTGCAAAGCCACTCTCAGGGATTCAAGCTGCTGTCGAGTCTTCTTGCCAGCTCCAAAAGCTTAGAGCGACTGGAATTTTACAAACAAAGCTTTCCATGTATGCAAACGGCTCATATAAGTAGTTACATACTGCAATAATAAATACCCAGATATACATCTGCCTTCGCATTCTTCTACGCAGCCCCTAGAACCGTCGAACACCATGTCTCCACCAACTTTTGAACCTTCTACCCAACGCTCATCTACCAAACTCTATGATAGGAAGAAGATAGAGAGCAGCTCACAATACTCTCTCCTACTTCAAATACCTAACCCTCGTCGTTATCGACGAACATCTTTCCGCGAGAACTCCTTCAGCAAGCTACACCTCACTCACTTGTTTTCTTCGAACTTGACCCGTGATAGGAAGAAGTTCATCGATACCAGTCAACATGGTTTCACAGAAACTAGCCCTCAGGAGGCTCAGGTGGTGCCTGCTAGTGCCGATAAAGTTCAGTAATACTCGTGTCCTCGCTTAAGGGACTCACTGTTCAAAGTCGAAGAGGCTATACGCCCATGCTTCCTTCCAGAATAAGTTGACCCCGTGACTTGAACCCAGGTAGGTCCCCTGATTAAAAGGATAGTAACTTTGAAGTGCCTTCAGATCTAGGTGACTAATGACGGTTCCGACTTCCTCCCCAAGAAATTGCTGGAATAATTTTACTCAAAAACTCGGAGACCTGGGCACTTCTTCTCTCCGCAGTGTCGCAGATATCACCCATCACCCATCATCCATCCGTCATCAACCAGACCATTATTGCTACATTACGGACGTGGGCCTCGCATCAAAAACAAACACAGAAAAAAACGCTGGCATATCACATCACATTTAACATTTGCATCCTTCAACATCGCTATGACCTTTCCATCCGTCGCCAAACACCTCCGCCGGCTTCGCTCCCCCGTCTTGAATCCAACACCGTTTCCGAAGCCTGAGGTGCCACTTCTAAAGAGCGATATGTGCTTAGCGAACATCAAGGACGATCAGGAATGCCTGGAACCTGCCAGGGAACAAGCTGTCGCTCCTGTTATCGAGACAAGATGTTTGGTCTCTGCTGAAGAAAAAGAGCGCGATGTTCCAGTCGAGGAGGATCTTATGGTCTATGAGCACAAGAGCTACACCGAGAGCCTTACTTTTCTTCGCCCGAGTGAGTTTTGCACCGTGCTCAGAGCTTTGGGGAGCTTAGCAAAGACTGGCAAGACTGACTACCTCCAGAGCTAGGCCTCATTGCCGGCGAATCCGATGCCTACAAGACTGACCCGACCATCTTTGTAGGCATCGACCTCAAGTATCGCCCCGGTGTGAAGCAGGATATTTCTGAAGTTGGCATTGCCATCCTCGATTCTCGCGCCTTGAAGTTTCGACGCCGAGAGGGTCGCATATGCCCGCCGGGATTCCCAATTCGAGCCTACAATTTTACCGTGGCGGATACCCCGAACGCGGATTTTGCCTTTGGAAAGGCGGAGATCATAAGTGCCCAGGAGCTTCCTTCCCTTTTCAAGAAGGTCGCTTTGGGCCACATGGCACTCCAACCTCTTTACATGGCACCCAAGATCAGCGTCGTCTTCGTGGGTCGCGACATTACGGCGAACTTGGCTCGCATGGGCCAGGGCGACCCGAATTTCTGGAAGTCAGAAAATGGAATGTCGCTAGATGTTTCGGGTGTCATTGATCTTGACATCTTGACCGCGGATATGGGCCTCGTTCCGGCAAAGCTTGCAAAGCATCAGTTTCGATGTGCCGGTAATGAAGCCAACTATACCATCCGAGCAATGCTCAAGTATGTTCATTACAAGACCGATGTATGTCTTTCCGTCCCCGTGTCCTCATCTCTGTTGTATTCCCATGGTAATCTCCCCATACACGAGAGGAAACTAACCAAGCTAGGACTCTAATCCAGAGGTCCAATCAATGAGGGATTCGGTGCTCAAAATCGCCTCGGAAGGCCTTCCCGATGGTCTCATTGACGTCACAAACCTGGACGATGGTATCCTTTCAAGCAGTGAACCTACCGAACGATCATCTGGGTCGGCCGAGAGCTTCTCCTCTATGAGCAAGACTACCAGTGAGAAGTACAGCAAGGCAAGCGATACCATAGGACGTCGATTCTTAGTCAAATTGAAGGAGCTCACAGGAACTCACAAGAGGAAGCAACTTGGTCGCCGGATCAGCATGACCAATTTCTTCTCGGAGAAAGACTGCTTGGCTTAGGATTGTAAGTCGGCGAAAGGGGCGTATGGCGCATACATGCATGGTTTATACCCGTACAGCTAGGTAGCTGTGAATTGATTTCCGCTTCTCTCTTATTTTCGACTTTGGTGGACTGTGGACATTCGTAGGGTGCAATCGCAATAACCAGTGACGCGACTAAACCAGCGTATTTTCTCTCAGCGCCATCCACCACCTTGAAATCGGCAAGCTAGAGTTTCCACTGCGTGATTACGAGGGTACGGCCTGGGGCTTCGATCTCAGGGATGATAGTCACGCCTCTACCGGCTCAGGTCTGCTGCCTGCGCTCTAAGTCGGCTTGGTCATATGATTCATTGACGCGTTTGTTGAGTCCTGTGACTGCTGGGTCTGGGAAATCGAGATGAAATGCCGAGTAGAAATCGAGCTTTTCTTTCTTTGTGAGCTCTGGATTGACGGTGGGGCTGTCACTGAGATGGAGATGGAGCTTTTTCTGTTTGAAGAAAGATACATAGGAGCACATCTCGAGGATGAAATCAGGCGGGTAGTGATGCTTTGCCGCGTCCAGCTGTGCACAGTTGTCAGCTCTACCACTTCATGGCCACGGAAAATCCCACCACTAATCCTCGTACCCCCAAAGCCTGGCGTATCGACTGCACTACCGCTTCTCAACTCGGGCTCAAGACACCTCTTTGTAGAATCGAGATTGTCCCCCACCAAGCACCAAGCGGACTTGGCCCCGTGATCACAATCCCGTTGCCGGTCACTTTGATGGAGTACTTCGTATCCCTCTAAAATTGTTGAGCCTGCAGCGTTCAGGTATTCGCCCAGATTGCCAATGCTCAAAAATGTAGAATCCCTCGCAGCAGAAGTGCCTGTCAACACTGGGACTGCTAAATCCAAAGACGAGAGTAAGTTGGCCCTGAAGCTGTTAGAGAAACTCCTGGGAGTAGGTGGTAATAGGTTATCCCCTTTGGTATTGACGGCGTTCTTATTATTCTTGTCAAAAACGACGGACTGCAATTTCTTGAGAGAGAACGAGTATTTCGAAGCTGAGCCTTCAAATGTAACGGTAGGGATGCCGACCCATCTTGCGGCTGTGTCTCTGTTAATCGAAGTCCTGATCTTGTGCCAGGGACTTACAGATTGGAGGAGAAAAAAGCAAGAAGCCCACCGCTGAAGAGTTTCATGGATGTGACAGATATTTGTTTGACTTGTCAAGCGTCGATGTTCTTGGGCGAGCCACGAGCTAGGACACTGGGTTGTTGAAAGATATATTGTTATTTATCTTGATATATATTTTCTTTTGTATATAAAGATTGGAGGCCAGACCGAACCCAGCAAGCCCCGAGAATGACCCTGCGTATCTGCATACTGCATTTTTAAAGGTAAAGTAACGTTGCTGGGAAGCAAGATCTGCACGCTTTCCTATCTCCAAAGTAGGGGAAGCGTGCCATCTCGTAAGATATGGAGAAGCACGATTAAAATACGGAGAGGATGGTCGACTGGGCTCGAAACTGTGCGTGGTTTTGTCTGAAAACGAGAATGAGAACGTATGAATGCCTTCAAATGACTGTTCGAGTCATGTGACCGTAGGAAGACGGGTAGGCAAACCTCCATGACGACGCGATGTCCCACTAATGCCGCTTTCACCTTCAGGCTTCAACCTTCAACCCTCTCTCTACTTCCTTCCACATCACAACTCACAACTCCAGTTTTCCCGCTGAACATAGCGACTCCAGTGACTGAGCTTTGGTGAAAGCCCAAACACATCCTCATCGGCCACGGCGGCTGCGGGTCTCACTCATCATGGAGGGCTGGGAGGCTGAAGTCGACTTGGACTCGGTGGACTTCCCCTGGGAAATTAATAATCGATTTTTCTCCAAGAAGGAAGAGGATGAAATAGAGCTTTTCATCAATCAAGCAAGATTTCAGACGGAGGAACAGCGGCGCCGAGATGACTTCAAACAATATCTACGACGTCTCGAGAGCGAATTTGAGCGGAATGAAACCAAGATTCAGTCGCGATTGAAGACCATCATCTCGTACAAACTTTGGGTAGAGTACTATTCGCCGATCTGGCTCTCATTGTGGCTAATTCTCTCAGGGGCAAGACGTCGACAGCGTACGGACATCCCATGTGCCAGCTTATACCTTTACGAAATTCCCTAAGCTTCCCGTCGAGCTGCAAACAAGTATATGTAAGCATTCACACACTGCCTTGCGAGCTCTCAAGCAGAAGGCTATCAAGAAGGTTGCCCTATAGAAATAACTTCGCAGTGCTGATAGAAGCACAGGGTCTTTCGCCGCACGTGTCGATTCTCCCCAAACTCATCGGTTGTCTCTCATAGATTCTGAAGGCAGTGTATATGCAGATGACGACGTACGGAAACCAGACGGCATTGAAGTCTTGTGGGCCTGTCGAAAGTCAAGAGAAGTAGCTCAGAAGATTTTCACGTACCTAGAACTACAGAATAGTTGTGGTACGTATCGGGAGCCATACTTTGATATTTCCAGGGTTTCTGGTGATATGTCTCATTGCCACTATCGCTAACTTCTCCTTGATGTAGACGAAGGCCAACTCCAACTGGTCAATACTCTCTATGACAAATTCTCTATCTGTGGCCACCGCTGGTCTGATTTCAAAGTCTTGATCGATCAGGTGCTGCATTTCAACAATCCTGGGAAGATGATCAATAACTTTCAAAGAGACATACAGGGCATTCAGAAGATCCGTTTTCTCGCAGTGGACTTCAACATATTTAGCGCTATCCCAGTGCTTGTTTGGGAACAGTTTTCCAGTCTTGAGCTTCTTACTATCGTCACGTACCCATACTGCGACATTCGAGAGTTAGATTACACAGAAGATTCAGACCATAAGCTGGAGTTGATCAAGCCGCAAAAGTGGTCCATGTATGGGAGACGAGCTGATTGGATTCTGGAACGAGCAAGGAAAGCCTTCCAAGCAGCCAAGCAAAAAGGCGGCTTCCCCAAAAAAATACCAAAACTCGAAGTCCGTGTACGAAAGATTGACGACGAGGACTTCGACTATCTTGTACAGGAAGAGTGGACTGATGATATAGAGGACTACATGCAATTGCATGGTATTAACGAGTATGACCACGACCAGGATGACGAGCAAGGCCTGGACAGTGTTTGGTTTCAGCAAGCAAAGATGAGGATGCACCATGTTGTCGCACGACCAGAAATCGAGGCGTTGGAGCAACTTCATTACCCGGCAAAGGATGAGTAGTTCGTCCGAGTTCATGAGCTCTGACTAGATTGGGCAGACGTTGTTCCTGATCGATGTGTATGAGTTGTGCAATGGCTCTGACGAGATTGTGCAGGCGTCGTTTTTCCTGATCGATGTGTATGTATGAGTTGTGCAATGGCGACCAAAAGTATGGTGACAATTTTCGGGGCGAGCTATGTGTGTAGCATTGGCATAAGTCATAGTGTACAGATAGATGTGGAATTTGCATGTGGCTGAGCTGAGCAGAGCAGAGCAGAGCAGAGCAGAAATGAATACGGAGCTTCTATACAAAACTGTGCCAAGTCCGTCTTATATGATTTTCTGCATCTGATCTTGCTCTGTAAGTCATGTCCACAGGTACAGATCTCTGTTAGCAGTTTCACGATGCCTGGCCGGGCCGGGCCCGTACCCCGTCTGTTGTCATTGCACTGGCCTGAAAAGAACGCTTGGTCGCGGCGACATGACAGCCGAGCCACTTTTACGCTTCACCTACGGAGATGCACCAACAACGCTTTGTCTAGATACTAAAGGTACTACTTCGTAACTAGATGGAATGGAGCCTTTCCTCCAATTGAAGGAAGCATGGATCGTTTATCCGTAGGTTCCTCCGTATTATAATTTGTATTTACCCGTGAGTGCGTTGACCACGACGTCAAGCCGGTGGCGATCTGACACCCGCAGCATAAATAAACAAATCCCACAGGATAGGTAGGTATTGATTCGAAATTTCCCGATCTGAGAGGCTCTCCCTCGTGCGGACTTGCGAGAATGTCTACCAGAGATTGCACCCGTATCACGCCTCAATGTCCAGTCGAATACACGATCTACGGCTACTACCCCAATCTTCCTGGCAACGTTATTCTTTGCGTGGTATTCGGCATTTGCATGGTTCTGCAGGTTGGATTGAGCATCAAAGGACGCACCTGGACTTGGCTCGTTGGACTCTTCATCGGCTGCGCGATTGAGTTCGCGGGCTACATCGGCCGCATCATGATGCATTCGAATCCATGGAACGATATTGCTTTCAAGCAGCAGATCATCTGTCTAATTCTCGCGCCGTCGTTCGTTAACGGCGGCATCGACCTGACCCTGAAGCACCTTGTCCTCCGCTTTGGACCACAGTACAGCCTTATCAGGCCCGCGATGTACACGTGGGTTTTCATCGGGCTCGACGCCGTGTCCATCCTCATACAGGCAGCGGGAGGAGGCATGGCAGCCGCAGCAAGTATCGAAAACGTGAGCTTACTCAACATCGGAAACAACTTGATCCTGGCTGGTATCGCCCTGCAGGTTGCCCAGCTTGTTGCTTTTGGTATCGTGAGCTTGCATTACGCCTATAACGTCTACCGGCATCGGAAATTAGGCGCTTTTGACGGTGCGGACGCTGTAGTACCGGGAAGGTTGAAGTACTTCGTGTCCATGGTGGCGGCAGCATATTTTCTCATCCTGATACGATGCATCTATCGGTAAGTCCGCTCAGGAACTTCTGCGTTGCGGAGATCTGACATGGTACATAGTATTCCAGAGATGTCAGGAGGATGGGGAAGTGAACTGCAGCGTGACGAACCACTGTTCCTGGTATTGGATGGAATGTAAGTACTTTGTGAAATTTCCATGCATCTGGGTCTGCAAGATTGACATTATCACAGTACCGTGGCCATCGCCTGTATCGCACTCACGGTGGCGCACCCAGCTTTGTGCTTTCCTGAAATGGGGCATGGCAGAAAACTCATATTTACATCCGAGCCAGAAAGTGACGTAGAAAAATAGATTGGAACCCAAAGGAAAAACTGGGCTGGAGAATGGCACTTAATGATGAATATGTAGATAATCTACAGATTTATAATAGACTAATCAAGATATAGGACCTCGAATGGGAGAGCCTGATCGATTTTTCCCCTGGAGCGAAAATTCCGGACGATTCCGACACGGCGAAATGGGGCTAATGCCACGATTCTGGCCTCCAGAAACATGTAGGTTATATGGTAAGGGAAAGAGCGAGCCGTAAACTGAGAATAGCAACTGATTCGAATACGCATAATCACACAATTCAGCATCTGATACCTGTGATATACATGATTCACACAGTTGGCGGTCTTTCCGGTCTTTTAAACGTTTTTAAACGAGGAAAACAACAATATCGAAATCGCAGCAAAGGAACAATTCCAGGGGAAGAAATGATACGATGTTAAAATTATCTAGATGAATAATTCCCCTCCCTTTCTCCCTCCGACCACTTTCTGGACGTCCGACTCGTCCTCGCTTATGCTTATTTTCCATCGCGGAAGTCTCCATCCAGCCAGCCCCCTGACTGATTTTAAGCGAGGAGTTTATTTATACGTAAGGTAGCGATCACCAGTAAGCTCGTACCACCGACTCATCTTCGTTATTGTCATACTTATCACCTTGACAGTATTGTGATGTTGCTCTCTGCCTGATGATTGTGGGGATACCTGCTGATTGTTTTCTCGCACGGGAGTAGATGATCTATCTATCTGTCTTGGGGCTTTTGACGTAGAGCTGAAGGGGACGAAGCAAAGATGTGCAGGCGGGGAATCGGAGCGTAAACCAGGGGCCGCTGCTGGTGTTCTCGAGCTTTACCATCGAGGCGTATTCGTATGGGTTATTGCTGAGGAGAGAACGAAAGTGAGGAGGCTTGAAATGAGCTGTTTGTTGGTGTTGGTAAGTGGGTTTCGGAGTTTGTGGGTTCTTGGGTGTGGAGAAAGCATGTCGCATGTTGCTATGAAGTTTGGAAAGAGAAGGTGAAGTCAGAGGATCATTCATACTTTGATACTGCGGTGAATAGTCAGTCTTCCGCTCCTCCCAGGCCATCTCCACCGTCGCTACCTTGTTGGCGTCCACCTAGCTTCGGGCTCGCTTCGGCACCCAACTTATCGCTTCATATGTCGCAATTCTCACCTTCAGCGTAACCTAGAACAAATGGAAGCGTGTACGGTGTAGTTGGATGGCTTCTTTCATCTCAATTGCTACAGGATCTAGCACTCCTTAACAAGACCAATGCAGGACGGACTATTCTGGGCCAGAAGTAGAGATCCTTTCAAGGGAAATGGGGGGCGTATCTCCTCTGCGAGGCCGTACGTCTTCTCATAGACTTTAGCAATATTAAAGGCGGGGATGAATCCGGACGGTGTTTTCGCCACTGGACGGTTTCTTGGGGATAAGACAACTTCGAACACTTTTTTTGATGGGGTTTTCTTCTATATATATATATATATATATATTCTAGGCTCAAGCCAGCTCTCGCAAAGAAAATAGCTAAAACAGTGAGCGACCCTACACCTCTGAAGCCCGACTACCATAGTGCGTAATTCGACTTTCTTCAACCAAACGGCGAGCATATCAAGAAATGTATTTTGACTGCCGGGAAAGCCCTCAAACCGGAAACCTGTGGTAGAGGCTGTTCTGCATGAGGAATGCCTGGAATCTTTGGAGGAAATTTTGATGTTCCTCTCCAGTCTTCCCAGAAGACGTTGGAATGTATGATCTTTTGCTTGATGCGAAAGGAATCGGGAGATTACTCGAAAAAAAAAAAAAAAAAACAACAACCAGAAGAATCGCTATGACAATGACAAACGGCACGGAGGGAGGAAGGGAAGAGACAGAGTCGCGTAAAGGCAGTGCGGAGATGTACTCCGTAGCTGAATAACAGATTGCCAACTCACCTCTTCCCCTCCACCCCTTAATAAGTTGAGGTATATACTATTGATATACTTCATAGGATTGACCTTTAAAGTGTACAACTGATTTGTGACAACCCTTATCGGCCCCAAATCACATAGTAACACCGGCCCTCAAGGGGGTTTTGAACCTTGAAGCCCCACTGTAACTAACTCCACCTGTTTCTGACCCTCGAGGGTGTAATTTAGTAGTATTGGGCCTTAACGGAGTACTGGGTCGGGAATAATAATCGAAAGATTTCCCGAGCTTGAGAGCTGACCTTTGGATTGGGTCCATCCCCCTGAGCCCGCTTATCAATGGCTTGAAGCCTTGTCACTACTGTATGATTGCACAGACCAGATACTCGGGTACTCGATCAGGGCTAAATAATATGTACTAGTTCATTGGCTGCACAGTTCCACTTTCGCCCTTGGTAGAACAAGACTGACTGCAGGTACCGAACGGAGCGGTCATCCCGACAGATCATCCGCATAAGCGAAGTGGGTCAACAATGGTGCCACCAATCATCCATCTGGACCTGTCAGACAGACACGTGAATATGTCTCCTATATATAAGTAGGACGTTTCGTCTCATCTCATTCGGGGACCCATCGGAATGGAGATCCGTAGATAGGATCGGGACCGGGAGGATGAATAGAGAATTTCCGAAGATGGCTGGCTAGTACACTAGTACATTGCACTCTGTACTACTATATTCTGTATAGGCATTGTTCTACAATTATTTATTGTAAGTCGACTCGGACTTGGCAGCTCGAAAGAAGTTGGTAAGTCATGAATGAATATGCATGATGTAGGGTACTTCTCCAGACTTGATGATACACCTCCAATTACATGTACAAGTTGTACTACCTACTACTAGTAGTATGTACCCTTCCTATCAAGCAATGAATATGGCCGGGGACGGCTGAACGTGATGCCGGCTGCTCTTCATGCGTGATCTGATGGCATCCTCACGGAGATCATTAATTATGTTACCACTCGCACCAGCAAAAGGACCCAGCGTCTCTTGGAAAAGGGAAATTCAGGGTTCTCCCGTTTCATCCTTTCTTCTTAGCCTGCCCTGCATCGCAAAGACTTCCCTTTGCTGTCCAACTTCTTTTGCCTACTTGTTCCCTTCTGCTGGGCCGTGATGTTGTTGTCATCGTCGACCGTCACAGTTGACGGTCTTTCACGCTAAAGTAAGGGCGTTACCGGTAGTAGAACAAGAAGTGAACTACTCGAGTACTCCCGGCTTGGCTCCGATCCGCCCCGCCCCGCCCCACCCCACTCCACCCCACCCCACCCCACTCCGTCCTACTCTGCTCGGCTCCACCGCTTTCTCTTAAATCCGGTCGAATTCTCCTAAGTTAAAGTCAAGTACGAACGGTCCAGTTCATTTCAATCCAGTCCAGTCCAGTCCAGCCGATGTTCTTGGTTAGGCCAGTGCACCGCCGTCGACCTGTATGGTACTCCACTTCATCTATCAGGACATCGCCACTCCTTGAAAATGCATCTTCCTGAACCCCGTTTCATCACTGCCAGTCGCAGTCTCTAAGACTCGCGGACGTGGACGTCGACGTCGACCGAGGACCTCGATAACAATCATCCACCTGGGAATACACCGCGCAAGGTAGCAGATCAGATAAACCACACGAACAGTGTCAGCCGCGACCGCAACCGCAGCCACAGCCTGCCGCTACCATGTTTTCTATTCTGTCCGATATCTGGGGGCAGTTGAAGTCTTTGAAGCCGGCCTTCATTTCAAAGACCCCGCATTTCAATTTCATCACGGTCCATTGTGAGTTGCCCTGGGCTTCAGAGAGGCAGCCCCCGCTAATCGGTTGCCTGCAGACTTCTGGATCATTGGCATGGCCCTTTTCGGCTCTCTATGCCTGTACATCCGAGGAGATCTCGCCTACATCGATGCGCTATTCTTTGCCAGCGGATCTGCCACCCAGAGTGGCCTCAATACCGTGGATCTGAACCTTCTGAATACCTGGCAGCAGGTGGTCTTATACCTGATTTCCATCGTTACCAACCCGATCACCATCAACTCGTTCGTCGTGTTCTTGCGATTATACTGGTTCGAGAAGCGTTTCCAGCATATTGCGAGAGAGTCTAGGAAGAACCGCCTGAGTATTGCAAAGGCCAGGACACTAGAGCCAGACATCGGGGATGAGGAGAGGGGAGTCAGAGGACGACGTATCATCGTGAACCATGCTAGCACAAGACCAAATGGTATGACAAACAAGGACGCGATCCCTGAGGACTACGATGATCAGGTTAAGAAGGAGAAAATCTTGGCCAGTGACAATGCCAGTGGCTCTCATTCATCGGAGAGCACTACCAAAGGCCGTGGTTCAGAGACAGCAGTGGATGACGACGAAAAATATCTAGTCGGGGATCAGTCTAGACCTCAGATCAAGTTTGCGGATCAAGTAAAGAGGAGCAATGGCCTGGCCGATGAGCCAATTCGGTTGCCAGCTCAGCGTAGCCACGAAGACCATATTGCCTTTCTCGAGCGTCAGCGGAATCAGGACGAGGGAGCTGTGCTCAGGATCCCTGGACCACGAGATGCAGATGCAGGCGTAGCGCCGGTCACTCTGGATCATCAGGACCAAATTTCTCCCATAATGTCTAGACGAGAATCCAGGCTTTCAGGACAGTTCTCCCATCAGGACCAGACTTCAACTAAGCAGGGCAATGAGGAACACCCACCGTCGGCGAGACGGAATATCACAATCGCAGAGCCCACTCAATCTCATATCACCGAAAAGATCGTTGTCGATGCAAAGGCTGCCAAAGACACATGTGGCGTTCTACGACTTCGTAGACCTAGAATATTTGGTGGCGAGAAAACAGACGCCGACGAACACACCCAACACGCTCGGAGATCGTCAACCTTTAACACAATCATGACAGCACTGTCGAGAGACAAAGACGAGGGTATGCCATATTTGAGTTGGGAGCCAACAGTCGGACGAAACTCGGCCTTCGTAGACCTAACCGAGGAGCAGCGAGAAGAGTTGGGAGGTATCGAGTACAGATCCCTGAAGTCATTGGTTCTCATCCTGATCGCCTATTACGTCGGCTTTACACTCTTCGGCGTGGTCAGCATCGTGCCATGGATATTCAGCGACGACTCTTACGGAACAATTGTCGAAGCTGCCGGGGCCAGTCGCATCTGGTGGGGAATCTTTACATCCAACTCGGCCTTCACCGATTTAGGCTTCACCCTTACCCCTGACAGCATGATTTCCTTCCAGAAAGCTCAATGGCTTTTGGTGGTGATGTCCTTCCTCATCATCATTGGCAACACGGGGTTTCCTATAATGCTCCGAATCATCATATGGATTACTTCAAAGTATGTTCCAAGGGAGAGCGGAATCTGGGAAGAGCTGAAATTCTTGCTTGATCACCCTCGTCGATGCTTCACTCTTTTGTTTCCTTCAAAGGCAACGTGGTGGTTGTTTTGGATCTTGGTCATCCTGAACGGGGTGGACTTGGTATTCTTCATCATCCTCGATGTAAGTGCTCTATTTCTACCAGCTTTAACAAAACACTGACCCTTCTGGAGCTGGGTAACGAGATAGTCACTGACCTTCCGGTCCACATTCGAGTCCTCGCTGGCTGGTTTCAAGCTGTGTCGACCCGTACAGCTGGATTCGCCGTGGTCAATCTCGCTGCACTCCACCCTGCCATCCAAGTATCGTACCTCATCATGATGTATATCTCCGTTCTCCCCATCGCGATTTCGGTGCGTAGGACCAATGTATACGAAGAGAAGTCCCTCGGTATCTACGGCTCTTATCAGGAAGACAACGCCGACATGGAGGAGCCTTCATACGTAGGTGCACACTTGCGGCGTCAACTTTCCTTCGATTTGTGGTATATCTTCCTGGGACTCTTCATCATTTCCATTTCCGAAGGCGAGCGTATCCAAAACGGCGACCCAGCATTCACCATGTTCAGCGTTCTCTTCGAAATTATCAGCGCATACGGTACCGTTGGTCTCAGTCTCGGCTACACCAACATCAACGCCTCGTTCTCCGCTGAGTTCGGCATCATAGCTAAGCTCGTCATTATCGCTATGCAGATTCGTGGCCGCCATCGTGGTCTCCCCTACGAATTGGACCGCGCCATTCTCCTCCCAAGCGAACATCTCCAAAAGAGAGAAATGGATGACGCCGTACGCGCAATGCGAAGACGTTCATCCCTCGCCACAATGGCGGCCAATGGTGGTCCTGTCAGCAGCGGTGCACTCAAGACTGCACGTACTAGAAGTCGCAGCCCGGTCAACCTCCTTGGCACGCTCTTGCATCCTGGCCCTACTATTCCGAACAGCCACCGCGATCCGATGCCGTACAAGTCAAGGAGAGCGAGTACGGTGTCTGTGGGTATGAGGAGCCGCACAACACGGAGCGTGAGTTCGGCTCATTCGTCTTGCGCTGATGGTCCGACCGAGAAGAGAGGTCGAACGGAGGGACGCAGGAGTTTCTTTCAAGAGGGCGTCAATCCTGCGCCTACTGTGCATCCAGAGACTATCTCCGAAGCTACGTCGCCGGCCACTAGCGGAAACACGAGCATGGGCGTTAGTATAAAATGAAAAGGTAATTTGAGCGGGGCGCAGCTTGGTGTTTGACATAGCTTTTTTGGTGGGAAGGAGTTAAGGGTTCTTGGAATATGTATATTTGCTGTCCTGGAAGCGAGCGATTCCTTTGGTTAGACCCACAGGAGTACAACAACTGTGTGATTACTTGGGACATGTAGGTATACCTATGCGGGAAGCAAATACCGCGCTGGAGTATGTGGCATTGCAAGTTGTGTGTGTATCTGTATGTGTATCTGTATAGATGGGCGGGTTGGGATGGATAGTATATTTGGGCGGGAGACGCCGGCGGCACGCGGCTGGCCTTATTTGCTCAGCTGAGAAAGAAACTAACAAATAAATAGTATCGGACAGAATCCCTCCCTCAACATACGGAGCTAGCGTCAGGTGTCAGGTGTCTTTGTCTCATGGTTACTGAGGGCTGCTGCTCTCCTGGACTCCTGGGGAAGAGGTTCGTTCTGCTGATATAGATAGATAGAATTTTTTTTTTTTGATTTTTTTTTTTTTTTTTTTTTTTGGATTAGATATGTATTTAATAGGTAGTAGTAGAAGTGAGTGTGTAATCACGCCGTACCGTACCGTACCGCACCGGATTTGAATAGGACAGTCAGGATGGCTTTGTTGGCGCTGCGTTGCGTTGCGTTGCGTTTAGCATAACTTTATTTTATTTACTGTTCCGCGGGTGTGTGTGTGTGCGCGCTGGTAGCGGGAGGAAGGAAGGAAGCTATGGCTATGGCTGGATCTATGGCTGAATGTACGGATGTGGCTATGGATGTGTGTGTGTGTGTGTGTGTGTGTATGTGTGTATATGTTACTTAGCTGCTGCTGGATGGCTGTTGGGTGATGGGTGATGGATAGAACCCGCTCTGGTGCTGTTGGAATATACGGAGTACGGGCAGGAGGGAGCTCAAATAAGATACCGAATTCCTCACACGGATGGATAATGATGTTGGAATGGTTTTATATATACATGTTCATACATTCGTATATATATAGATACATCTACTTTACTTTACTTTACTTCTCCCCTACCCCTTAGCTCGATTGTCTTTTTTTAATTTCCCATCAGAAACGTCCGGGATGATATCTAGCCAGTCGAGTAATGCCCCTTTTCTCTTTTGTTTCTTTTTTTTGCAAAGCCGGCGATCGCGCCTTCCATCCTGAGAAAACTCCATGCAAAAAACATTGCTGCAAACGGTATCTGCTCAATATCGCTGACATACTCCGACAACAACAATAAGAACAGCAGCAACAACAACAATCTTCAAAAAATCGTGCCCATGCTTACTACAAAGCACCCACCCACTACCCACCAGCCCGTAGGTAGGTAGGTAGCGCCTAGGCGTCGGTCGTACAGATATGCACATTTGCAACCACCCCTTGACCACTTCCCAAATGGGTGTTGTTGTTGACCACGACGCACTTCTCCCCGGCTCGGACACGCCACATGCCACCCTCTCCAATAGCGAACGTCTTGCCTCCGAGCGCAACCTGGACGCGGCCTTTAGCGACGGAGCAAATCTTTACGCTCTCCTTCGAAGCATGCATAGGCAGTTCATGCTCGGTGCCAGAGCCGATGGCCAGGACCTGGAACTTCGTGCCGGAGATGGAGATGCCGAGGGGTCGGGTGGAGAGGTAGGTGGAAGAGAAGGCGATATCTGAAGGGGGGTTAGGAGGAGATTTCAGTCCCGTGGGTCGTAAGGAGAAAGTTTGAGGTTTAGTATGGAAAAGGGAGGGGAAAGGGACGAGTACTTACTTTCCTCCGTCTCTTGATCGTCGGCTTTGCCTTCGGGGTTGATACGAGCTCGTACTCTGCCAGAAGCGACTTCCCAATCCTCTCTTCCATCAGCTTCTCCAAGCTTGCCGCGACTTCGCTTTGGGGCCTTCGATGGAGTTTTGCGTGGCAAAGAGATGGCTCGTGGAAATTTGCGCGCTGGGCCGGTACGGATCGGGCTATTGAAAGGATCTGGCTGGGAGGTTAGACCGCCGATGACCGTAGCAGAGGAGGCTTCTTTGAGTGCTGTGGCGGTTTCAGATGAGGGATTGTTAGACTGTGTATGTTCCTTAGACTTCTGGCGATGTGCTAGCTTGCTGCTCTCCGCAGGGTTGGGCTTCATTCCTGGTGTGATCCGGGCCGTAGTTGAGATTTTACGCTGGGGTAGAGGAATAGGGGTTTCTATGCGCACTTGGCCATCAGAGGTGACGTTCTTTGCGGGAACAATTGGTCGGGGCTCCTTGGGAGTGACACGAGCAGCAGTTCCTTTACGCTGATGAAGGACGACTGTCGGCTTTTTAGGAAGCTCTGCCTCAGATTCCGAGATTTCCGAAGGTGGACGAGTCGGGTATACAGCTGCTTTCAGCGCGGCTTGGCCTACTTCAATCAACTTGCCCATACACATTGCAGCAGGAGACTTCGCAGAGACGGTACCTGCAATCAGAGCATCTAGTCTGCGGTCGTCGCTGGCAGGGGGTGAGTGCGTGCTGGTGATCGTAGCCAGCAATGCATCCATCTTGACTTGCTGAGGGGTCCGAGCATCTGCTGGCGCATCATCTATGTTATGCTGGCTCGTCTTTGGGTTGTGTACAGCGTTCAGTGCAGATGGGAGGCCGTTGGTTGTAGGACGTCCGCCATCAAGGGCTTCGTTATTTGCGAATGCTGCGATTGAACTGGGTCTGATGTTCGATTCTTGCAGGGACTTGTCCTTCTTGCGCCTCTTATTCTCAGACTTAGAGGTATCTTGGATCGTGCTGACTTCCGCGACAGTGACCTCCGAAGCTTGTTGTCCCGCCTCCTCCTTATCCTCGTCGATTTCTGCTGCCTTACGCTTCTTGCTCTTCTTGGACTTCTTGGCCACCGGCTCCTCAACCTGTTGCTCCTGTTTACCTTCTTCCTTGTTAACGCCCCCCGTCTGTTCCGGATAATTCCTGTAATCCATCTCACGCTTATGCTCAAGACCCTCAAGGCTCTTGGTAGCATCTGCAATCTTTCGCGCCAGCTTCGCGGCTTTGGATTCATCAGGACCCGACAGGAGAGTTTCCAGCTGAAATTTTTGCCTCTGGATTGCCGCTCTCAAGACCTCGGGATGGTCTTGACCGTTGCCATGGGTCGGCTTGGTTTCATCGTTGATGGGAAGCTGGTCTAGATTAAGTTGTCAGCAGCGACGCACCCAACTCTCAGCCCCCCAAAAGTGACATACCCTTCTCGTGGCTCTTTGCCTCTTTCTTCATCTTCTCCATCTTCTTCTTCTCCTTCTTGCCATCGCCCTTCCCACCTCTCAAGCATACAATTGCTGTGCCCTCAATCCCTCCATCACCCCCAGATGCATTCACCTCTACCAACCCCTCAGCACGACTCCCTCAAGCATCTCTCACCCTCGACCTCCCTATTATACTCTCCCAATTCCGCCCAATCCCCACTGAATTATAGCCCAAAACCAAGAAAATCACAAACTCACCTTGAGGCGCCATCTCGTCTTTCTCTTCTTCTCTCTCCGTCGCGTTGCGTATTGTTGCACAGAAACAAATCTCCAGACTCACAGAAAATCACGAGCCAAAGTCGAGTTCGTATGTTTTGTTGTTTTCCGTGAACAAAATAAATGAATCAGGTACAGAGACGAGTTGAGTTGAGTCCGGGAGGGAAGTGAGGCGAGGCGCGCTAGTAGGGAGGCGCTAGTACGGAATTAGTGCTAAGTAGCTTCGATTTGACGACGACAAGAGGTGAGAAGGGAAAGGTGAGAGGTAATAAGACAGGGGAGGTGAGGAAGAAAAAGAGAAGATCTTCAAGGACTTTGGCTATTTTGAACGGAAAAACGAAGGGGAACATTGGAGGAGAGCCTTACGAAGGTGATTTTGTAGAGCTCAAAGTCTAAAGGCGGGAATTGGGGAGCTGAGGAGTCATCGTCTTTGATAAATTGGTGAGTTTGAAAAGAGATGAGGAAAATGAGATGCTAGATTATATTTTACATGGGGAGCTAAGGGAAAGAGAGAGAGACGGAGAGAGACTGTGTATAAATATGAACGTAATTGACAGCTCGTACAATGCAAAGCTTTACATGCAGGCAACAAGGACAGAAGAGCAACAAAGGAAAGAAACATGCAGCAACACAGTGGATGGGTATCATCCTCCCTACAGGCCAGATGCAAAATGCAGAGATGCAGGACGACAACGAAACTTTGCTATCATTCATCGTGTTCGTCTCTCATCAGTAACGCCTATGCCAGCCAGCGATCCCGGCCAGCAGTCCCATCCTTTGTATGGACCAGTAACCCCCATTCCCATCCCCAAGTGCCAAGTCAGCAGCGCTACCTAGCACCCCTATCCATATCTGCATCGCCCTCGTCATCGAGCTCATCCAGTTCCTCAGGGTGTCCAAGTAAGCCAGCCACATTTTTCATCTCGTAATGCCTCTTCCTCGCCTCCTCAAATTTGCGATGCTTCTCCTGCTCCTCCTCACTCAAGCCCACATGTTCCTCTCCCCGAACATAGACGGCCTTCTCCTTCCTCTTACCATGCTCATCTACACTCTCACGCTCCGGCACGTCCTCCTCCGGCTCCCCCAGACTCAAGCCCGGGATATCATCTTCCTTCGCCTTGGACGCCTTCGCCTTACTCCCGCTAGAGCCAGACCCAGCCCGGGTCTTATCCAGCTCATCAACCATGATGTCCTCCGTATCGATCAGGCGCAGCTCTTCTTCGTCCTCCGTAGGATCATACTGCCTCGCATACGGCGTCTTTGGCTCGTCGATCTTCATGGTAGAGCTCTTCTCCTGCTCCGTCAGGTACAAGTTCGCCTCGTCCCATTTCAACCGCATTTGCTGGTCCTCGGCGCTTTGCGCGAGCGAGCCGTGAGAAGACTGCCGGCGCGATCCGGAGGGTCGAGTCCCGGACGAGGAGCGTCGGTGTCCGGCATTCTGTAGGGTGTTTTGGACCGTGATGTCTTTGTCGGAGATGTCGCGAGGGATCGAAGCACGAGCTGCAGGAGGGGGTGGAGAGTGCGATGATATGGGGGCTTGGTGAGGGGGCGAGCGGTGGTAGGAGTTTTTGAGGATTCCTGGATGGGGGTGTTAGCTGGAGATACGTGAGAGAGGGACTGAGGAGACCGGTGCCATCATGACCGGAGAGACTTGCCTTTTGGGCGGACGGTGGAGGAGCTGGGAGGGGAGTGCACTCGAGGGGGCTCTTCTGAAGCCATGGTGGTGGTGGTGGTCATCGTGTGCATAGGGCTGGCGGGCGGGCGGGCTGCGTGGGTTTGTGGGTATGTTTCCCGGTATGGTAGTTATGGATGGTCTCAGATGATCGTGGGTATGGTGTGGTGTGGTGGTGTTGTGTGGTTGGTGTTGTGTTGAGTGGAGCAGGAGACTTGGTAAGTATTTGTTTACTTCAGCTGTCAAGTATCTCAAGACGACTCATGGTGGAAGTTGACCTTTAACTTTGAAGAGCCCCAGGGCCAAAAGTCGTGGGGTCGACTCCCACTATTATCGAATAGAAGTGTGGGGCTAAGTCAGCCAACGCCAACTGGGTGGGTGTTCAACGTCATCTTACTCATCCATACCAAGGTTATCCCGGCGCGAATCATTTGATTACAAATACTTATGAGTGATGTCAATGTGAAGAATATCGAATATTACACTACGTACTTGTTACCAGTTCACAAAATCCTTTGTCACGTGATTAAATCCATTGGTACCCCGCGTTGTGCTTCTTTTCCCGCGCTTGCCCTTGGAAATTGACAGCAAGGCTTGGCCCTCGGAGTACAACCTGAGGCTTGTGAAAATGCCAAGCTGTTGACGTCGACGGTCACGTCTACGGTCGACATCGACATCAACAAAAGGTCAATCAGGTGATCCCTATGTTTGAATTATTTATATTTTTGGGACTCGAGAATGCGTGTTCTTCTTGCTTTGCACCTATCGGCTGGGTTTCCCCCATTATCGTTTCCTTCTAATCACGAGTCGCGGGTCTACCGGTAGTCAGACATATCTCCAAATCCCATCAGACCCTCAAGTCCTATCGAGAAATCTCCAAGACTCAGCCGCTTGAACTCCCCTACAGTCACAGGCTCAGCCTTCTCTGCCATCGCCGTCGCCGGACACGCCGCATTTGGAACAATCTTCGCCACAGGCGCAGACTGTTGTACATGTTTAACAGGTCTCTTCTTCTGATACCTCTCTTGAGAACCAGCTCTCCTCGGCGGTGGATTCAGTCGATCGAAATTCCCTGCCTCTCTCTGAACAAAAGTCCTCGGGCCCTGCACTCGTTTCCTTTGAGAACGCCTATACTCGAGCTCGATCTGTCGGACATGTTCATCCATGTTCTCGTCATAATCAAGAAAACTTTGCCGATAGGCTCCCGGGACCCTGACTTCGTTGGTGTTCCTTCTGCTTAGCGGAGTCCTGGCTCGATACGAAGCCGGATGGTGCTTGGGCAAAGAAGGGAGGCGTTGGATGGGCCACGGGAAGCTTCCTGGCATGTCGAATGATGGTTGTCGTTCAAGAGCAACCGGGAGCAGCTCCGCCATAGAGGACGTTTTCGATGAACTCCAGCCGTGGGGTGGAGGTATTATCGGAGGGTAGTATCTTAGTTCTGGGCGAACGAGGATGTGTGGATATTCAGCCGACCTGTGGCCAGTTAATGCTGGCACGTTTCTTGCGAGGAGGCTACGCTACATACCGAACGGAGGATAGAGGAGACCGCCGAGAGTGGTTGCTGATGCTGCTACTTGGAGTCACACGCCTACTTATAGACCGTTGGCTTACTGGCCGCCTCGCAATCACCGCCTTTCTTGGTATCGTAAAATTCGAGCTCTGTCGCGATGAACTCTTGCTCGTGTAGCATGATGATTCCGAAGATTTATCGTCCGAAAGCGAAATAGCCGAGTCGGCAAGCGACTCAGTCTGCTTATGCGCACCGACGTTCCTCCTAAGAGCGTGCTCCTCTTCCCAATCATTCGATACCGATTTTGCCCTTCCTGGAATAACCAGCAGCGGTGTCGTCGGTCGTTCCGCTACCGCACTCTTCTCCGAAATGGTCTTTAGAAGAGGTTTTCTCTGAATTTCTGTTCCTGGCCCTGGCTGTGGATGCACAGACATGAGTTTGTCGCTATCAAATACCTCTCCCGAATCGAACGAGGAGTCTCGCGATACACTCCGGTCCATGATACTATCGAATGGATCCCCTCTCGACTCGGTCTTCTTCATTTTCAGGAAGGCTGGAATTCGAAAGGGGTATTTGCAGGATTCGAGGGCCGTGATAATGATACCGGTAGCAATACTACAACCATCAGCTCGGCTCTCTAAAGCTGGGCTGGGGAGACTTACAATCCAAACACTGAAGCGATAACATCCGCAATTTGCAGCTTGCAAGCATTAGATCCAGTCAGACACGCATTCGGCGTCACGACGACCACAAGTGAAGCGATGAAAGCTGCAATCCAGAATACCAGCCCTAGACGAGCTACTATGAAGCAAGTCGCATGCAGTGTCCTCTCCGGCGGCCTTGAAACACCCACGGGTTCATTAAATCTCGCTGCCAGACCATGAAAAGCGAGATACACGACTGATGTTGCAGCCTACGAAACCCGCATCAGCACACCAGCTGGAAGATTTGTAACTTGGGATGTTCACTTACAGCAACCAACCCTAGAGCCTGTACAGCATTCACACTCCTTTTCCTCTCAGCATTAGAACTCAGCACCGAGGCTGCAACTCCCACAACTACTACGCTTGCTGCCGCCAATATCGAAATTGCTGTAAAGACAATGGCTGGCGGGAGCATCCTAGCGGCGCGGGTAGTTGAGAAGACACCTGATGGCAGAGTAGAGCCCAGATCCGGGTAATAGGACCCCATTGTTGCCTATCATCCGGTTTTCGCTTCCTTATGGTTGCCTTTGGGAGAACTGCAAAGATTTGCAATGATGCGATCGAGCAAGAAAGTCGAAGTGTCTGTTCCGACCGAAAGACGAGGCTGAGAATCAGACGCTGCGAAAGCACATTACCACCAGGGCAAAATTCCTCTCCAACAAGATGCTTTCGAGCCAAGTATCGCCGTCGTTCCGATGCGAAAAGAAGTTTTGCGACAAAATTCACTCTAGTTCTCAAGCCTGCTCAAGAAGACGGAGCGAAACGTGATGGAAATACAACAACATATAACATCCACGCTTTCACAAATGGCTGGGAACAGGAATTCCATTTCTCTAGAGGATGTATTCTTTTCCTTCGCGTGGTCCATGCTTGCCTGTATCGCATTCTCGCGCGTGGCGCGCGGATCGCCCATATATTGCATTCCTAGACGCGGTCAAGGGGGCTTTCCCATCCATTGAACCACGCTGCTAGCGTTTCAAATTGCGGACAACACGTCAAACAATGGAAGAATGGAGCAAGGAGTGAAGGGACAAGGAATCTTCTCTTTTTCCCCAAGTTCTGTTTCTCATTTCTCGTGCTGGGCTTATCGTAGTCGGCGCGTGGTGGACAAGTCGCAGCCGTTTGCGGAAGTGTCTCGGGCCACGCACAAGTATTTGACGATTAGGCGCGTCGAGTCACCATTGTTATGAATCAGTAAATCTGCCCTTGATGAGGTTCCAGATCGTTCACACGAGGTCAGCAAAGTTTTGCGCTCTCGGTTGCTTTGCAGGATAGTTCCTGACACTGCGCGCATGTTCTAAGCTGATGGATGGCATGATTGATGGCGAGTGAAAAGTACTTCTCGCGAAGCTTATCTTGGCAATTCTCTTTATTTATCTTTTGTCCTCAGCAACTGCGTCGTGGAGACGAAAGCTTTGAACCTCACCAGAACGGAATATGCGTGGCAGTGCCTAGCAGTTGTAGTCATAGGCCGAGCTTAGAAGCAATTGTAAATACTGTTTTGTTGTCGTAAGCTATATTAGTTTTCGAGGAACTCGAAGAAAAATCAACGCTGGCATACAACTTTAAACGATTTTCGAGGCTGAGTTCATTATTCCTACCTTTTCGGGTTTTGATAAGTGACCGAGGGTCAACAAAATATCCCACACACTCAGAAACACAGTTACTGAAATACAAGTATGTTTCCTGCCATCAACGCATCACCGTATCATTACTCACGTCCGCCTCTATCCCTCTTGTCTATCAATCAAACATCAACCTCAACTTAAGCACAAGGCACAACATAAAGCCCAACAGGTGACCTCGCGCTATTCTGGGAATATCTCAAGCTTGTATTATTGACACTGCTCACCTGAATGGTAATCGGCATCCCGCTCTGGCACGGGAAGGTCGCCACCGTATACCTATTTCCTGGCAGGATCGCGACCTTGCCGTAGTCTGCCTTGACCGGCGGAGTCGACGTGAACGTCGTTTCAGCATTCGCAATCCCAGCCAGCAATGCAAAATTCAGTCCACCGTTCTGGTACACGACTTGCTCCTGGCCTGAGTACTTGTAAGCCCCAGCCGACGGGCTCATTTCTGACATGTACGGGAAGAGGAAGAGCAATGAGCAGGACCCGGTGTAGGAAGACGGGATGTCAAAGTTGAAGAGTGTGGTATTGGTGGCGGAGATGGTGGCTAGGGAGGAACTGCCGAAGGATTGGCTGGGTGCTACGGGTGAAGTTGTTACGATGAGATGCGGAAACTCAAAGGGACCGGGCGAGATGTCGGTGGGGCATGTTGCTGTCGCTGGCTCCTTCGCAGCAACATTTTGACATGATTCTGGCGGCGACGGCGATGGTGCTGCCGCGATCGCGCGTTCTTTCTTGGCCGTGTCGCAATACTGCCAGTCCATCTTCAGGATGATGCTCAAACACCCGGTTCTATCCGCCCTCAAGTCGCTGTTGACGTGGTAGCCACCAAACGACCAATTGGTTGGGCACGCCAGCCAGCCCTCGCGCCCGTCGTGCAGAAATGTGCCGTCGCTCGTCAGCCCGAACTTGATGCCGAATTCCGCGCCGCTTGTGCATTGGAGGCCGCCGTCGTAGTCCATGGGGCAGGTGAGGTCGCGGTTGGTGAGCTTGCCGTCGTCGCTGAGGTTGAACGTGGCATCGTCGAGGAAGATGAAGCCGGTCTCGTGGGCGCCGACCATGATGGCGCCGACGTGGCTGGCCGTCTGGACGATCTTGGGACCTCCGGGGAGGCCGATGGCGACCAGGCGGAAGTAGCAGCCTTGGGCTGTGGAGAGTAGGATGCCGAAGGCAAAGAGGGCGATGTGATGGAACATGGTGCTTGTCATGAATGGATAATCTCTTTGAATCTGTGCAGAGACTGACGGGAGTCTTGGGTAGGGTAGAAGAAGCAAAAGAGCTATGATCTATCCAAAAAACCACCAGTACAAATGAATGGTCTGAGTCCTCCCGCCATGCGTGTTCAATGTTCTGTCTCTTTATAAGGCCGAGACCGACCGACCGACCGACCGACCGACCGACACTCGGAACATCGAATGGCTGATCAATTGACTCATCAGACCATCTGATCTCATCTCGTGGTCCCTGTGGCAGGAGCTACCCAGGATTTCCGTTCCCCTAAGAACGCAAGTAAGTACTTGCCGTAAGTAGGTAAGAGGCAACCAACGCAGACGATAGATAGCTCTTTTTCTTATTCTTCCTCTTTCCTCTTTCCTATTTCCTCTTTCTCTTTCCTCTTTCCCTTTCGCGTTTCTCCAACGCAGAGTCACAGACCCTGCCTGTAATGGAACGAAACGTCTTGCTTGTTTTCAGTCCGCAGAAGAGAGAGGGCAAAGAGGAAAAGTGTGATTTAGCTTTGTATCTATGTATCTATGTATGTATTCACGGCGGCTCTCTCGGGCGTGACGGCCTACGGGATGAAATCCTGTGTCCGCGGCGGCGGGACGGCGCATTGCCGTCTTGCTGGCTGGCTGGCTGGCTGGCTGGCTGGCTGGCTCAGTGAGTGAGTGAATGGGTGCGAGTTGACCTGGCGTGGTGGGAGCACGAGACGGGATGACGGTATGCGGTACAGATACGCTGCTGGGAGTCGGGGGTGCTGAGATCGGGGAGGGATGTGAGGACGGATGTGAGGATGAATACGGATGCGAGATTCATGCGATACTTTGAGGAGGGGGGGGGTGAAAAATATGTCTTTTGCTTCTTTCTTGTTGGGAGCTTAGGGAGTGCGTGTCTTAGATCAAATGCTGTGGTAGTTGGTTGGTGGTAGTTGGTCATGCCGTCTGGTTCTTTATTGACTCGTCGGGATACTTAGCGAGGTGAAATAGGGATTTTCGATGTTGTGTTTCTGTGATTGTTTCGGATATACAATCGTGTAGCATCGGGGCGAATGCAAGGGAGTTGGCTAATACCGTATATTTCTTGCTGTTTGAGGTCAATTCAGTGCTTCACAGAGCAGGGCAGAAGTCCACTGCTCACTGCTCACTGCTCACTGCCTATCATCATCATTTCTATAACCATAAAATCTTTTTTTGTACGAAATACCTATCCTCCTCATCCAGCCTATATCCGACGCCTCACCACGAGGATACAGAGCAGAGGAGGGGAACAGATCTAGCAAGGGCAGGCAGGCTTCGTTGATACCGTACATTACAGCTCGAGAGCGAGAGGAGAGTTGTTTGTGATGAAAGAGTACCGAGAACTTTAAATAAGTGCGCTGACAACGACACCGCCGGCCAGGAAAGAGACACTGGGTAGCTAGCTCTTGATAGCGACCGACGACTAGATCAAAAAAACAATGAGACATTAAACAATTTTTTTTTTGCTCGAAGACTCTATTATATCTTTTGAATTTATTTACACAACTTTTTTTTCCTGAAAAAAAAGGGGGGCTGCGAGATTAGGAACGCTGGATACCATACCGCTCGTCCGCTATATTATGCCTACTCTGAGAGCGCTGGAGACTATTCATGCGACTTTTACTCAGTCCCAAGATAGATAGATAGATATCATGGGCTATTTTTTCCTTGTTTATCTTTTCTCTTTCTCTCTTGGAATTTCCCAGACACGGCGTGCAATTATTAGAGTGTGAGGACGTCAATTAGCACTGGTAGCGTTCCGTTCCATTCATCGATAGGAGACTCGTCGGAGCTGGTAGATTTGAATGCCACCAAGGAGAATGCGAGATCTATGGATTTTTGTAACTTCTGAAGATTTGCGCTACAAAATACTCGCACTCAAAACTCTAGACGATGACTCCCATCTTCTCCAAACCGCGCGCTCATCCGGAGAGAGTAAGATACATTGTACATCGAGGAACAACGAATTTCTCGCCCACGAGACTGGCCCTAAAGGCAAAATTTACCCCCTCCTCCTATCTCCCCCTTTCACCCCCACCCTTGACATTACCTGCCACTTAGACTCGGATCGCACTCCCTTAGCGAATTCCCGATCCGCGCCAGCACGTCGTCGCCATCCTCACTGATAGACGCACTCCTCGCCGCTCTCTTCACCTCCTCCTCCTCCTCGCACCTTCCCAGCCAGCTCTCCACACTCTCGCCGTGATTCAGGTACATCGTCTCGTTCTCGTTCTGGAAGGCTTCCTCTCTCTTCTGAATCGCGTAGGCGAAGGTGCCTTTGTCCAGTCGTTTTGCCTTGATAGTTTTTAGCTTCACTTCTTCGAGGCCGAGCTTGGTTTTCTGGGATATGGCTTCTCTGGAGAAAGTTTTTTTAATGGCAGTGATGGTGGGGAACGTTCGAGATGTACGGGGTTGCGACTTTATGGATTGGCTGGATTGTGCGGTTTTGATGTTGATAGAGCCTGAATCGGGGCTCGCTTGGGAGGTGGCCGGGCGGGATGCGAAGGGAGTCGAGAGCGTTGTGAAGAGCGCGGGAGACATCTTGCGAATCAGAGGCCGGGTGCAAGGCGCGGATGCGCAGACGAGGCCGGTGAAAACCTCGATTGAAGTCCAGGTCGTGATGTAGACTCCGTTCCCTGCGTAGGAAAGGGTCAGGAGATGGATAAAATTGGAAACATTAGGCTGGGAACTTGGACGTACATGCGAAGTCTTGGGGTTTGTTGAGTTTGACGATTGCTGTGAGACGGAATACGGCTGCGATGATGACAAGTAGACCTAGACCGACGACGGAGAAAAGGGATGCCTTTTGGCGGCGGGACATTTGGAGGGGGGCTGTGGGTTTTTCAAGGTACATCGATCATTCTTAGCCTCCACAAATTGTGGGGGTCGAACAGCAAACGATCCGCAAGAGTACATACCAATTCGAGGAATCAAAAACGCCATAAGCGCCAAATCTCCAATAACATTGCAAACAGTATTTGTGATAAAAATAGGCGTGACTGGTAAGCAGTTCTGCGCGCCCAGAGTCCACGCATTGGATACGGGTTTACAGGAGAAAATAAACGTGAACTCGATCGTGACAGCTGAGACCAGGACGAATCCGAGAAGAGGGTATGCAATCAACTTGCTCGTCCTGTCCCTGAAAAACTGCAATGAATAGCAACCGATTCCGAGTTTGGTAGTACAGAGTACAAACTGGTATAGGAGTCTGGAGGCGAAGGCGAGTTTCATGATTGAAATTATATCGGCTTCGCTTTGGAAGACAGCCCTATGGCGGGTACCGTAGGCGACGAACAGGGAGTTCATTGCCCCGAGGCCAAGGGCTCCGAACTGGAGGTTTGATCAGTGATATTGGGGGAAGGGGGAGAGCGGTGTTTCCCACCCATGATAATGATATCAAAGTGTCGTCGAGACCCCAAGTATTGCAGATGAGCTTCCGGGTATAGAGCCTAGCAATGACAAAGAGAGAGCCAATGGTTGCTGGGACAATGGATCCTGCCAGCACCCCTGGTACACGGGATTCTGTTGATATTGAATTCGCATTGTTCTGCGAGTTCATTCAGTGATACGAAGATGACGGCGAAGTAGAATACCAGGGCAGTCTGATCAACTTACTGGGTCCATGGCAGAGAGACCGCCTTATGTTGGGTCGTAGTTCATGAGGAAACGCACAGGCAGCGGCCGAGGACTGGGAAAGATAGAGGCCATCGGCAAATTCACCCAAAATGATGGAACAGAGGTTGTTTCCAAGAAGTCCAAACATGCATCTTGCACACTTGGCAGTGCCGTGCCGCCAAGAAGACACAAGCCCAGGATCTCCCGCCAGATCTTCCGCTCCATCCCGCTTCCGCCCAAGAGAATGCTTGGCTATGTGAACTCTATTTCCCGAGGCGCTCGATACATGTTTCCTTAGGGCGGACTGCATCTTGGCCTAATCATCAGTTGTCTGGGAAAAAGCCGTCAACGTGGGACAATGTCTCTCCATTCGACTTTATCGTCGGGAGATGCTTGGGGTCCGTCTTCAGCTGAGTGAGTGTATTTCAGTAATCCGTGACTTCAGTAGCCTTCAAGACAGGTTCTTGAAAACCCCAGGTGCAATCGAATCGGCAGCTGTCCACGATTCCGGTACAAATACCTGAAATAACGCCACCAGCCGGTCTACGTTGCAGCTACACAATTGGATGCCTTGGAGCTGGACTCGGCATCCCTTGCCTTCTTCAATCCATGTATCCTTCTCCTTTGCGTATTGAGCGCCGGATACGCTCCAACGCATCAGCTCGATAATTGTTGCGCTTCCTGGCGTGCAGATCTCACACCCCTGGATGTCCAATGTGCAATAGACCCATATTACGAGCGCAGCAACGCTGACGGCGATGTGTGCCACCGGGTCTAGCATACGGACAGAAGCCCCATTCCCAGCTCCGTCGTGATATGCTATGTTTTGATGGACGGCGAGAATATCAACTGCGTGGCATAGAGACCACCGTGCTGTTGGTGTGGCTCCCCACTGTTTCATGGAGGTTATGCGCTGTTCTCGAGCTTGGCGATGCACTGCAGAGGCTTCTTCGACGGTGCCTAGATGTCGGTCCTTGGCGAGATTCGTGAGTGTCCTGACTTCGGCGAATAGTTGGAGACTGAGGAGATGATAGAATATAATGGTGTCAAAGAGGAGACCTTTCACGCGTGCGACCACCACATTCTGCCATCCAGGTCGGGCATGGTCTTCGTAGCCGTAATAGTACCGCAGCGGTAGATGTTCCTCTTGCCCAAATTCAAGAACCCCAGAATCTTGGTTGAGTATAGTATCCAGTCGCGATTTAATGTTGTCTAGTTGCCGTCTGAGAGAATCTTTCTGGAGAACTAGTCCAACTTGAGAAGCAGGAGACGCGCATGCCTTCCAAATGCTGGATTGTAGAGCGGCGAGGCATGTTTGTGTATCTTCTACGAGCATCGGCGTCTCGTTTCCTGGTATGGGGGCTAGTGCGCTTTCTGAGATGATTTCTGATATCGACTTCTGGCTACGGTAAATTGGTTCATTTGCCTGACGTTGCTCCCCTGTATAAAGGATTAGCAATGACCGACATGATATACATTATATGTATGGGGTCGCTGCCTACGACTTACACATGTGAAGTCCATCGGCATTGTACAATGCAAATGCACAGGGAAGAGGAAAATGCAGCTCTTCCGATACGACAATGGCGGGCTGATCTCGGAGTATGCTCATGTATGCATCGATCTTGAAGAGATATACTGCCAGCCTCTGTCTGTGACCTAGTCTAACGAGGCGCATAGGGATAAAATACCCTGGCTTTTCATCGATCCAGGCCGTTTCGGACTTGAAGAATCCTACCTCTCGGAGAGCAGAAACCAGAATGCATCTTAACATCACAGCCCTAGATACTACACTGTCGTTCTAATTTGAGATGAGCAAAATTTGGTCCTCGTTAGGCACTTTCACTTACCCCCAAATATAGAGCAAATACAATGTTTAGAAGGGCGGATTGACATAAATCGAGAGACAAGGACTGATATAGTCTATCTTGGGCAGTCACGGTACACTGTATGAGTTAGGGGCAACGCATGGCCAGTAAGAGGGCTTGCTTACCAGACGGGGGAGTAGCTGCTCAACCAGAGCATCGTGCCAGGTTGTTGCAAATGATTTCGACTCGCAGGTTCCTATTTCGAGATGGATAGAGTTAGCACTTCAGATGATAGATGTATGGTCACATGTGTAGATTCGGACATGGTTTGACAGACATACCTACAAGCCAGGCACCAATCATCTTTGCGGAAGACATGACGAGAGTGTCTTCCTCCTGCTCGAACGCAGGTCGGTGGACAAGAGTCCAACGATGATGAAAATGGTTGAAGTAGGCCTCAAGATACTGAGCGGACGTTGGATCTGGTGACGGGTTCTCAATGTTGTCCGAAGGCGTATCGCGCCGAATTTGGATGGTCGACCAATCGACCAAGCCAGTGGGACCAGTCAACTTGAAAGCTTCAGATTCTTTGCGTGCTTCTGTGGTAGTCTTCAGCTCTAGAGGGGCTCTCTCAGTAGGAATTTGGCCAAGGAGCGCTCTAGTCGTCGTCTGCTCATCCACCTCCATACATCCTGGCAGTGCTGCTGAGTTTAGAGGACTCGTCCGTCCGTGTGATTGGTTTTCTGCATCGGCAACCTGATCTTCTGGTCGGTATACACACTCGATGCTTCTCTTGATGCATGTAGCACAATTGTCGTTTCCGTCGCACTTAATCTTGCCAGCTCGGCAAGGTATGCAAGCTCGCTTGCTTCTGCCAGAAGGTGTTGGCTTGTAAGCGTCTCCATGTCGAGCCAGATGCCTCTGAAGCGAATCACTGGGAAGGTCAGCAGAGTTGTGATGCCGGATGGTTGTTGACCGTCCGCCTCGACCCTTCGCCTTCGCCTTCGCCTTCGGAAACACGCTCGCTCTCGCTCGCTTGAAGTAAGGTATTGAAGGAAGGGGTGCTCGTTCGCGTCGGGATCCACGTGACTCTCAGCTGACCTGGATGATGAACGTACTTTCGATTAAATTCCCGGCCGCAGACCTGGCATGTCAATAGATTTTGCGGATCATGGGTCTTCTCGTGACGCGACAAATGTTCTTTGCGCGAGAAGGACTTTCCGCAGCCCGCGTAGGAGCAAGGATGCTGGCGAGAGTCCATTACGGACGGGCATGAATTGGAAGTGCTCGTGTCGAGCAGATGATGCAGGCAGTATCCCTTGATGCAATTCTCGCGTGCTGAGGGAGCCGGATGGCGAGGATGAGGGATGCGGTCGTGGTGGTGGTGGTGGCGGTGGGAGGCGGGATTTCTTTGGTTGGAGCCGAGGGAGCCGGGCACCTAAGCCCCCTCTTGTTTACTCAGCACCAGGAGTAATCAGATGTGAGTATCAACTGATGATGGCACTTATTGATCTTGGCTAGAGTCTATCTAGGATCCAAGATGAAGTGAACACCTCATCGATGGTGTTATGTAACAGTATGGAGACTTAAATTTCGCTCATCTAGGTAAGGATACGATGGGAATACATGCAAGCATATACACTAGATATATGTATATATATAAGGCTCTTGCCCCCCCCTCTCTCTCCTCGCTCTACCGAGTATCTAAAGCCAGATCCAAAGCCCCAAGCCCAAAGCCCAAAGCCCAAAACACCATCCATCCACTTCCTCTAGGCTCTTCCTATTCATATACTCTCTCACACACACCATGGCATCCATCAAGAATGTCACCATCGTCGGAGTAAGCTATTCCACCCTATTCCAATCCCTCCCTACCTACCCCGTCTCATGTGGCTATGTATCTTCTTACTGATTCCATTCATCACAGGGAGCTGGCGGTCTCGGCAGCGCCCTCCTCAAATCACTCGTCGACTCCGGAAAGTTCAATGTCACGGCCGTCACACGGCCAACATCGACATCCACATTCCCATCTTCCGTCAAGGTCATCAAAGCTGATTACAACTCCATCGACGAGCTCACCTCTGCATTGAAGGGCCAAGACGCTCTCGTCCTTGCATTGGGTAACGAAGGCCTCCCTGGACAAAACAAGTTCATCGATGCGGCCATCGCATCAGGCGTGAAGCGCATCATCCCTTCTGAGTTTGGATGCGATCTCGACAAGGCCGGATCGTTGCCAGTCTTTGGGTTTAAAATTGCTACGCGGAAATACCTTGAGGGGAAGATTGCTGCTGGTGCTGATAGTAAGTATTTCCTCTAAATGATCAACGCTGTTCTTCCACGCCTCCGTCTGGAAGATGTGAGACTAACTGTCATCCACAGTCACCTACACCTACGTCATCAACAATGCTTTCCTCGATTGGGGTCTTGAGAAGAATTTCCTTGTGGACTGGAGTTCCGAAGAGCCGACCCTGTATAACGGCGGCGACTTCGTCTTCAGTGCCACCACTCTCGCTTCGGTCGGCCAAGCCGTTGTCGGTGTCCTTACCCACCTCGAAGAGACCAAGAACCGCCCAGTCTTCGTCGAGGATATTGGCATCTCCCAAAACCAACTGCTCGCGCTGGCCAGAAAAGTTGCACCATCAAAGAAGTGGACCCCTACCACAGTGGACCTGGCCAAAATCGAGGAGCAATGTAACGAAGCAGTGTCGAAGGGTGATTATTCGGCCAATGTGATGATTAGCTACTTGTGCGTGGCTCTCTACCAAAACAAGTACGGTGGCCGCCCGGAGAAATTAGACAACGAGCTTCTTGGAGTTAAGGGCAAGACAGAGGCTGATGTCGAGTCCATCCTGAAGGGCGTTCTGGGAGGAAACTGAGGTAGAATTAGGAGGAAGGAATGGTATTGGCGTCTAGCTTGTATTGTATTGCTTGACCCTAAATATTAGCTCCGTTGACTACCGATACCGAAAGTCTTTTTCTCCGCCTGTTGCTCTTTTTGACTCACATATCGGCTTTGGAGCACCTTCGAAGCGGATAATCGCTAGTCTCCCGAGGCGATGGTGCCTTCTTGCAACCCGATTCCTGCAACCGCAAACCGTGTCTCCTAGGCTTGCCGTCCCTACCCCAAGGTTGGAGCCTGTAGCATGGTCAAACAAAACGCCACCCAATCAGATCCTCTCATCACATTCCTAAAACATATTTGGAACTACTCATCAGCTAGCCATGAGGTTGATTTGAAACAAAAGCTTTAAGCGAATCCAGGCCAGAAGTTATGTGTACTCCAAAACTGGGCTCGTTTGATGAGATCACCTGATGAACGCCCGCCTCAGCATTGAGCTCCTTTTCCTACCTACAAGCTTGACAAAAATGGCACTGCGTTGTCCATCGGATTCTCTCGCGAATCTTTCCCCGTGGACAACAAGTCTCTTGAGTGCCAACCTACGACCCGCATCACACACGTACACATATGTTCTCTCTCTCTCCCTCTCTCTCGCTGTGTAGTTTCTGCAAAGATTCGCAAATCCTGGCTGCTTACTCTCTTTCATTTTATATAAATACAAAAGCTATGTATGTACACGCAGGGTCGGCTCGTGAAGGATAGGTTTGCAGATGATAATAGGTGGGTTGGGAAACTTCCAAATTGGTTTTTGACGGCGTGGGGTGTGTGATGGTGTCTCTGCTATGGTTTTTTTTTGGTTGGTTGGTGATTTGGATTTTAGGAGGATCAGGATTACGTATTGATTGATGGATGGATTTCGGGGGTCTGGCAATGTGTGTGTATGAGTAAGTGAGTGTACTCGTCAAAGTTGAGACAGCGAGATTCTCAGACTGACTGTGGAAAAGCAGGCAGGGACTGACTAGTCTTAATATTGTTGCTGGTGCGTTCAAAGCCGGAGAGGTGGTGAGCAGAGCGTCCTCTTGGAAGCATTTTGTTGTTCCCCCAGACGATGCCAAAGGTAGGTCGGTTTTTTCAAGTCGGCTGTAGAAGAATAACCTGCCGGCTGTTTGGTACACTCAAAGTTCTCTTGAACACCGATTTTTAACATGGCACACTTTGTGGAAGAGAAGATTGGCTGGCACTGGTCGAAGGGAATATTTCGGCAGGGACAAACAGCGAGCTGAGCATGTGTGTAAACAAACACTCTTGAATCCGCCAATAGTGCTTGGCTCACCAAAATAAGTTGTGGTACTCGCAGCCCACACTCTGAGAACGTAAACTTCGGATATTAGAGGATCTTGCGCGATCGCTAGTATCGATAGTCGTAGATAACGTTCATTAGTACGGACCATCCACCAAGGTCGTAAACCCTCGCTTAACCCCGAACAACAAAACAAAAGGGGCGACCTCGCTTACATGGCACCGATCGCCCTCAAGAGTCCATCCCACTCTTATCCTATTATCTCGACTCAGTCTAACCCCATCGACGATACTTCCACAAACCTCCGTGCCTTGATATCTCAATCCAATTCAATTCTCCACCCAGCCCAAATCTCAACTTGGAAAAATGAGATTTCAAACCCCATCCAAACCTTAAAGAGCTCTAAAACTATCTCGACCAGCGTCAGCCTCGCATCGACGATATTCTTCCCGTCTGCTCCTCTCCCCCAGCATCCCCTAACCACCAACGTAGCAAGGGTCAGAGGAGATGTATGAGACGGTCGAGCAGCTGAGGGAAGTGCAGCAGCGGATGACTGCAAATTTCGAACGGGTGCTGCGCCAGAGCCTGGAGGTCGTTGAGCTGACGAGGGGATGGAGGAACGTGAGGGAGGAAGGGGTGGAGCGGGACGAAGGTTGGGACGGATGTATGGTTGCAAAAACCTCAGCTAATACATTGGTGGGAAAGCTGCTAGGCGTTCATGAAATTTCGATATTGCAATTCTGTGGCTCCTAACGCCGCGCTTGATGCTTCCTTTATCTGTGTAGCCGAGTAGGAGAGTGCTACCTCCGTCCTCCTCTGCCAGCCCCGCCCATCATACCGCTCATCTGCTTCATCATCGCTTGCATATCCATACCACCCGGCATACCCGGCATACCAGGCATCCCGCCCGCACCGCCGCCTCCACCTCCGCCAAGCATCTTCATAAGCGATCCCATATCAGGCATCCCGCCCCCTGCTCCACCACCGCCCATGCTCGCTAAGCGCTTCTGCATAGCAGCCATTTGTTGCTGTTTGTTGCCACCGCCCATGGCGCCCTGTGCCTTTTGCAAATTCTTTATATTGCCACCCATCTTCTTCGCCATACCAGCCATCATCTTGTGCTGCGTCAAAAGATCCTCGACTTCATGGACGCTGGTCCCGCTTCCGTAAGCTATCCGTGTCATTCTCGTTGGTTGCTCGATGAACATCTTCCCATCGCTGTCAAGCTCTTTTGCAGTCATGGAATCGCAGATGTAGATCATTCGCTTGAGCTTCATGGATCCTTCATCGTCATCCATGCCTTGCATCATACCGCTCATGCCTGGTATCATGCCTGCCATCTTGGAGAGCGGTCCCATCTTCATGATGTTCGATAGCTGGTCTCTAAGATCGCGGACTGTGAAAACACCTTCGGCTATGTGCTTCATCGTGTCCTTTTGGTCCAGCTTAAGTGATTGCACATGTTCCACCAAGCCTTGCATGTCTCCCATTCCTAGCAGCTTTGACACAAACTGTTGAGGCGCAAATCTTTCCAGGTCTAGCATATGTTCTCCAGTTCCGATAAAAACTATAGGTGTATGAGTTGCCGCAACAGCTGAGATAGCTCCTCCTCCGCTTGCATGTCCATCCGTCTTCGTGATGATAATAGCGCCGAAATCAGCAGTCTCCTTGAAAGCTTTACTTTGAGCCTCGGCTTGTTGTCCGATACTGGCATCGAGAACCATAATCGTCTGATCCGGCTTAACAGCGGTCTGAATATCCACCATTTCTTGGAACAGAGCGTCCTCTTGTCGATGTCTTCCTGACGTGTCCACGATGATTATCTCAAACCTCTCCTTCTTGAACTTCTCCACACCTTCTTTAGCTACCACTGCAGGATCCGTTTGTGTGAGGGATCCATAGTAAGGAATCTTCGCCTTCGTGGCATTCTGCTTCAGCTGGTCAAAAGCACCAGCACGGAACGTATCCGCGCAAACCAAGCATGCCTTAAACCCTCTCGATTGATAGTGTCTAGCCAGCTTCGTGCACGTCGTCGTCTTTCCCGCACCTTGCAATCCCACAAACATGATAACATTTGCCTTTCCCTTCTTCGGTTTGAATGGTTCAGCATGGGGATCCACCAATTTGACGAGTTCATCGAAGACGGCTTTCTGGATGAGGCGTTTCTTGTTCACGCCCGGCGCTTGATCCTTGAAGTTGACGGAGGCTTTAATCGATTTCCGCAGGTTTCCAACCAGTCGTACGTTTACATCTGCTTCTAGTAGAGCGGCGCAGATCTCTTTAATCATGCCATCGAATGCCTAGGACTGTTAAGTGTGTTTGCGCCAGGCGGTCAGTAGGTACTGACCTTCTCGTCCAAGTTGCTGGACCTCGTCAGGTCGCTGACGGCCGCGTTGATACGCCGCCCAAGATCTTGAAGAACCATATTGCTGACAGTGTGCGGTAATGTTAAAGAGGTCGAAGTGGTTGATGGTCCTCGAAAGTTGTGGGTTCGCGGCGGGGTATGAGCTAGGGAGATCCTCGGGTATACCTATACCTGTTTCAAAAAAAAAATCCGGATAAGATGTGGGAGAACGGCGCAAGCACGATCGAACAACACCATCAAATCACAATGGCAGGAAACGTCTCGAAAAAGCGCAAGGCGGAGGATAGAACCAAGAGCAAAACACGGCCGAAAAAGAAATTCAAGAAGCAAACCGACTACGACAACCAATCCTCATCAGAAGACGAACCAGAGGCAGCGCAAGATTTCCCAGCCGTAAATCTCCAGGATTCCGACGAAGAGGGACTCGATGCCACAGATCTGATCGCTGCAGAAGAATCCGATTTAGATCTCGGCAACGATGAACCTGATTTGGGAGACGAGGAGGAGGAAGTCACAGATGCGTCGAATTCCGACTCGGAGTCTGGCTCTGATGACGAGGAGAGTGGCAATCCTAATTTGATCAAGAAGCGGAAGCGCAATGACCCCGAAGCATTCGCGACTTCTATGTCCAAGATCCTAGGATCGAAACTGTCGACGAGTAAGCGCAGCGACCCGGTGCTGTCGCGCAGTGTGGATGCGATTCAAGCTAGCAAGGAGATTACGGATCTGGCGCTGGAGAAGGCTGCGAGGCACAAGATGCGAGTGGAGAAGAGGGAGGCGTTGGAAAAAGGTCGTGTGAAGGATGTACTGGGGGCGAGTACGGCGTTTGATGCTGCGAATGGTGTGAAGGATGGGCCAACTGTGCAGGAGACGCAAGAGCTGGAGAAGAGGCTAAGGAAAACGGCGCAGAGGGGTGTGGTAAAGCTGTTTAATGCGGTCAGGGCAGCGCAGGTCAAAGGAGAGGAGGCTGCGAGGGAAGCTAGGACGAAGGGCTTGGTTGGACAGGGAAGACGAGAGGATAAGGTCACTGAGATGAGCAAGAAGGGCTTCTTGGATCTCATTGCAGGAGGTGGTGGCGGCCTCAAGGCTGGTGCCATCGAGGAAGCATAAGCAGGGATCTTCAATATCTTGAAACTATTGTCTGGCGTTGAGAAGGGAATTGGCGTTAATTTTGGCATCACCCTAGATGCATCCACCTCAGCTTTCTTCTACAGGTACAGGTACAGCATTATAATGTACATGGGTATGGGCGATAATCTTCTTCATGAAGGACTCATTATTCGACCAAGTATTGTCCCCTCCCCTCCCACACCAACTCCTTAAATCGTCAAAAGTCCGCCCGAAGCTCTCTATTTTCGTTCGGCATTTGTGTGCCCCCTACTTGCGCTGCTCGAAATCGCTCTTCTGCATATTCCTCGTCATTGATGGCAGCTTGACCACCAATCCATTCAGCTCCGGTGTCATGGTGATCTGGCAGCCCAACCTCGATGTCTCCGTCAGGCCAAACGCCAAATCCAGCATATCGTTCTCTTCGTCTGATGCCTCGTCCAACTTGTCGAACATCTCCTCATCCTGTACGATAACATGGCATGTTGAACATGTGCATGATCCCTCGCAAGCACCTTTGGTAGGGTCAGCTTTGAGTCACATGTGCTAAGCAGCATCGAACTTGCCTTCCATCTCAATATCATTCGCCTGAGCAATGGTCAAAAGATTATCGCCTTCATTGACCGCTAGCCTGTCTTCATTCCCATCCTTGTCGATAAACGTAACATATAGCCTGCTCTAAGTCAATATACATCCTATTTGATCTAGGATAGATCCACTTACTCTTTTCCAGGTGGAGGAGGTTCCCAGTGCCCATGTGAAGCTGCTAGAGTTGCCGAGAACGTCCGCCGACTCAGAAACGATCCCACAGCACTGACAGGTGTGTTTTTGCGCTGAATCCGAACACTGTCCATGACAAGGGAATGCGACATCGTCGCGGCAGATGTGGTAGATAACAGTGCTCGTCTTTGGAATCGAGATTGTCTCTCCAGCGGTATCCGCAGACATTGTATCGACCTCCTTCCTAGGGCAGACATGCTGGCAACTGCTGTCCTTGCTGGCGCCATCTGAACGTAAATAATAGAAGTACAGAGCTCGAAGATATAGTTGATCAAATTCGAATGCGCCGTAAAGTAAATGTTGATGCTCGATTTCGGGGAGGCAATGGAGTTTTCGTATTTCAATCTTCACCTATTGCAGCATGAAGAAGAGGCGAAACAGTTCCTAACCGATTGCTGTTCCTTCGAATGTTGGAATCGTTGCTTGCACGGTATGTTGGCGGTTGCGGAATAAAAATAAATAATTCTCGGTCAAGTCATTGGCGGGGCGGCAATCCTTGTCTGATGAAGCTTGCTTGCATATATATGGATTGCCATTGACGAAGTCTTGGTCAGCCCTACTTGTTTTCCAACAATACAACAACTACCCTTTTCTCACGAAATAACGATCAGTACACCATGTCAACAACACGAGAAGGTCCAAATCCATTGCGACCGTACTACAAACCACCTTCGATCGGGATACCTCCGGGCCCGCCAGGGACGACGAGCTCTGGGACCCATGGATTAGGACCAAGGAATGGCAGTGCGGCTTCCTACGCGTCATCTGCACGCGATATACTTTCAGATATCGATTACACAGACTACGGCTCGTCGTCTACGGTGGAGTCGGTAAAGCAACAAATTGACGACTGGTTCTACAGGTACATGAGCATACTGCTCGGCCAGCCATTTGATGTTGCGAAGACGGTCTTGCAGATTAGGAGCCAAGTGACAGACGATGGGCCGGCTGTCGAGCTCAAACCGCGGCGGCAGCGTAATAAAGAATCTGCGTATAATGATGTATGGATGGAAAAGCTAGGAGGTTGGAAACACAGGCTAACTCTTGTAGTATCCTTCAGATGACTCGGATCCAGACGAGCCGGCGTACTTTACATCTACTGCTCCTTCGTCTCATTCATATTCTCCTGCGAGGAGTCGGAGGCGGCACAGCAGCGACTCGAGGTTTTCACCCTCTCCTACTCCAAAGCCGGCAGCTGCTCCGGCGCATCAACTTGTCCTCAGACGATCCGATGCAGTACTGGAGGTAATATCACAAGAGTGGTCGAAAGAGGGGGCATGGGGAGTGTGGAAAGCGTCAAATATTACCTTCGTCTACAGCTTACTGCTACAAACTATGGAGAAATGGTCTAGGGGCTTGATATCTGCCCTGTTGAATGTTCCAGATCCTGAGATATCTGCTGGACTGATAGGCTCGACCTCCCCTTGGGCTACACTGGGCGTGGCTGTTGCAGCAGCGGCAACGGCAGGAGTTTTTCTGGCGCCCTTAGACCTCATCCGCACAAAGTACGCCATTTTCCCCATATCTTTTTTCTTTTCTTTTTGGCTGACATTCTAGACTTATCATAACGCCAGTGGCGTCCCCAAAACGCTCTCTGACTTCCCAACTCCGGACCCTCCCCTCCTACCTCTGTCCAGCATCTATCCTTCTCCCCACAATCCTGCACTCCCTCATTACCCCCTCCATCTCCCACTCCACGCCCCTTCTCTTGCGTTCCCACCTATCTATTGACCCAATGCTCACGCCCGGCACTTACTCTCTCTTCAAATTCCTCTCCCGCGCCGTCGAACTATTTGTCAAACTGCCCTTAGAAACTGTCTTGCGGCGAGGACAAGTCGCCGTATTACTCGAAGACGTGGAAATAGCCAAGGCCCAGGGGACATGGACATCGGACTTGAAACCCGTCGTCAAAGTAGGCGAATACAGAGGCGTGATTGGGACAATGTGGATGATTATCCGCGAGGAAGGGATTCGCGAACCTCCCATTCTTACCCAAAATATCAAAGGAAAGAAATCTCAAAAGGAGCAGAAAGGGCAAGGGCTGCCAGGGCTGTGGAGGGGGTGGAGGGTGGGCATGTGGGGGTTGGTTGGGATGTGGACGTCGCGGGCTTTGAGTGGTAGTGTGAATGGAGGGGAGTTTTAGAGGGGAGAAGAAGGGGTTGACGATACCAAGTTATTTTTTTTTTTTTTTTTCACGTTTTCTGCGGGCGTCGTGCTTGGAGTTTTGGGATACCCGAGTGCCCGCGGGACTTCGCAACATACTCTACTTCTACTGTCAAACCCAGGGCTCAATCCAGCCCGCGACTAACTCTGTTGGTCAGAGGAGTCCCAAGTGAAGGACTTTTATTTCAGCGAAGGTAAATACCGCGATACCCAACTACCGTGTACATATTCCACGATGGAAGTGTTTACTATGGGTCTGTCTCTACTCACAGCAATGGAGTCAAAGGTCAATTGGTACTTTTTGAGCTCTAAATGGAACCATTCTGGTCTTTGCCTTTGAGATGAGATATTGCATCGCCTATTCACACTGCCGCGCCTAGAGAAAACATGCCGCCCGGGACATGGGCCATGGTTATTAAGAGGCAATCTATTTTCGAGACCGGTTTTCTTAATCTCGATTGCATATCCGAGCATAGAAACAGGAGTCATCCAACCCTTCTCCTGTTGCCACTACCGGCACATCCATTAATCCAGCTCCGATAAATTTTCTGAAAACTGTTCTGAATGGTCATGGCGTGGCTTCAGAATTTCAGATCGACAAACTGGGGTCCTGTGGCTGGCTTTCTTGACTTTCCAAAGTCATCCATGAAATCGCCCTTGATCCGCTGGCTGAAGCCTGAGGGGCGCCCCATCATCTATATGAAGCCGCAGGGCCAGTAGCAGCCCGATTGAGAGGGAAGATCCGCGGGAAAGAGCTAGAAACTCTGGAAAAAGATAAAAGGGGATCATCAATCAACTACTGTGAGCTATGGCAAACTGCCAGGACGGATGTTCTTTGATATCGGTAGCATAATCCTGGTATTTGCCTAAAATATCTGGATGACTGACTACCTAGCTATAAATTGGAAGATATGCCCTATCTCAGCCTGGTTGTTGGTTATGAGATTCTCCTCGTGAACTATCCAATCCTTAGGTAGATGAGTCTTCTTCTTGTTTGGAAAGACTTTGACCACGGACGTGTGGAGCCGGGGCTGGGTTGAATGTTGGAGGTTGATGATTAGGATTATGATCGGGAAAGATCTGACTTGATGGCGAAGTGTGATGAGAATGATTTCGACCTCGTTCTATTGAACCACAGGCCGACGGTAAAAGGCAAACATGTGCTTGTTTCGTTTGGTGAACGTGCACGGGGGTACGCTACTCTCCCCCCCCATGAATAAATGTCGGACCCAGTTTAGGCCCATAAATCATAGAACGGTGGTTTATTAATGGCTCAAAGCCCTGTCAACTCCACTGTATAGACTAAATACTGGCTCAAAGATACTTTCCAAAGCTGAATCCTTATAAGTTGATTGGTTTAAGCCTTGGTAAGATCCCCTTGCGAAATTATACTTTCGACATTTATTCATGGGGGGGGAGAGTAGGAAGTGAGCAGAACAATAGGACAAACACACGTCACGACGGTGTCATTGAAAGCCGCAAGGATTGTGAAGCGCCGCGGGAACATACTACTACGTCGCAGGCGTAAGTATTACCCCTCGAGGGTAGGGAAAACACGGGGTTTAAAGTGTAAACTAAACTTTTAAGGCACCCTCGAGGGGTAATACTTAGGCCTGTACCGTGGTACGTATGCAGTACGGTATGCGGATGTTTCAGGGGTAGATATCTGCAAGTGGATTCGGCCGTGGCTCGCTCCGAGTTTCGAAGCGAGGAAAAGGGGCAGGACTCAGGACTGTCAAGAGAAAGCTGTGTACATTGATTCAAGCTCACGATCGCTTGGATTTCCCGGACAGTGAACATTGATGCGGACCTAAAGAAGCAAGCAAGCAGGCATGAATATAAGAGAGCATGGCGTTGAAACTAAAAACGGAATAGATGAACATCGATACGCATTGGACAACTGCAGAAACAGGTAAGAGCAATATCAGTCATCATGGCAAAGGTCATGGCAAAGGTAATGGATGGTAATACCGTAGGTAGGTACCGTACCTAGGTAGTGATGGTGATAATAATAGTAACAGTAAAAGGATGCAACCACCACGAGCATGCAATGTCTTGGCGTTGGGCTTCGACGGCGAGGATCAGAGCTTCGATCATGCAGGTCCTATGTCATGTCATCTCCTGTGCCGGGCATTGGGCATCGAGGGGAAAAAATCTGAAATCTAGAAACCTAAAAATCTAAAAGTCTAGAAATCTAAAAAATCTAAAAATCTAACCAAAAAAAAATAGCTCACCGCTGAAATTATATGCGTATCTGCATTCATATATAGGTACCTATGTAAGCATTGTTTCAATTTCGCCTTCTCTTTGGAACATCAAATCACACTTCATTACAAATTTCCTGACAAAGCTGTATATACTAGATACCCCGCTCACAAGACAAAAAAATTTCACGGTCAAGAACCAACCGTTGATCAACAACACCACGAACATCTATCTCAAACCCGAGCGTAGATCCAACAGCTCTCCCCGATGAATTCTAATTCAAGGAATCATACCGCTTAACTTCGAAACCCATCTTCCAATTGTCACAGCCCAGTGTCCAGCACGTAGACCTGTGACAACGATAGCGACATCGCAATACGTCCTACAACTCCACCAACTACTTACTCTATGAGCAACAGAGACTTGCTGAGATTCCTGTCCAAGCCTGCAAAGTAAGTCAGGATATTTCTTTGTGTCCTCGCGACTGGCTCTGGGATATTCACTCCGTACACTGCCGTGTGCTCTGTAGGCTGTGATATGAATCATAGCCTGCATTACACCTCAACCGACGACCATTTCCTTCTCGCCCTCTCCTTTCCCTCTTTACGATTCCACCTACATCTACACGACGTTGACTTCGCTTGCCAGGCCCAGATAACACCAGCCACGCCCCCTACGCTCCACTTCCATCGACTTTTTTTCCCCAGACTGCAGATTATCCTCATCTGCTAGACCCGATATCCATCTACGGTATCGGAATCTATCAGAGCGAGGCTATAACAAGAGCCACAATTCCATCAGCAAAGAACTTCTACATCCCTTTGTGCACCCGACCCCCATAACGTCCCCCAAAGACGTTCACATACCACACATTTAGCTGGCTCGGCCAGCACTCGGAACATACCACGGCTCCGTGGGCCTTCTCTTCCCAGGCGGACACCGCAAGGTTCGTTTGGGTGGCAGATAGTGCTACACAGTACTTACAAAGGAGGTCGACCATACTCTTCCACATCATCCACAAACCCGCCAGTCGGTTCAGATACCAGTGTCTGTCTCAGTTATGCTCGACCTTGAGATACCAGCCCAAAACACTTTGTCGCCTTCTGAAGGTACTCCACACCTGACGATCAACCATGAGGCTACCATCGATCTTGATAGTAGCAATGCTTTCGAAGGTATTGTTTCCATCCTATCATGCCGGCGAAAGCTAATAATTTGCAGGCCCCGAGAAGTTGCTAGAGGTCTGGTTTGCCCCAGCTCCCGATGCCCTCCCTCCAGGAACCAAGAAAGATGGCTTGAAGGCGGTCGCCGCGGATACATGGAAGGGAATGTTGGATTTGGTCAACTGCAAGGTCCTTTCCGTCATCGAATCCGAGCACATTGATGCCTACCTCCTCTCCGAGTCGAGCATGTTCGTCTTCCCTCACAAACTTATCCTGAAGACTTGCGGCACTACCACTCTCTTGCTGGGACTCCACCGCATGTTGAGGATCGCTGCGGTTGAAGCTGGGTTCCCTTTCGACAATACCGATTCGATGGAGGATATCAAGACTGCGGCTACGCCATACCGAGTCTTCTACAGCCGCAAGAACTTCCTATTCCCAGATAAGCAACGTGGTCCTCACCGTAGCTGGAAGCACGAAGTCAACTTCCTGGATTCCATGTTTGCTGGTGGCAGTGCGTACATGGTGGGGAAGATGAATGGTGATCATTGGTATCTCTACTTGACATCACCAAACACCTCTCTCACACCACCAAGAACACCCGACAATGAGCGGTCACCCACCGAGACCAAGATCCTGAAGATCCCCGGAAACTCGGCCTACGCCATCGGCCAGCGAGCCATCGAAAACGATGACGAGACCCTCGAGATCCTCATGACCGACCTCGATCAGGATAATGCCCAGAAGTTCTATCTCGAACACGCGAGTGCGGTCGCGGAAGGCAAATATTTCGATCGAGCCCAGAAAGCACGGAAAGAAGGCGCTAACAGTCCCGGCGACCTCGGCGAAGCCATGACAAGCTCAACCCTCAGCGGCACCACTGCTGCCTCCAACGACGGGAAGTCCGACGTCTTCAGCCACGCATCCTCCGAGAGCAACACCTGCACCCTCGAGGACGAAGCCCCCTTCCCCGAAAACCTCAGCACCGAAGGCCACGCGCTCGGAACGGTCGTGTCGGAGGCCTGTGGACTGTCGGACGTGTATCCCACGTCCAGATACCCCGATGCTCGCGTCGACGCGTATCTGTTCACACCGTGCGGATTCTCTGCCAACGGGGTGATTCCGGCGCCGCACAAGGCAGGTGCTGCAACGCACTACTTTACGGTTCACGTCACGCCAGAGGCCCAGTGCTCGTACGCCTCGTTTGAGACTAACGTGCCCGGTCGCCAGACGGGCCGTGAGACGTCGGAGGTTGTGGAGCATGTGGTTGATATCTTCAAGCCGGGGCGCTTCAGCGTCACGCTCTTTGAGGCCAAGGCTGATTCTCTCGAGACTCCTGTGGGAGAGATGAAGGCGACAGCTGCGCGGAGCGCGAAGATGGAGCGGATCGCGGGGTATAAGAGGGTTGATCGGATCGTGCATGAGCTGGATGGGTACGATCTCGTGTTTGGGTACTACGAGAAGGATGGGTTCCTTGGCGGGCCGCCGCGGTTGGGGGAAGTTGACTGAGGGTGTGACGTCGAGGGTGGCTGGGGGGGGTCTCTACAGATTGTCTCGTTTGGCTTTTGTACATGGCATTTATGCAGTCCGGTCGTTACATACTTTGCTATCGATGAATATATTGACGGGTGTGATGTGATGCGGTGCATTCATTCTTTTCCCTCTCTGGCGGATAGTTACAACGAAATGGTCATGCTGTGCAGATTGATTCAGAGGAGAATATGCGACTGATCCCACGATTCCGTGCTGAGATGGGTAGCGGATATATACCTAGATTAGGTATGTATCTGGCTATGGATTTATGCTGAGGAACGTATCTAAGTCAACCCTGGTATAGCACAAAGTAAGCGTGCATGCTCCTCCTACCTACCCTGCACGGTCAAGGAAGCGAGTACCCGGCTCAGCAGCCCAGCCTCTTCATTTTGTGTGTTCCCGGTATATTTTGTGTTCCGGGCGGTGGTGGCATCCGTCCTGGTTGGCTTGATTGGGTCCTCGGGCGAGATTCCTTATTTGTTGTTGAGGAAGAGGCCAACGAGGCAAGGGATAAGCAAGATGGGGAGAAGAGGAGGTTGGGGATACTTACGCGAGAGCGAGATCGCGAGAGAGAGCACATGCTGATGACGGTAGGTAGATATCTTAATCGTGTATGGTATCGTGGTGTGGATGTAGTGCGGTGTTTGACTTTGTGCGGAGTAGAGCAAGATGGGACGATGTAGGTAGGTAGGTATTCTTTTCTTTTTATTCATTTACGGTACTTCCTTACTTTACTTACCGGCGACAGCTTCTCTGCTTTACTTGCTCTCTCTCCCTGACCTGCCTTGCCGGAGTCTACTCTTATTGATTGATCGATTGGCCTTTGTAATTTGCTACGTTTTCTTCTTCTTCTTCTTCTTCTGCTTCTTCTTGTTTCTGTTCTTCTTGTCTCTGATAGATCTTCTTGTAGGTGAAACGTCGGATATGCATCACGTCTACAGTACTCACTCGCGCCGGGGGTTCGCGGTGTCTTTTTATAATCGCGTTCGACTCGACTCGACTCGACTTGACTTGACTTGACTCGACCGCGCCGAGCTGGGGCCCCTGCATCCAAGCGCCTTGCTCGCTTCCAATGGGAAATATGAACACTCGGGGGCCAACACGTCCACACGTCTGCACGTCTGCACGTCACGTCCTGGCTGCTGCCAAGAATGCCGTTGATTGGCGGTCATCGCGAAAATTCGCGGTCGGAAGATGCGTAGGGGGGAATTGGGAAGAGGAAAGGAGAGGTACGAAGGCCCGTGAGCCTGGATTATATGTGACATGACCTCCCCCCAAGAGAGAGAGGTTGATCTTGTGTGAGTGTGTGTGTGTGTGTTTGTTGTATTCGTGGAATTGTGAGCTGGATTTACTTGTTTATTGGTTTGGAAGGAAGCATTCATCATAACAATAACAATAACAATCACAATCACAATCACAATAACAACAACAAACAACCACACGGCCGACAGACGACAAGGTTCACGACGACGACGACGGCAGCAGCAGCCACTTCTCAATAGCCACAGCAGCAACAGCAACACCACCAACACCATCATCGTCAATTGAATCGTCCGTCACACGAAATCGAACACCCTACCTACATTCAACGTTGAACACCTATCAAGTTCAGCTCTGCAAACTCAATCCTTCCCCTTCCTTTGCCTTCGCTTCCCTGCCCACACCCATCCGCATCCCCTTCCCCATCCCCATCCTCATCCCCCAACAATGGCAACCCAACTGGCAAGCACCCGGCAGCCCTTCGCACCGCTCAACTCTTCCCGCCTACAAACCCTCACTTCGCTCAAGAACCGCCAGAATGGTACCTCTCCCTCTCCCTCTCCCCTCTCCCTCCCCCCCACCACCCCCACCCGCCCTCACAATGCCATCAACTCCCACTCTAACATCCCGCCTCCCAGCCATATCCTCCCTAACCCCATCCTCAAAACGCAAAGCCGCCTCCTTCGATGCCGACCACAGCAACGAAGACGGCGAGAATATCGACCCCGCCGCCTTCCTGTCGCCCAAGCGCTGCAAAGGCGCCGATGTGAAGGATGGTGGCTGCAAGCCAGTCAACTACTTCCTGACCACCTCCACGTCGTCGCCCGCTGCTGCTGCTGCTGCTGCTGCCAAGCTCCCGCCGCCAGGACGTGCGATCCTCCATGCGCGATCGCCTGCGAATCCGAGACTCGAGATCGGGGGTGCAGGTGTGAGGAAGACGCCATTGAGTGCGCCCGCCGGCCGCAGCCCCACGCGCAAACGCGCCGGCATCCTCCACCGGCGGAAGACGGGTGGTGGAAGCTCGCCCTTCACGCGCGTCGACCCGCCCAAGTTCTCGTCTTCTGCTCTCTCTTCGTCGCTGGGCTTGGGCTTCTCCATCGATGCCGCGCTGTCGGGTACGATTCCCGGCTACGCGTCAAGGGCGAAGGAGCAGGAGCGGGAGCGGGAGCTGCAGCAGGAGCAAGAGCAAGAGCGGGAGCAGCGTCAGATGAGCAGCGTCCCGGCGCTGTGGACGGACGACAAGCCGAGGGAGTCGTGGAACTTTGAGATCTACGAGGACACGGAGGAGGAGCTGGCTACGAACCTCATGGAGCATGGGGCGTGCACGCTGGAAATCAGTAGCGACGAGGAGAGCGCGGCGCGCGAGCGGGATCTCAGGGGTAAAGAGAACGTGCCCCCTGAGGCGGAGGATGGGGGTGATGTCAGTCAGACGAGCTCTGCATCTTCTTCCTCTACCTCTGCTGATGCGGCTACGCTGGCCGTGCAATCCGCCATGAAAGCTAGCACGAACCGTGCTCCGAGGAGAGGGAGGATGCAGGACGCCAACGCGATTGTCATCGACCGCTGCCCGCTCGGTGATCTCCCGGCCGAGGACTTCTACGCTGAAGGCTGCGATGAGAATACCGTCGTTCTCGCCGATGCCGATGTCGACGCCGATGCTGATGCCAGCGCTCTGATCACTCCTCCTGCCGACGGAAGTGAAAACGACGGTCGCGCTAGTACTAGTACCAGTCATGTCCCAGCATCGACCTTTGACTTGGCGGCTGGGGCGCTGCACAAGGGCAAGGGTAAGGCTATCGAGATCGATCTCGATGTCTTGATGGCGAAGAGCGCGGAGAGTGGTGCGCCTGGCGCGAGGCTCTTGGAGCCGCTTGAGAAGGCCGAGGTCGGATGGACCGTTTGGGAGAGCGGGAGCGCGAAGGCTGACGGGGAGGAGGAGTAGTCGGCTCTTCCGTACTTGGCTTGAGGGGGGCCAATCTCTGGCGGGTTCCCCCCCTCCGTCTCCCTCTCTCTTTCCTTTGTTGTGTGTTCCATGTTCATGAGTCAATGCTCGTTGGTGGAGTTTATGGTTGGTCTGGTCTGGTCTTGTCTTTCTGTCTGTCTTGCTACTGTAGCTTGCTGGCTTGTCCAGGTGCGAAGTGACGGGATGTGATTGGCTTGGACAGGACAGGACTGGATTTGATTTGGTTCTCGGGGGGTGCGGGGGCGGAAAGGGGGGAGGGAGGGCTAGGGCGGGCTAGAGGCGATGACCACGGAGGGGATAGGCATGCACGTAATGGGATTGCAAGTGGGAAGGTGGTGGGAAGGTGGTGAAAATGGGGGCTGGCTCGGCTCGGTACACACTAAAAGGGGTTCCAAGAACCAAAGAAAGGTCGGAAGAGCTCTTGCTTTAGGCGTCTAGCTTGCAAGTACGTTTCTTGCTTTTTCCTGACCATCGACAGTCATTCCTTGTAGCTATCTATCTATCTATCCGTCTGTCTATCCGTCTGTCTGTCTGCTCTATCTGCTCCCTCTTCATATCTGCTCTCTCCGTCTGCAGCTCTGCCTTGGGGCCTGTACGGGATAAAGGGTATTTCTCGGTCTTGCTTTGCTTTGCTCTGCCTTGCTCTGCTCTGCTGGGGATTTAGTACATATATATAGACACACACACACACATCCACACATCCACACATCCACACATACATACATATATATAAAGACATACATATATACATATATATATATATATATATATATATATATATATCAAAAGACATTCTAAACAAACCCATCCAAATGCAAACAAGCAAAATAAACCCATCTGAACTTCCCCCCTCTCCCTCCCCCACCTCTTTCTTTTCTGTGGCTTTTGTTACGACCTTGAAGGAGAGAGAGAAAAAGAAAAGAAGAGGGGACAGGGAAAGGGAAAGGGAGAGGGAAGGAAGGAGAGAGAGGGGAAGGGGAAGGAGGGGTCGATATAACCAACCTGCCTGTCGTTTCAAAGGGGGCTTGGCGACTTTGGATGCGGAGAACGGATGGCCGTGTTTGTGAGGGGCTGCTTGCTGTATTTATTGCGGTTCTCGATGTTAGAGGTCTCTTCTGATGAGGAGGGAAGGAGAAGGAGGGAAAGAGTAGGTAGGTGAGGCTGTGGGTGTGTGTGGGTGTGTGTGTCTGCAGCGTAGATTGGCTTCAGGCGCACCCAGGCATAGATATGATGTGAATTGCCTTTATCAATATCAATATATCAATATCAATGTCAATATCAATGTCAATCATAGCACAGGGTCGGAGGGGGAGAGGGGGCGTGAGGCGTCTAAGCGAAAACCTCGCTTAGCATTCAAGGGGCTCAACCGGACTTGAATTAAATGTGTTCGGCTTTTCTGACCGGGTGGGATTCGTGGTCGTTTGTTGTTAGCTGTGAGGCTGTGCGGCGTTGGGAGTGAGCGGTTTTTTTTTTTTTTTTTCGCCTTCTGGTGGGAAGGCTGGGTGTTGTTGATGGTGGCTGGCTGGCGATGGGCAGAGGTTCGTAAGGTGGGTGAAGTGGATGGGAAATGGGATGGGAGACGGGAGATGGGAGATGGGCACGAGGCTGCACCGCGTACGTGGTTTGAGTCTATGCCAGCCAGCCGATTTTCCGGGCGCAACGGAAGATTTGGGAGACGAGGGACGGGGTGAAGCGCGGGGGAGAAGGGGGGTAATTGCTTTGCTAGCGCTGACTTGGTTCTACTGTGGGTGCCCGTGAGCCATGTTGCAAAAGCTCGGAGCTCAGCATGAAGCCAGTGCATCATTTTTTTCCTTCTCCCCCGGATTTGTCGTCTTGAAGAAGATGTGGAGAGAAGATGTATTGGCTCATTGCTGGTTGTGTTACGAGTGTATCATTGCGTTTTGCTGAGGAAGACTGATGGTCACTGGCCCTAGGGCATGGGCTGTGATGAAGGGTGGTGTACAAATCCCGCACTGTGTAGGATGACGAGTGAAACAAGCTTGGTTCTGGTGGGCAGCTGGTCTGGCTATAATTTTTGGGATTTGGATGCGAGTGAGTATGCCTGACGCGGCACGCCGTCTTGGGGATGCTTCTAACGAGAGCGGATTGTTGTTTTCAGGAAAGGAGTATGTCATGGGGCTTACATAGAGCGATGAGAATTTGAAGTGAAGTATGTAGATGTGATGAGTGAGAAGATCGCAGAAGAGAAAGAAGGAGAGGGAAGACATGCCTGAAAGAGCGTACTTTACATCAGAGATTAGGAAATTCACGTCTGGGACTGAGCACGTAGCCAAGTGGAGACTTTCAAAGTTTTTTCAGCTTGAGAGCATCCGCTCCGGAGCTCTCTCCAACAGAGTTGCTGGGCATAAGCCATTGTAGTAACCTGACCAAAGAGGGACAGAGTGCCCGTAGGTACTGTATATGCCCGCATTCGGAGTCCTCACCTAATGTACATTATTCTACACCCGTTCCATGGTACACGTCGTCATCCATCTATACTATTCCCAGCGGCTTGAGAATGGACTCTCTTGAAGCCTGGGCCGCAGCGTTTCCCCCTTTCTGCAACGCAATCGCCCCAATGATGGCATACAAAGAGGTAGTCAGTACCACATCAATACCAGAAGACTCCAATTTATGAACCTGGTTGAAGTTAGCTTTGTTCTTTCATGGTCTACAGAGTCCTTACCATCCTCGGCTTCCATCTAATGACATCCCGCATTCCCAGCGAGGTCGCCAGTGGCCCGAGTCTATCCTTGTTCAAGATATCGCTGATCGGTACGTCCGTCAAATTCCGCAGCCCTTCCAACGCAGGATGTGAGAATGGAACACGGTCGTCGGATGGGTCTGGGAGGGTCTGAGTCTTCGTAGCAACATCGGATTGCAAAAGTGCAATGTTCGTCTGCAAGGTTATGATCCGCCGACCTACGAATGTCAGCACCACGTCTCCTCGCTTCCTCCATGGAGCGTACCCAAGAATGCCAACCGATCATTGAATCCTCTCCGCCCCTGATCAAAGCTCTTATGCGTAACCGCCAGCCATTTGGCCTCCTCCGTAAGCACCTGCTCGCCGCCCCGACCCAAGAACCTGATGTAGAACCGGTCTAGCACTTGCGGATCGCTGTTGCATTCCCACACCTTGTCTGGGTCCTTTATTCGCAACGGGAATGGGGCCTTCATTTTCTCTGGCGTGTATGACCATCTGGGGCGTGATTCGTGCTGCGTCTCGTACTGCGCATCGCTCCTGTATTTTGACGCTGAGAACTGTCTGATCGATGCTGTTCGGGGGTGTTTCGAGCTGGCGCATTCGCAGGTTGGCCTTGATTGTCGTACCAGGCTTTGCAGCGACCGTCCCGTCGTTCTTGACGCCATTATATCCCTCCGTTGTTGTGGTCGGCACTTAAACTTAAAGTGTCGAATTCGAACTTTGGCCTGTAGTAGAAGTCCGTAAATTTATATTCGCTTACATAATCAATATATTTCGATCGCGTCTCCCTACCGCGTCGACGACAGTAACCAATCTAAACGCCAACCTCTCAGAGCATGAGTCCCATATTTTGGTATCTGTCTTGATCATGGCTGCTCACGAGAGACTCAGCATGACATCAATTGTTTCTCCTACATTAAGTCAACAACTCTCCACCGTGCTTCCCAAAGACTCGCAATTCAAAATCTACCACCTCTCAACGCCTCCAACCCAAACCTCTTCCCTCTACTCTGCACCTCCAGGGACTCGTCCTGATCGAACATACTGCGAGAGTCACTTCCTCACCGTTTCCATCCGTGTACCGGCGAAGGATGATAATGCGGAACCCCATGATGTGCTGGTCTATGCGGTCGAAATCTTGATATACTCGACAGCTTACGACTCGACATTCTTTGTTTCAAAGGCGGACTCGACGGGGTACCTGCATCTTCTGGGGCTGGAAAAGGGTACGCCCTCACCCATAAGGGATATTACTGCGACCTTCTTGCGCCATCTCGTTGAGCAGCACCAGAGAGCCAATATCCGCAGTGTGGTGTCCCTGTTCGCGCGAGCTCAAGGTCAATATCTATTCCCAGGAAGCGTCGAATACAGTGGCAAACATGTGTTGGATGACCGAGGACTGGTTCGCTGGTGGTGTCGTGTTTTAGATCCACTCATTGAGGGGACGAGGAAGGAATCGAAGGACTGGGAATCGGTGAAGGGGTACTTGACAGTTCCTGGGCTTGAAACGCAAGAAGCAATCTCTTACATACCGAATCGGAATATTTCAAAAGCATGGACGATTGGACACCCGCTTCGGGAGATATCACGACATCTCGATGCACCCCCGAGATGCCTCATACCACACTACCCAGATGATCCCAAGGCGCGGTTTCTCGATGAGCTAGATGAAGAGATACCTAGAAGTCAGGAAATGAGCGGCCAATGGAAGAGTGTCAGATCTATTGACGAATTCTGGGATATGATGGCTTTCCGACAAGAATGCTCTGCCGGTCGGATGGTAGGCTTCATTTGGATAGTTCTTGAACCGAAGATTCAGCACCGTACGACTGGATCTGTCATTGCTGACAGTCAGAGTACTTCCATGAACCATGACAGCCAGACCGGTGCAGAAGCGAACTTCAGCTCGCCCCATCGCCGGGAAATTCTCATCACGCCGAGTTCATCTCTCAATGCATCTAGCCAAGTCCTGCCACCAAGCTCGCCCGTCAAAACGGAAACAGAGTACCCTGACTCTCAGACACCAATGTTATCGAGATCACGCACCCCGAAAGAGAAGAAGAAGAAACTCTCTGGCCCTATCGTTTCCCGGCAACCTCGAGTGAAGACGGAAAAAAAGAATTATCTCCTCGAGAGACCCGAGAGCTCAGCCTACTATATTTGGCGGCCTGAAGGTAGAGGTCAGATTATTGTCGAAGAGGCGTCTTACAAGCGAATCACTGAGTTGTTACTCCGCCTGGACTTCGCCACTCTTGAGCTTGCAACGTCAAGTTCAAGCCGATGGATCAATGAGGTGCGTTCAGGTGGATGGGGAAACACCGGCGATGCTTGGGGTCAGTCAGTCACTGGGATGAGGGCCTTCAAAGCTCACTCTGCAGCCGGAGCCCCTGGTGTAGCTACGTTGAATATCGGCTTGATGCGAAAGAAACGGAAAGAGCCCCCCGAGAAATCCCCAACCGTCCCGGCTGCTCTTCAAGCGACTCCAGAAGTCAATGTTCTTGATGCTGGCCTAGTTCGGAAAAAGGGAAAGGTGTGAGTGTGAGATGCTATTTATAGGTATCATTTGACAATCCAAAGGCGTCTACAGGGTATGATTTGGAACGGGGGCGGCGCTGTAAAACGAATACCCAGGATAGTGAATAGTTGAAGATTGAATTTGATCTTGGCTTCCTTGCTCATTTGCAGGGTCATTTATTTGGATCTTAGTTTCAGTAAATACTGCTTGCTTGCAAGGCGAGCTCTATTGTGATCTTTCAAAACGTCGAAATGTCTCCGGTCCTATGTCGCGGTCTGAATTCAACATTATGTGCACATGGGTAGTTCAGTCTAGAGAAAGGCCGCCTTCCCTTGTTTTTGTTTGGAGATGGCTGTTCCGCACTCCCCATTAATACCACCAGCAAAGCATAGACAGATAACCATCAGGCCCATGCGGACCGTCATGGCTTCCGCAGCTCCAAATTCCCAATCTCCATGCCATTTCGCTCTCCGTAACTCTGACAGCATTATCGATAGTAGTAATACTGATTTGCGTCGGGCGGGTATCCAAAACGCAATGCTTGGACCCTAAGACCCCCCATAAGGTACGGCGACGTGCTAATTAGAGACTATATATAAAGTACTATCCAATCGAGAGTAGAAACCACGTTAAGGAAAAGCCCTCTTTCAAAAGCCGCGGGTTTCTGATCCCTTAATATCGTAGATTCTTTGTAAGTCTTTTCAAAGCATGTCAAGGGATTTGCACCGAGTTGTCTCTCTCGATAACTGGTCGAATGCGTATAGCCTTACCGGCGGCCTCGATCCGTGTAGGTATAAACATCGTTCTCTTTTTCCGTAAGGCTATGAAGGCTCTCGGTCGTAGCCCTTGTGTAAAGCCGGTGTGTTTGGAAAGCGCTCTTATCGAAGGCGCAATATCGTGTTTTCAAGCGAGCGACCTGAGCCTTTTCCTATTTCTCCTTAATCTCTTCATTCGGTATGCCCGTTAAGTATAGGTCGTAGTCGGCGGGGTCATCGAGAAAGGAAGGAGGTCCGGAACCGCCGGTGAAGGAGAATCTCTTCGAAGAGTCGCCGCTTACCGATGATTCACTTTCGGCTCTCTAGACTCTTTTGCCGCAGGAGAGAGCTGGAGGTTCGTAAGAGACACTTCGTACAGGTAAAGTAAAGATTCGTAGCCTCCCGCACTATCGATCAGAGGACAGGAAAAGTTGCTAAAATTGACGAAGGTCATTGCTGCGGCTGCCGATGGAAAGAGTATCCTGCGTACGGGTGAGCTCTGCTATTCCAGTCTGCAGTTCGCTTGAAGTGTAGAAAAAATTGAGGAGAGCCACTCTATCTCGAGTTGCGGACTTGGGCGTCAAGGCCAGTCTCTGCTTCTTCTGTGAATACAGAGACTTTTCTTTTCTGTCAGTCAAAGCCGTCTTTATGCCCCGTTGCCGCAAATTCCCTGGGCTTCTGCTTTCTCCGCGAGATCTAGTTCATTACCAGGTGACGATGGAAAGCAGGATTCAGATAGTGAGAGTGGTATCGCATTTGACGAAACCCGAGTCGAAAGGCGATGATTGGTTGACTTGCACAGGTGGTATAACTCAAGAAGACTCGTGCAACAGCCACGAAGACCTGCAAAGCGGTTTGCTCGCTGTATATCTGCGCTGCTCGCCACCGTACCCGCGCTTAAGCTGTTTCGACGGAAATTGTTTCCTACTGGTTGACCAGCCGGGCTCTCGTAGAATAAGTGACCGGGACTTTAATTGATTCAGTGTTTGGAGATAAAGAGACATCTATCGGGGCCGGAGATTACTGTAGTATTACATTGAATCGAAACCTTGTAATTTTCTTGCAAATCGCACTCTTGAAAGAAAAGCAGTGTAAAGCTTAAGCCTGAGTCTTATGAGAATCCTGGCCGGCGTCACTCTTGAAGTTTTGATAGCAACCAATTCGTCTGTACTCCGTAAGAAGTAATTGCGAGGTGGCCTTCCATTTTCGCCTACTTTTACTAAAGTAAGCGAGGTACGGCCAAAAGTCGATTAATAGTACTAGAAGTGGGTTCAATCAGTTAATTCTCAACGCAACCACATTAATTACTATATACCATTGCCTTAATCATTAATAATAATTAACTTCCGATGACCCGATGTCAAGAATTGCTTCAATTCCGTTAAAACCCAAGAATATAATCGATTGCTTTCGCTAAGCCGGTCACCTTTCCACTTGAGTGCAGCGCGCAAAGTGACCCCCTATCTGTAATCTACCAATTTATCGCCTTTCTTTTGATATTCTAGCAGCTTTGAATTATATTAATTATTATTACAAATATTCTTCCTATTAACAGATTCGCAAGCGTACGGATTTTTTTGATTACGCCGCAATATGCTTTAGTCCGCCGAGCATTTACTAGGTACTTGATGATCACCAAAAGTTGGGAAAATAAAATTACAAATTCAACGAATCGTGTAGCTTCTTGCACCCAAGTTTCATGTATAAAATCCAAGATGAAGATATGCATAAGCGCATGATAATTCTGAAAAATTCTCGATCTCATTAGGAAAGCCTTGAAAGGGGTACTTGATCAACCATTAATCATCAAGCTGAAAATCGAACCACAAACTAACGTTAAATGATATGATCAAATAGCTTTTGAAATCTCCACTTCGTCTGAAAGTGTTTCAAATCAATATATTCTTAATTGCGTAGTATTTCTAAACAGGGTTGGTCATGTAAAGAAAGCTGCGATTAGCGTGGTGGATTGATTATTAATTAGCACGTCAAAAATTGGATCCTGAATCGACTGTTGGCTGAAACTGTGCTTCACCTGATTGAGCGAAATCAGGTGAAAATGGCGGGCCGCCTTACAATTACGCTAAGCGGGGTACACACTTTGGCGCTGGCTGAATCAGCTTTGAAATTAAGCGTTGTGAGCCTTGATTGGTTCTAAATTTAGGATAATGATGAGGACATACTACTACAGTAGTAGTAGTTGTACCACAGAAATTGGATCCCGTGTACGGAGGAGAGGAAGTGGAGATGATTATTCGTCTATGAGCGGCCGAAAGACTATAAATATAGTCTAGGCTAAGCTCGTGGATGTTATGACATCATGAATTGTGTTGCTCCTTCTCCGCATTTACTACGTACGTAGTACTACCGTACCACGGTACGAAATAGGCGTACGGAGTGTTACACTTTGAAGGTGGTACGTACGTAGTAGTAGGTTCTACGGACTTGTACTAGTACGTATAGTACTTAGTAGTAGTATCTCGATCACCTTTAAACAACGCTGTCCTATCATTTAAATTTAAGCAACAACTTTATTAAGCAACAACTTTATTACGGAGTCTCGCTCGAATCCTACGCTTCTTAATTAACTCTTTTAGTAAGTCGAGGTTCGTCTTGACGAGCTTCGGGATATTTCTCTTGAATAAACGGAATCCTTCGTCTAATTCTAAACCTTCTCGGTCGAGATAAGATCGAGAGATAAAGCTGGCCATCCAATCGGCTCGATACCACAAGGTTTAAACCTTTACGGAGGTACGGAAAAATTAAGAGCCGACCCAGTTGAGCCCCATAAATCGTAGAGCGGTGGTTACGGAGGTCTGAATGGCTCAAAGCCTTGTCAATTCTATTGCACAGACTAACCACTTGCTTAAAAATGCTTTTCAAGGCTGAATCTTTATAAACTGACTGGTTTAAGCCCTGTGTAGGAGCCCTAGCAAAATTATACTTTCGACAATCATTCGTGGGGACTGTTGGAAGGGCGCTCCGAAAGGCTGACTCGAGCTAACTCTGTTGTGGATCTAAGCTAGATCTAAAAGAGCGGAAACCTGCTCGTGGTTTGCAAGACCTGCAAACCATTAGCAAGTTGAAATTCATTTTCAAAGTAGCTTAGTTCGGTCTATTGTTTGGTGTAAAATGTATAGAGGCTATTATTGGCTTTAAACGTTAGTCGTTAAAGGGGTGCGTAATGAGAGGTGGTAAAGGGTTGTGTCTCGAGCGAAGTGTACAAATAATTAGTATTTTCAATCTCAATTCGCCGCAATAGATGAAAACTTCGTACCGCTAATTAATCTACAGGAAACCATGAATTTGCAGCTTCGAATCGAGAGCAGCTTCGTACTTTATGCAAGATACACTAAGAGATGATGCTATTACCGATCCCCTTTTGCGCTAGCATATCTGGCTCCGTTTGCTTTCTACTACTTACGTAGTACTACGTAGTTGTACTTCCTGGCCGCACAAGTACTCGGATGCGAGGAGCCTAAAACACGCGAGAGAAAATTAACCACCTTCCAAATCTTGTCACATTTATTTACCTTCAACCTAAAAGCTGATCAAAGATTGGCATTACGGATAGGCTTTTAGGGGCTGTTTCCTCAAGCCCGTTGGTAGTCCGTCCTACCGGTACTTCATCCCCGTCTCCCCCCCACCTTGGAGTACCGGTAATCACGGAAGTGCTAAAAGTAAGGGTCTAAGCATACCTACTACTACTACGTAGGTACCTACACCTGCCTTTTTAAAACCCCTGGTTACCCTACCCTCAGGGTGTAACACTTACGCCTTGTGACGTTGTACGTAGGTAGTACTACGTATTTGACCACGATGGAATTTGAAGCCTACGTTTAGCCACAACTACCTAATAACCCAGAATGATTTCAAGAGTCCAAGAGCTCGAGACCCTTGAACAACCATCGTAGGGTCCTGGTTTTGTTATCTTATCGAACAAAAATCGCGAGTAATCCTTCGTACCTACCCCGTAGAGTAGGGTACCTTAGATAATTGCGTCAACAAGATTCGGCAATCACCGGAGCAGGACTATTTGTTTTATACTTTGGTGGGAAAGACAACCACCATAAGCCCTCATCCAAAAGACTATACATAAATAGCGAATGTACTATCCTCCAACAATAGCTGCTTCCCATCCTTCTCAACCTCATCTTCTCAAACCTTTCTAGCTTTCACCCGTCCTCACTCAAACCGCGATCATGAGATACTCACCTCTATCATTATTTGCACTTGCTGCAACTAGCGTGCTGGCCGTCGACATGTCCCTTTACAAACCTAACAGTGACGTTGACAAGGGGTTTGCAAACTTCGTAGAGCAGTAAGAATACTGGCCCAAAGGGGCCCGTCCGGTACTAGATACACCTGGTAATAAACTTCGACACAGATACTACCTCACATCCGAAGACAAAAATTCCGTCGACGCCTTCCTCTCTTTCTGGCCTCCAACGGGACGCTTGATCGTCGCCGATACCCTTTTCGAAGGCTACGGGGAAATCCTTGCCGTCAAGCTGAGCCTTCTGCCCCCAACCGGCAACAAGGCTTGGTGGCATCTCATCCGGGGCGCTTCGGTTGGAGCGGAAACCGACGAAGACAAAACCTTGATCGCGGACATTGTGATTCAGACGACCTACCACCCTGGCAACTGCTCGCAGGCATAGTAAGTTTGCCGATAATATACATTGTTCGATCACGACAGTGCTGATGGTTCTGCAGCGGGAGTGCGGCATTCACGATCTTGAAGGATGCGAACGGAGAGCTGAGGTTGGACCCGTACTCGCAGAGCTTGAGCCTGTACAACCTGACCGTGTCGACGACTGAGTCGCCGACTGACATACCTTGCTCTGTGGATTAAGAGCCACGCACCCGAGGAAGGGGAAACGACAGTTCTGATGAGAGGAACCCTTTTTTTTCCCCTTTGGCTCTCGCTATAGCCAATTTTAGACGGATCTCACCCCTGAGCATGTACTATTTTTCTTCGGTTTATTAATAGAGAATAATGGATGTGCACTTCGCCTAGATACCGAAGGTGTAGGCGGGCCATTTGGACTCACCCGATCTCGAAATGATACTTATGCTAGCATGCCAGATTATCAGTCGCGACAAAAAGTTCCCAGTCCCCCGAAACTTGGCTTGTCACCGCCATCCATCACTACAGCCAAGTATTCAAAAGACTAGCTTGGGCGTTTGTCTTTCCAGGACCTCAATTCTCATGACATTATTGAAATTGGCGCCGCTGCATGCCGTGGGAGGTTGAGGAGTTGCCAGAGACTCAATCAACACTGTACGACCAGGGTCTGTACTCGCTATAGTATCGCGACGATTCTCAATAGACACGCCTTCCGGATCTCTTCTTGTTCTGCCGCCATTCACTTCGATCTTCTTCTCATCTAAGGCTCTAGTTGACACCGCGCCGCCGTACCGGGCGTATGCATCCACTGGTAGATGTATAGGGGACAGTCCAAGTCATGCCGGGTCCGAGATGTTTGTTCAGAGATCTAAAAGTGGATTGCCATGACAGATGGAGATGATTGAGACCTGCCCTTGCGGGGGTCGGAGGGGGCATTTGTTGTTATCTTGATGGAGTTACGCCGGCGTTCATTCTTGGTTGCTGAGGTTTCCAGCGGTATGTGTTGTTAACGTTAGAAGAACCTACTTGCATGGCAGACCTTTACTCACACTCTTGATTGAAACCGATGAATGCAGGCGTCCAGTGGAAGCTTTCGGAGAGGCGTAACAAACTTGCCATGCACATATTAGACAGGACCTGGCAGAATGAAGAATGGGGTAAGAGGTATACAAAAGTGCCGGGAGGGTTTGCTTGGACTACACCTCCGAAGCACAACTAAGCCCACGAAACATTGCTATCAGCTATAAGTCTTCGGAAATGGATGGAACAATGGGCTGCTTCATTTGAACACAAGATTGTGTCGACTACAGGCGCTGGGGGAGTGGCACTGGGAGAGTAATCATCGTCACACTGTCTGTACCGCCCTTGCCCTGATACACATAACAAACCCATCGTCACTCGCCGAGACCTTGATTATTGTTCCCAATTCAACTTCGCTAAAGCCTCATCACACCGCGGCTTTCGACATTGGCAGCGCAACAGAAGTGGCCAAGTTCATCGCCGATGTCATCTCCAAGTACCGCCAGATCGATCACCTCTTCAACTGTGCTGATATAAACCCAAGAAGATTGGCTACGGAAGAGATCACTGATGCCTCATGGGATAAGCTCATGAAACACAAACCTCAAGGGGCTATTCAACGTCACCCGGCCCTTCATCCTCCATCTTCAGCCCAGCTCAACAATAGTCAACATTTCTTCTATATCGTCGCCCTTGAAACTTCTGCGCAAGATGCATTCTACCATGCGACTACAGCTGGAATCATCGGATTCTCTAAAACCACGGCTTTAGAGCTTGGCCTGCGTGGTATTAGGATCAATGTTATCTGTCCTGGGTAGGTCGATACGAGGACAAATGCGTCGATCCTAGATAGATTGGGAACGCTGGACGAGATTGCAGATGTGGTTGTTTTCTTGTTCAGTGACCAGAGTCGTTACATGAATGGGAGCGTTGTCGAGGTCAGTGAGGGGGGGGGGGATCCATGAACGGCAAACTACCAGCGCAGAATAGTCCTTTATCTAGAGTCTCTTCGAGTCTTGTATTTTCTTGGTATGAGGAAGGAGACTCGTGGTTATCAATTATCAAAGCTCTTCCGCTCATGCTATGCTGAGCAAGGAGACTAAGCGAAGCCGTGTTAAACTTCATAGCACAACCCATGGAGAGTTGTTCGGAGCATTGAAATAGCCGCATTGCATTTGAGAAAAATAGTTAGCCAAATCTTTGCTATCCAGTTAGCTGTCAATCCGCCGTCAATATTACAAATTGCATGCAGCTTACCTCTCTACTATCAAATTGGGGAGTTGATGACTCAATCTGCGCCCTGTTAAAACCTGCTCTACCGCCGAACAAGAGAAGATAGGTATCTATCTACATCCCCTGTGTCGTACCCATTCTATTCGCTCGATAAATTTCAACACGATGCGTGGGATTGATGGACAGAGTGATCGTAGTTACGGACCCCTGATCGGGGTTAATAGCCAGTGGGCCGTGCAGCCTTGGCACCACCACCACCACCACTACTAGGTAGCGGTACCTACTTCCCTCTCACCTAGAATAGCTTCCTCTCCCTAGACTCAATACAACGAATATTACAGAACCTATTCGTATCCAACTTCGCCCGTGTGCACACCTATGTGGATACACCAATACGCCATGAGGATTTTCTTCGGCTCGGTGCTGAAATCATCTTCCCTCGCTCATCCGACCAAGCGCCAAAGCTGTTGGCCGTCGCTATCAAGCTCGTATACAAGTAAAGCACTGATGTACGAAAGGTTTCTATTTTGACAAGTTTGGGCCTTTCATATCTCCGATCCTTGGTTATGGGAAGGAGATCCTTGGTCGTCGGGGAGGCCATCCGGGGATTCCTACTGTACTGTAGCTGATCCGCGATTTATATAATCGCTCGGCATTCGCTGTAAATTACCCAGTGGGAGCGTGTAGTTGGTTTTGGCGACCTGGACGGGCAGTACTGCTTGCTTGCTTGCTGTCTTTGCCGAGCTATCTGTTTTCCCTTCCGTCGGCGAATGTTGCCTCTGTGGTGGAGAAGATACAGCGGAGAAATAGCTAGTGCAATTGGCGAGATACCTTGACTAATTTAGAGAGCCACAGAGTGTGGGAGAGATTTTCAAGTCCTGCTCCGTAATGTTGATATTGCACAATCACAGGGGGTAATCAGCCTGTGCAACGATAAGAGGAATTCAACGATACAACGTAAGCATTAGATTTGATTAAAAGTGTTCAGTTCCCCTATGTGAATTTAGTAGATGGCATATAGCCTTCCCTATTAAATTAAGATAAACCTCCGACGCTGCTCCGGTGTTCGAGATCTCGAAGCTCGAGAGGTTCGAGAGGTTCGAGAGGGCCCCTCTTTCGCTTAGCGTATATTAGCCGAGCGGCACAAACTGCGGCCCTACGCCGACCCCACCTTCAAAATTTTCCAAAACACATCATAACACCAACCACAGCCGCGCTGACATCGAAAACAACGCGAAGGTTCGTTCTCACACGGTGGTGTGGTGTAATGGTAGCACGTGACGTTGTGGTTGTTCTTCCCCGGAGACATCTACACTGACCCGTTTCAATCTGGGTTCGATTCCCAGCACCGCCAAGTTTCACATCTTGGATTGAAAGTTAGACGGTTAAAATCTGTCAAGCTTGTCACTTGTATTTTTGTGATTTTTTTTTTCTTTCGCTGCTTTGGATTGCTGAGGCTGGAGAGAGGAGGAAGGAAGGGAATTTTTTTTTTTTGCTTGTGTCATCCGCCGAGGGTGGGCCGGCAAACGTGATGGGATTTACAGGGGATCGTGGAGTCACGGCGGAATGAAGGAAACGTTCAAAGGTTCGTTGGTACGATGGATAGGTAAGGTAGTGTAGAATATTACGCATGGCTTTTTTGTTAATGTGTATAGCATTCGGTAATTTTGAGCTTTCTGTTAAAACACTCGCTAGCGCCATTTCATTCAAATCATTACTACTTTAGAATACCTAGATTCTATGCCGAGTGCTAATACATTGTTTCCCCAAACCATGTTGAGTATATATGACTCTCTCAACTCCCCCAAAAATGGACTGCAAAACTTCAACGCCGTACTCAAACTCCAACAACCCCACATCCAGCCTCATCAAATCCGCTGTATTAGACCCGCCAAATGTAGTATAGGTATAGCATTGGATATCTATGCACTCTGCTCCTCTAAAAACAGAAGTAATACATTCTCTTGAAGAGCGGCAGGCCAGCAATCCTCTGCCTTTCAGCCCTGATGAGATTCCAGTCGATCTCTCTCCGCCCAGTATCCAAATCGATATTATCCAGAGTCAGCCACAGAGGCTTCTTCCAGAAATACCCACAGACGAAGAAGAAGATCACGACAGGCAGACCAAGCATAGACTTGAAGAAGTCTTCGGCATTGCCAACGTGACCGTTTGCACTGAATGGATAGAGCGCAACGTAGAACTGAAGGGGGTTAGTGGAAACCGAGGTTGATGGTGAAGAGGAGGTGCGACGAACCTGTGCCATCAAAACAAGCATTATCATAGCCAACGCAGCCATGCTGCCATAAACGCCAAAGACCGCTCTGAACGGAATCTCATCCACCGTATGACCCTGATGTCTCCAAGCCGCGCGGAAGCGAATATGGGCCAGGCAGATACTCGCCCACGTTAACAAGACCGCCAAACCGGAAAGCGCTTGTAGCCAGTCGAAGATGGTTTGCCCGCTTGCGGAGCAATTGACGAATCCGATGAGGCCGCACTGGACGATCAGGAGATTAGCAAACATTCTTTTATGCTTGACTTGGAGGTATTATGAGAGCAGGGCTGCTGCGCGGTTATACTTACAGTAAGAAAGACGATGACAGCGAAGAGGGGACGTCCTGACTTGTCGATGTAGGAGAACAGCTTGGGAGCGTATCCTTGTTCAGAGAGTGCGCAGAGGGTGCGGGAGCCGCCATAGACGCCCGACATCCCGATGGAGATTACGGAGATGAGGATCACGGCGTTCATGACTTGGAGATGTTAGTACGGTATCTCGTTCAGGTTGGGAATGAGAGGAGACACGTGCAATGATTGTAGCCGTAAAGAGCTGCGTCTTGCCCAATGATAACGAAGGGACTAGACTTGGAATCGTTAGGGTCCTTGGAGCCGATTAGTCGAGGATCGTTGGCGCTGAGCACTGTCAGTTGGAATACACATCAAGCTGGAAGGTATTCTCCCACCTGACCAAGAGCCCGACGAAGAATAAGCCAAATATGTAGAACATTGTAATGCGGTAGAAGATTTGCTTGATCGCACCTGGTAGGGCTCTGCTTGCATGTCAGCAAAGATGTGCGTGCATGTCTGGACGCTTATCGTGGCTGCGAAAGGTGCAGGATGATTTCACTGACTTGGCAGGATTTGCGGACTCGGCGGCAGCGAGGCCAACAAGTTCCGTCCCCGAGAACGAGAAAGCCGCTGTGATGAACACAGAGCAAATACCCTTGAACCCATTCTTGAATGGACCACCATCCTCATGCCATAGGCGAGCACCCCAATACTCGCCGTATTTCCCATCCGAGGGACCTCCTCCAAGGACTGTTGATCGGATTAGAAAGTGGAAAGGCAATTCAGGATGCACGAAAGCTCACCGAGAACCAAGGCAATGATCATAAAGATAACAATCGCACCTAACTTCAAGCAAGCAGCCCAAAACTCCGACTCAGCATATCCCAGCGTGCCGAAAACATTGATGAGGACGACGGTAACCAGGAAGATAGCGACGAAGACAGCTGGGTTGATGGTATCGTTCCAGTAGCTGACTGTCACGCTGGCAACTACGAGTTCGAGAGGGAGCACGATGGCCCATTGGAAGACGTAGTTCCATCCAGTAGCAAAGCCTAAGGTGGGATCAACAAAGCGAGACGTGTACGTGTAAAAGCCTCCAGAGACTGGGTACATGACGGCAAGTTCTCCAAGCGCGTATACTAGTGGAAATCAGCCGTATACGCGTCATAAACTTGCTATCGAATGGATTGCTTACCGACATTGAAAACCATTACGGCGACGATCAAAAAGTCGACGAGAAGAGCTCCAGGGCCCTGCATACCTGTTATTTATGATCTTCGAAAATGCGTTTGAGTTGTGAGTGTTTGACTGCGAGGTCATCGGCGGAAACTTACTCCGGTGGCCAACGCCTTCCCAGATCCCACGAACAAGCCAGCACCAATTGACCCTCCAGCCGCAATCATGTTCAGGTGCCGAGGTTTCATGGTTTGATTGAGGGGGTTCTCCCCAGGCTCCACGATTCTCCTCTTGAAAGACTCTCTCGTACAGCCATTCTTGGTCCAGAAGCTGATGTCCGAGTTTTGTGCAGCAACATTTTCCGGCTTGTAGTCTGGAATGGCGTCGGGGGCGTCGAGGTTGCTGCCGCTGCCATTACTACTTTGAGTTGGAGAAACTGGGACTGCTTGCTTTTCGTTATCACTGGAAGATGCTGGCGCCGGCTCTGGGGCTGGCTCCCGTCGGCGAGACAGGAAAACCATTCTAAGTTGGTGATATTGAGGGATGGAATAACGAGATGATATTGAGATCTGCTCAAGGAAAGACAAAACACGGGGGGGGGGGGGAGGGAATCGAATGGGGTAGTGTCCTTATAGGTAGTTAGTCACAAAATGGTGGGCCTAGCTCCAAGTCTTGACGTTTGCCCTAATCAGGGCGACTATTCGCTCTTATCTTTTGGGCCATCTTGGTAGCGAAAATATTCTACAAAGAAAAGGGAATGGTTCAAGTACGATGATGGCGTACTTGGCAGGTGGAGAGAAGTAAAAGTATTTTGGCTTTTGGCAAAGGTGGATTTTGTTCGTTTGATAAAACGACTGTAAAGTAACGCTGAACCAATTTTGATGTAGAAATACTAAGACCATAGAGTCAGTCTGTGACTTGAAACCTCAGCGCTTGCAAGTGAGGAAATATAATTTAGGCCTGGAGAAACAAGAGCTTATGTGTAGGAGACGACAACTTGGAGTTAGGGAAATCTCTTGTGAATAAGGTAATGGCGACATCGTAGGAGGATCGAGCACCAACTAGCGCGACTTGAGCTTTTGATTGGGTATCATGAAGATACTAAGGGAGATAGCTATTTAATGCCCGAAGGGCAAAAAATAGCCATGACCGTGTAGGGATGGTCCATTCGTACGGGACCTACCTTCCCAGACTAAACAAGTCCGTGTATGAACGAGCTGAGCTCTGTGGTAACCAGCAATGCAGGGAATTAGATTAGAGAATGATAAGGCTATCGAAATTGGGAATTCGTCAGCTGTACTTCTCTCAGGAGTCAGAGTTGTTGCCGGGCTTTGCCACGGATATGACCTCACCAAATGCTAGCGACAGAGCATCAACAACGCACCGCTGTCTGGAAACCCTCGAAAAAGCCGCTCTATTCAGCATCGGATTGCCATCCTGCAAATATCATGGGTCTTCCAGGTTTTGTTTATTAAAGAGTCCAATTCGTATTCGAAACTTATCTGAGAAACAGTCTGGGCCCTTAGGTCGTGTTCCTCGGCGTGTCTTCGGTTTTAGGAAGACCAAGCCGTATGGCGGCTGGCCGTTGAGACTCTGCTGGCAGAGGATTCTACCACTGGACCAACTTCTCCTAGGCCTTAGTGAGTTTACTGAAGCTGGTCCGCAGTAGTGTCAGTGCTATGCACTTTTCTTCCGAGGGCCTAGTCAAGCGCATGGCCGAGATGCTATGTGTGGCTTTGTCTCTGGGTGGCGGCTCAAGCTCCCTGTCCTCCCGCGGCTCTGAGCTCTACTGCTGCAACCACGTTCTTGGTAATGCCCTCAAAGATTGGACACAGGGAACAGCCTTTGTACTTCTCAAGCAACATGCCGGGTACCTTGACATAGCTTGTGTCACTTCCATCGTCGCTGCTTTCAATGATTTTTCCATTGACCTCCGTGCCCACGGGATATACTGGCCTCCTTCCCGTCTCGACCAGCATAACGAATTGTGGATCGATAGGGACACTCGCGAGAAATCTGACTCCGAATTCCTGTGCCATGACTTCTCCACCCCCTTTGCTGAAGATATTCGTACATTCTGAGCAGTTCGGGCAAACAAAGCCGCTCATGTTCTCTACCACGCCAATAATATTGATCCCTGTCTTGGTGCAAAAGTTCAGCTCCTTCTTGACATCCGCAGTGGCAACTGCCTGTGGTGTTGTGACGACCACTGCCCCAGCAACTTGACCCGGGAATGCAGTCTTAAGTAGAGTTTCTGCGAGCGAGATGTGTTCGTCTGATGTTCCAGGCGGAGTGTCGATCAGCAGATAGTCAATGTCGCCCCAAAGCACGTCTGACAGAAATTGTCGAACCATTGCGGTCTTCTTCGGCCCTCTCCAGACTACTGCATCTCCTCGTTCTCTAAGCAAGAACCCAAGACTCATACAGGAGAGAGAGCCGATGCCTACTGCGGGGTTCCCATCGTGTACGGGGACTGGTATCCAGCCTCCGGGAGCTTGTGTGACTTTCGCGGATTCGATACCGAGCAGTCGCGGTATGGAGGGTCCGGTAAGATCTATATCGAGGATTCCGACAGACTTCCCAGCGAGAGCAAGAGAGAGGGCGAGTTGGGTTGTAATGGAGGATTTTCCTACGCCACCTTTGCCCGAGAGGACCTGGGTTTGTTAGCAGGGTCCGAGTAAGGTAAGAATAGAAGGGATTTTCTTACGAGAACAATGTGTTTTACTTTCTCGAGAGACATTGTCAGGTAAATTAAATGTATTTAGCCGTGTCTGTCGTGTATTCGTCTCATTGTGAAAAGAGAACGGAAGTCCTGGTCCGGATCGATATTTCCAAATTCTTATCCATTAGCAAGCAATCGGCCCAAGCGGCCGCATCTCCTATGTTGTTCCGACCTTATCTTACTTTGGCCGATATCTGGGAAACGTCACACCCTACTCTCTCACGCTTCGACCTTGACATTCGACACTGGCGAGATGGTACCACTCCACCTTTGTTTATGATTGGAATCAACATGAGAATCACTACTGATTCTTATCGACATGGACGATCCATGGGCCTCGCCCTGGGCAGACGAACTACATCTGCGAAGTGAGACGAAAAAGGAAAATAACGCGACCCAACCAGCGACCTTCGTTCGAGCCTCACCGTTGGCGTTGGAGGAGAAGTCAGATTCGCCGTGGGGCAATAGCGGCGACGATGGGTTTGGGGACTGGGCGGCACTTCGTGATGATGCTGGGGAATGTGGTAGAGAGGATGGATGGGAACGACCATCTGCGGAAACAGTGGCTTTGTCCCAGGATCATGCAAATGTATTGTCTACTGATTGGGACATCCACTCTACCATAGAGCATGATGGACCCTTGGATATAGCCCCCGCTCCTCTTCCAAGGCCTGCAGAACCTATGCGAAGGTCTTCACCGGACCCGTGGGCATTGGACATACGGGGAAAGATTGACCAGAAAGAAGCGTCTCCGGGAGCAATTCAGGATAAGGAGGAGGGGACTAGTCAGCAGATCATCATTGATCATGGAGTTTCTAAGGCTTATGAGGATGGAATGTCGAAAATCTCAACCGACACGCAGCTACCTGACACTGCGAAGGATGATTTAATATCTGGGCATAGCAGATTGAAGGAGTCGACGGACGTAGATCAGAGTGACAAACGGGTTTCTGTACCATCATCAGCTACGGGGCCAAGTCTCCAAACTCAAGAAAGTGGTCCGGTATCAAGACCGTCTTCCTTGCTCTCAGAACGCAGCCGCCACGACGAGCATTCACCAGAATCACCCCGGACTTCTTTCGACGAAGATCCGAAGCCTCTTGGAAACCAAATTCCACGAAAAGCATCCACAAAGATTCAGGGCCTGGTGGAACATTTCGATGGGCTTGCCAAAAAAGAAGTCACTGACCCTCCCATCCGTCGAACCAACATTGCCCAAGATGCACTGGGTGAGGAGTCAAATGACGAAGAGGAGGACGAGGATGAATTAGAGGACTTCGGGGAGTTCGCAGAAGGCCAGTCCGGCGATGACGAGGAGCCGCGAGAAATATCCAAGGACGATGATGGCAAAGATCAGAGAAGCCAATCTTCGGGGCTTCAGCACGGTGAACCTTCGGAGAGAGCTTCGATGAGAATCTACGGGCCAGTTGAGTTTACGTTGGATATCACGGAACTAGAGAATATATTCTCTAGTAATGTCCCCATGCCTGCAGAAGGGAATATATTCATTCCCGATTCAATCCCGTTCGACTCTTTCAGCTCTACAGAGGAACGGAAAGCTTGGTATAGAGTCTCCAGGTACGGTACCATGCGGAAACATAATGCTGGTAACGATGAGAATTACGTCCGAGCCACCTGGAAGGAGTCCAAGATACGTGATGAAACATTGAAAATAGTGTCTCGATGGATGGAAGAGGATCGTAGTAGTGGTCGTGTCGCTCTAGGTGGCGGCAGTCGGGGAAGTTCTGCATTCGGCTGGAACGATTCGAAATCGCCGGCAGTGCCTTTAGCGCATGCATTTGCGAAGAATCGAAAGCAGCAATCAGTCAGGGCTCCTGTTACTGTGGAAGCAGTAGCTGATGTTCCTCGAGAGTGGCCAAGATTGGCGAGGGACCGCTCAACAACACAATCACGATCCGCTTCCGGACTGCGGCCAAAGAGCTCGGTCAAGTCTGTGCCAAATCCAAACGAAGCCAAAAGCTACCCTGTAGTTCCTGTGGCGCCAGTGGCCGACTTCGGTTGGAATGCGACTTTTGAAAACCTGAACCTCACCGCGCTCGAGATCGGATCGTCTGAACCCCTTTCAAACTCCGTATCAACCTCCAAGTCGCAGTCACCTCCCCACCAGTCAAGGTTACCCCATGGCTCCTTCTCCAGTACTATCGTTTCAAGTCTCGTCGGATCTAACTCAGTACCTATTGCTACAGCCTCGAGCCTTGATATTCAACGTGGTCCTCCAGCCATAAACAAGATTATCACCACAGCTGACTCTGTGAATGTTATCAACGACGATGACGACTGGGGTGAGATGATCTCATCGCCGGATAATCCAAGCGTGCCTGCTTTCCCGCCGCAGAGAGGACTTCGGCACAGCTTTGGAGGCCTGGATGGCGATGTGGCTCAGATATCGAACGTATCCGAGAGATCAGTTGACATTCCTCAGTCTAATTTAAATCGTCGAACATTGACGAGGTTTGATGAGCCTCTTGTTCCCCAGATCTTGCCCTCCCCCTTGACGGGTCATCGGACTGCATCCGAGGCAAATGCCATTACAGCTGCTCCGAGTAATACTTTCTTGACGCCAATCCGATCGATGCCGGTAGTCGAAACGTCGGTTGATCCGTGGGCATCAGCGGATCTCTCTTTCTTCGATACACCTGCTCCTGCACAGAAGGCCATGCCACCAGCCACAGCCAAAGCAACCGTTTTCAAGGCCGTCAAATCCAGTCCGTCTCCGATGTCTCTCGGGAGTGATCAAATGCCCCGAGAGAAAAATGATCAGGATCGTGTCGCCAGGGCAGTTGTGAGGGGTCTCCCGGACTTGTCTTACATGCTCAGAAAATGATACACATTTATATGGTTTCAAAGATTATTTTATAGTCAGGAAACAAGGGACGCGGGAGAACGACTTGAAGTATTGCGCTGCTATGTATTTTAGCGAGGAGTAATCCTGGGGAGCGATTGGATATCTGTATATCTGTATAACAGCACATAAGTTGGGAGGAGTTCTGGAGCAGAATGAAAAATTGTTGCGAATGAGCAATCACCCTTGAAGCCTTTGCTGAGGGGGCTACAAGGTGTTGAACTGTTGGACTGGAGTAGAAAGAATCTACGTTGGCGATACAGTTGAATGCGGTAGCATGGCTATATACGCTCACCAAAATCTTGGAGTAGAGGGTCGAGACTCGAATGTTCAGCTGGGTAGGAACATTGGGCCTCGCTCCCCATCATCCCGTCGGGGACTAAATCTACGGCGATGAGCAGTCTTATCGGAGATTCCTTCCTTCTAAAACACTACGTGTGAAGTAACGCAACGTCGACGTGAAGCCAATAAACCTCCCAGCAGGCATCATCAACCACCAAATTTCCTTTACAAGTTCTCATCAACGCCGACCTATGATCATATCTTACTTCCAGCGCGAAGCTGTCGCGCTTTCGTATATGCTGTCTTTAATGTTTACTATTAAGATTGGGTTCAGATAATCAACCACTACTCTGAGAAAAATCGCCTTGGGCACGAGGGCTCATTCGATGAAGCAGGGAGCCCATAAAAGATTGCAGCACCAGGCGACGCAGATTGGATTTGAACCATCCGGTCTACCAATGCACACGGATTCTGCAAACATAGTGGACGGTGCGTTTAAAGAGCCAGGCCAGGGTATTGATGATAAAGAAGAGTCGGACGAACTCGCTAAGATTGACGATGATGTTCGATTCTCACATCCCAGCTACTTTCCGAACATTTGTCGCAAGACAATGACTGTCCAAACCGATGGCACTGAGGATCTCGACACTCCAGCAAGATCGATGCCAGACCCAGGAACAGCCCCTGATGACTACTTGTCACTTCCCATGACAAGTCCTGCCCGACCCGGTGCCTCTTCGCCGGCAGTCGGAGACTGCTGCTCAGGTCTTTTGGCCGTCGAACCTCCATCACCTATATACCACGGCACGAAGGCCCCCCCCTCGCCTATCGAGAGGTTGGGCTCCAAAGGCAAGAGGAACAAGAACTATATTCGTTTCCAAGGATCACATCCATTCGTGCCGGGGAAGATCACACATAAGCACCCAGGTAAGTCCTGAATCTCGCTGACGGGCTCCCTCTTTCAAGCTTCAATAGGATTCACGTTATTGATGACGGGCATGTGCATAGCCTCAGTGCCCCTTCCGCATACCAAATCCCTGGGGACAGAAACTGACTCGATGTTCTTTGGATAATAGGGGGGCTCCATCACAAAAAGTACATTCAGTACGTATATTCGCACACGAGCTCTGACTACAGGATCACACATCACTACCTTTGCGAAACATCAGATCTCGAGAAGCCAGTGTATTACTATCATGATGTTGGGGGCTACACACGCCTGGACCCGGACCACAGATTTACCCTACATCTGGGTAATCATTCCGGAACGCCTATACTTGGGGCGATGTGGCACAGCAGTGGTGGGATGCAGTAAGTGATTATCGCTGTTGGAGCCGAGCCTTTTCTTAACCCTGTATTGCAAGCATGCACTTGGACTGACTGGAGCAGTTTCGCTGTCGGCAATCCCTTCATGGATATCAAGAACATGTACGACGAAAGTGTGTCCACCATTCAGAGACAACATTGCGATTACCTCAAGCCCATATCTTCCGCTCCAACGAGATGGCACATGGACTTTTCTTTTGGAGGCGGAAAAGGAGAAGGGCTGCAGAAAACTTACAGGTGGCAAGTTGTACATGTGGCCGAGACAATCCCACAACTTCGACGTGGAAAATTAGAGTTAAGGGAAAAGCACGGCCATGAAGATGTGGATGGGGAGGGCAAGAAGAAGGAGAAGAGCAAGTTGCTTGCTACCTGTAGAAATGCTGATGAGCTGAGTACGAATCTCTGGGTCAGAGAAGTCTCCGATGAGCTGGGGGACGAACTTGCGAGGATGAGATGGAAATCCTGGGTTCTACTGACTTGGGGTGCAATGCGAGATCGAATGCGAGGCCCCCATAATACAGGCTCTCCTTATCACGATGTTGGGTACACCCAGACTACCAAGACAGTCCAGTCTCCGGGTGGGCTGATTCCTTTTTCTGGCTTTACACTGGGAGGGTGCATACTTCCTGTGACAAGAGAGGATATTCGGGAACGGAGCTTGAAGGGAGAAGAGTACTAAGACCACGGTCTTGATCTTTTGATAGCACGGGTTTGACTGGTAATCTCTTGCTCCGCTACTTTCTACCGACTCCAACAACGTCATCGACATTGGACTGCGTGATGGTAAACCGACATTAGACTCCCAGCCCGATGCACACAAACCGGCGCGGCACCCCTCGTTTCTTCTTATCAAGCAGCTTGTGTGACTGTCCGAGTCATGCCTCTCGCGGGGTAAGTGAATTATCCGACAGATACTGCGAGCGCTTCCGACGACGATGATCAAATCCCAAGAAACCGTTTCTTGGTACTGGCACTTCTGGAGGGATCTTGAGTAGGGCCAAGTCTTTCGGTCCACGGCCTCTGTTTGAGTTGTTTGAATTCCATATTTGAATCCCCCCCCAAAATAATCAGCATTCTTAATTGTTGACTGGTTATATTTTTTCGTTTGTGGTGTATGGTTTATTGTGTATGGTTTATTGTTTATGGTTTATTGTGTATGGGTTATTGTTTATGGTTTATTGTTTATGGTTTATTGTTTATCCCAGATTTCCAAAGAGACGTCCGGAGCACCCGTGGCCATTCTCCCGTACCCACCACCTGCAAGTCTCACAAACCTTAACTTCAAGATCCACAGCGTGAGCTTACTCTGTAAGGCTACCCGATCGCTACCATCGGCTGGCTCCCGTGTGGGATCTAGGATTTGTTGACTTACTTTCCGATTGGGCAATTGTCATACAGGAGCTCTAGACAGCAAATTTTTCAAGGGCTGTTACCAGGGCTTGAACCAATCAACTTATAAGGATTCAGCCTCGAAAAGAACCTTTAGGCAAGTCTTTGGTCTTTGCAATAGAGTTGACAAGGCTTTGAGCCATTCAGAAACCACCGCTCGACGATTCATAGGGCCAAACTGGGTCCGACATGTATTGAAGGGGGGACTACAGAGTATACGTAAGTTGTAGTACGTAAGTACTACTGTAGTAAGTAAGTCTGACTTGTCGACTTCACACCATGGATGCGTTGAGTGGATCCTTTCCCTGGCAGTTCACGGAGGTATTAAAGGAGACGATGTCGACGTCGATGCCACCTTTCAAAATCAACACTCAAAACCATCTCTTGGGGTCTCACCGGTGAATTGGTATAAGTGTCATTCATGAAGTGGAGTGGTTCTCGGAGAACACATCCACATCCACATCCACATCCTGCCTTGTTGTGTAACCTGAAGCCGACTGTCGGATCCCTCACGAGGCAGGCAATAAAAGGACAATCTTGAGTCTTGACGAAAATCCCTCGCCACAGATTGTATTTGACGCATCCCTTCAAAATACAACCGCCGGGATGGGCCTCGATAGCAATACTCACGAGGTGAGGGAAGTCGGTGCCTCCTCTCCGGTGCCCGTAAGTCCGGTAGATGAGAAGCCGAATGCACCCTTTGGAGAAACTGCTCACGAAGCTGCTGAGAGAGGACATGCTGCTACCGACAGGCGAGTCCTTTGCCATCTCACTTACCAGAGACGAATCTAATCCATATAGATAGACATGGCCACTCGCTCATCACCTTTGACCCCAAGGCGGAGGCCAAATTACGGATGAAGATTGATCTCATGATCGTCCCTACTGCGGCCCTCCTCTATCTTTTCTGCTTCATCGATCGCGCCAACATCGGTCTGTCTTCCCTATGCCCGTCCCTTCATTATAGATAGGTACAAGGCTTACCCCTCGTAGGAAACGCCAAACTTGCGGGCCTCGAGAAAGATCTTGGTCTCAAGGGGTACGACTACAACGGCGTGCTATCTGTATTCTACATCTCGTACATCATCTTCGAGATCCCGTCTAACATCGCGTGTAAATGGATGGGCCCTGGCTGGTTCATCCCTTTCATCTCGTTGATGTTCGGAATCTGCTCCATCTGCACCGCTTTCGTGCACAATTTCAGTCAGATTTCTGCCGTGAGATTCATGCTGGGTATCTTTGAAGCGGGAATGCTGCCCGGCATCGCGTACTACATGTCTCGATGGTATAGACGCAGTGAGCTGGTTTTCAGACTGTCCCTCTACGTCGTCACGGCTCCAATTGCCGGTGCCTTCGGAGGTCTCCTCGCTTCCGGTATCCTCAAACTGGATAGTTTCGGTAGTCTGCACTCCTGGCGCATGATCTTCGCCATCGAAGGCATCATCACCTCTGTCCTCGCTCTCATCTCATTCTTCACTCTCACAGACCGACCCGCTACCGCAAGATGGCTCACACAAGAGGAGAAAGACCTTGCCATCGCCCGCGTCAAGTCGGAGAATATCGCCACGACTGAAGTTCTGGATAAATTTGACAAGCACAAAATGCTGCGCGGCATCTTCTCCCCCGTCACACTGGCTACGGCCTTCATCTTCTTACTCGACAATGTCACTGTGCAGGGACTCGCCTTCTTTGCCCCGACAATCGTCAAGACCATCTACCCAGATAAATCCGTCATCTTCCTCCAACTGCGGACCGTGCCCCCATACATCGTCGGGGCCGTCTTCACACTCCTATTCCCGTTCCTGTCGTGGAAATTAGACCGCAGAACCATCTTCTTCATCTGCTCCGCCCCTCTCATGATCATCGGATACATCATGTTCCTGGCCTCGTCCGAAGGCAGCGTGCGCTACATCGCCACCTTCATCATCGCGTCTGGGGCCTTCACCTTCGGATCCGTCTGCAACGCCCAGGTCTCGGCCAACGTCGTCAGCGACACGGCGCGCTCGTCGGCCATCGCGACCAACGTCATGTTCGGGAACATCGGCGGCCTGATCTCCACGTGGAGTTTCCTGCCCAGCGATGCCCCCGACTACCACCTCGGGAACGGGCTGAACCTGGCGACGAGCTCGACCATCTTGCTGTCTAGCATTGCGCTGCTGTGGTGGATGAAGTGGGATAACGGGAAGAGGAAGGAGAAGGATGTGAATGGTGCATTGGAGGGCTTGAGTTTGAGGCAGGTGCAGGGCTTGGATTGGAAGCATCCGGGTTTCAGGTGGAAGCTGTAAGGGGGGTGTGGGAGGGATTTTTTGGGGGGGGGAAAAGGGGGGGGGGAGAAGGTTCTCTCGCTATGCGGAAGCCAGCTTTGGCGTTCTGGTCCAAGATGGAGGGGGTGTGGGCTCCGGCTGGACACAACTGCTCTAGGTATTACTGTACATGATGAGTTTGAGTTTGCACAAAGCAACGATGAAGTTAAATTTTTTTACGAACGAACGCTTCCCTTCCTGGTCGATTATTTCCTATGCCTCGAAGAAAGTGGAGTTGTATTTCCTATGCCTCAACCCACTTTTTGAGTGGGCCCGCCCAGCCAAATCTACTCGCTGCTTGACGCTACATTTAACGACCTCGGCTTCGGTATACTTGATTCTGATATAGATATAGATCTATTTAAGTAGCGCGCTCGTTGCAACTACGACGTTCGAATAAAGAAGCTACGGTATCGGTATGGTGAAGAAAACATATATGCTATAATCGTGTTCGTTATACAAGACCGTTGGTTGCGCGGATAGCGTATCTTTTGGAATTGATTCTTAAGCTGATATTTATAACTAAAAACACATATATATTTTCAATTCGCGATCAGGTTTAGCGCTACACCGAGATCCGTAAGCGATAAAATTGTATTTATTTATTTTTATTAATTTTTTTTTTAAAAAATGTAAATGTAAATAGCTTTAAAATTACAATCGAGAACTTCAAAAAATAATTCTAGTATAAGCGGCATTACTGAAAAAATTTTCTTGTATAGAGCAGCGAGTAGATTTGGCTAGGCGGGCCCACTCAAAAAGTGGGTTGAGGCATGGGAAATACAACTCCACTTTCTTCGAGGCATGGGAAATAATCGACCTCCCTTCCTCTTTTGGCGACTGACTAGGTATATATATGGCTTACTTAACACTGGAGTATTCGCAATCGGTACAACGCGAGGCCTTCCGCGTCGTCCTAGGAAGAAGTCTCGATCGAGCATGTGATACCTATCATTCTAATAAGCGCGGCTTTTCTAGAAAGGTTTGGTTAGTCAGAGTAGTCTACACCCGCACGTACGTAAAGGTATGCATGGCCCTGTAGGATTTGGTGTTGGAATTTGTATCGAAAATAGAAAAGAAAGAAAGGAAAAAAGCAAGACCCCTCTTTCATATCTGGCTTGGTACCGAGATGTTCCCGCGCATATTTTTCCCCCCCCCCCCCAAAAACCCCCCCAAAAAAAAATAAAAAATAAAAAAATAAAAAAGTGAAAAAGTGAAAAAGTGAAAAATAAAAAAGTGAAAAGTAAAAACATAAAAACATAAAAACGTAAAAAAGTAAAAAAAGTAAAAAAGTAAAAAAGTAAAAAAGTGAAAAAGTGAAAAGGTGAAAAGGTGAAAAAGTGAAAAAGTGAAAAAATAAAAAAGTAAAAACGTAAAAACGTAAAAAATTAAAAAAATAAAAAAGTGAAAAAGTGAAAAAATTAAAAAATGAAAAAAAGGGAAAAAAAAGGATTTTTTTTTTTTTTTTTTTTCATTTACACCGCATTGATAGAGAGGAAGAAATCCGTAATCGTCGTCTCCTATCAAATGGTGTGAAAGGTGCGGTAGTTTAGCGCTAGCGGCGCGTGGTCGGTCGCTTTTGAGTTACTACGTATGTGAGTCTTGTACCGGTACTCTCGTGAGAATGTGAGTTTGGTTGTACGTAGTAGATATTGAGAAACATATTCGGCTAGGTTTGTTTGGGAATTGGAACCTTGTTATACGGAGTATGTGAGCTTCAGATTGAGCTTTTAAATTTTTCTCCTCTCCTTCCCACCCCAGCCCCCAACCACCCCTTATGCGCTTGACTTTAAAGCTACTCCTCCTCCTCCTCCTCCTCCAACCTGTGAGGAAGCTACGTCAGCACTATCTTCCCCAACCACCTTCCCGCCAACTTCTTTTTCGGCACGGCCACCACCTCTTCCTTCATCACCCGACGACATCTCTTCAAGCCTCATCTTCTCACAGTCCCTCTTCCACTCCTCGTACGTCCGGTATATGCTATGCTGAATGCCCCTGTGATTCCTGTAGTACGTTTCATGGTTGATTTCGCAGACACCTTCCTTCTCGCCTTTATGCTCGACGCAGAAAGCCCGATTGCACAGGTGACAGAGTCGATTCGGAAGCCGGTCTTTGAGGTAGGGTTTCTTCACCCGCATTTTCTCGTGGACATGGCAGGGCTCGATTGCGTCAAAGAGAAAATCGCTCTGGGGGATGGTTAGCCTACTGGATGGATGTCAAACTTGGGTATTCGGGGTGGAAGAAGAGAAAAGATACCATGATTGTGGTGGTGGTTGGTTATCGTTTCAGACTTCTTCTTCCCTTCGATGATCACGCTTAACACGTTCGTTCTCGCTTATATGGGTTTTGAGCGGGGAAATCCGAGGAACCGTGGTGTTTTTTATGCCTTGTGAGGATGGAGATGGACTGTGACGTGCGGAAGAAGTGAGATGAGGGGAGGCGGGCCAAGTGAGCCGAATTGTGAGTGGTGATGTCGTACCACAGGAACGCAGTCATCAGATGATCACCGATATTACACAAGATGGTCATAGATTCAAACTTGCTGTTTTCTTTGGCGTACGATTTACTTGGTGTTTCGCATGTGGATGGTAAGCCACGCCCTTTAGAGAAACCGGATATGACACCGAGCTTTCGGCTAAAGCAGCACATTCCTTCCTGGTCCTCTGGTCTGCCTATCAACATCACTTGTGTGTTATCCGTTGGAACCTTTGGAACCTAACCGACATCTGCACTATAGACACCTCGGTGCTCCGAACGCCTATCAGCTAATAGGCGTTGTGCAAAACGTTTAAAGGGTCAGGCTTTATGGTTAGGCTATACAGACGACCTACTGAGGTCAGACTTCCCGTTGCTAACTCGATGGACTGACAGGCCTGCCTATGGCATCCTCCGTATTAACAAGAGAGGTTGTTGAAATGATGTGTTGCCCAAGCCCAATCAATGATGCATAAATGCAAGCGCTGACTTGCATAGCTATGCAGAGTGCTTGATCGGGCATTATCAGCACGATTGTTTCTTTAGAAGAATGTAGGCAGACAAAGCAAGGGCAATAGCAAGAGTAAGAGCGCATAATTTCGAAAACGAAGCCAAGATGTGCAAGTGCTGCATCTGAAGAAGCTGGGGATGAGATTGTTAGACCGAAGAAACGTGCAGGCCAATGAACTGCATCTATACCACCGAATGGTGGGCTTTTCCCCTGACCTGCTTGAGGAGCGAAACCTCCGTTCCATGGTGAGAGGTCCACTACTACAAGGCGGTGGCATCAGGACGAAGATGCTACAAAGTTTGAGCATCCCGTTCTCTGTTTTCTGATCAGTACTGAGCCGCGAACTTGGAAAATGGATAGTGATTTCGGGAAGCAGAGGCACCCAGCCCCCAAGGGCAAGAGCCACAGCAGCATTTCACAGGTGATACTCGTCAAGAATGCGCATCGAAGTAGCTGCCCTGATTGTAGTTGCATAATTGTCATTCGAAACTTGATGGCTTGCATGCTGTGTAACGTTGAGGTGGCTGCGGAAAGAGAGGGCCGAACTTGAAATGATAAACGTTCAGGCCAACGTCTTGCCTGCAAAAGCTTTAATACGGACAATGGGCAACCCATACAGGACTCCAACTCATAATAGGTGCAAAATTTCAATCCCAAATTCCTCATGCATTCTCGCATCGATCCGTCAGCAGACCGGAAACAAACATCTCAAGCAATATAGATCATAAAATGAAACAACCCAGAGATGGCATCCTCGTGAGTCGAGATTAACGACAGATCCTTCCTTCTACAAACACCGTCGCGGCCTCACGACGACATGACGCCGCCGCTCAGCCGTTGGAACACCTCTGTGGCCACAATGCAGCGCGGAAGCTGCACTACTGCGCGGAAGTGGTTTGGTGCACGAGATAATTGATTAGAAGAAAGGGAGAGAAATGTCTGTCGTGGAAGAAAATTTTATATGATGTTGAAGATTATGTCAGCAGGTCACGGGACGCAGAAAAGCGGACAAAATGAGGTCCGCCAATGAGAGAGGTTGAGTTGTCAATAAGCTGGAAGAGGGCCGAGGGAGAAACAGCCGATAAGGCCCGAGACTGCAACGAAAACGACAACCACAACCACAACCTACAACGACATTGACGACATTGAGACTTTGAGCCGCAACACCACGAACTGTTACTGACACCGTCGGCGAACCACCCACAGAACATAACCTAAAACTCCACAACCCGGAACAATGCTGGCACAACGGGCGACTCAGCAGGCGATGCGCAGGCGTAAGTTGAGCTGCCCCTCCCACATCATACTCAGAGTACGTGGACATGTAATGGAGCAATCGCTAATGATTTGGCTGTATAGTCGTAACGAGGCCTTCGATGGCTTCGCACATTGCTTTCAAGAAGGTCGCTGCGCCGATGGCTGTTGCCTCGAAGATCCAAACGAGGTAGGCATTGCGCGTCTTTCGTTTTCGAACCTGAGATCCGACATATCCTCCGGCCCAAGGAGGGATTCTGCAGGGTGCTGGAGCTGATGGGAAACTGCTGCATATGCGAATGGCATCAAGGCCCTTTGCTCTTCGGCTCAGAAATCTGCGCGCTCTGCGACCTCTCTGCGATGCAGCACAAGCCAGCGATAGAGTTGAGCTCTACTTTCTGCCCATTTCACCACTACGCCAATCAGGATCGACACAAATGCCCTTCAATATCCCTCGGGCTCAATTGATCCAGACACACGCAGTCTTCCAAGTTGAAACACCAGCTAACATCCCCTCCCAGACCCGTAGCAACCCACAAAGTCTCCGTCGCTGACAGCTCCGAAATTCTCGTCGCGCAACGCAAACTTCGTCCGACCTCCCCCAACCTCGGAATCTACAAGCCGCAAATAACCTGGATCTTGTCCTCTCTCAACCGTGTCACCGGTCTCACCGTCGCGGTCCCTTTCTATCTCTTCGGCCTGGCTTACCTTGCCTCCCCCGCGCTCGGCTGGCACCTCGACTCCGCCACCCTCGCCGCGACATTCGGAGCTCTGCCAGTAGCGGCAAAGTTCGGTATCAAGTTTTTGGCTGCGTTGCCGTTCACGTTCCATAGCTGGAACGGGGTCAGGCATTTGGTGTGGGATACGGGACGAGCTTTTAAAAATCAGACGGTCATTAAGAGTGGGTGGGCCGTTGTTGGGTTGACGGCCGTTAGCACCTTGTATTTGGCTTTCGCGTATTAGAGGGCCGTGGTGGCTGAGATCGGTTTTAGAGAGGATGAGAAAGGAAGAAGGGTGGATCGGTGCAATGGGTGCAATGGATGCAAAGATGCCACAGGGGCATCATACAGTAATTGCTATTGCTTGGGTTTGGGGAACAACTGAATACGATTACGTATGTGTACAAGTCAATAAAGACGATTTGATTTCGGTTCCTGGAAGCGGTCTTTTTCTCGTCACAGAATGCCAATCGCACCTGGAGACATCAGTTAGCTTTTCAGGCCCATGAAAGTCACGCATCGACGAATCATCGATTGCTCTTTCAACTCAATGGGCAAGAAAAGCAAACCATGTTGATCTTTCTTCCATGTTTGGCCGGGTTGGCTCCATGGTACGGAAGCTCCTGGCTCCCTTCGTAACCGGTCATCGACGATTTTGAATATTCATTCCAACGTCCTCCAGACACGAGCTGGGCATCCAATCGATATACTCGATAGTTACTCGATCCCGCGGCAGAATGAATCAGTTAATAAGTGAATGAATGCACGACCGGGCCGAGCGCTGCTGGGTGCAGGAACCGGTCTCGTGCAAGCCGCCGCCACTCGGGAGACACAAGTCTCGCCCGAATCTGACCACACTCGTATGGTTCCCCGCCTCCCCCTCTGCCCTATGTATACATACCTATATGTATATATCTCACGCATCTGTCTCTGCTCAAAGCCCGTCGCAAGTTCCCCATCTTTCCCAATCCGCATTCCCGAACTCACGTCAAGGAGAACTACATTCCGTTCGTTCTCCCACCACTCCATCTCTTCCCAATATCTACTTACTACCTCATTCGCACAAACCACAACCCACAACCCACAAACTGCATTTCACACCTCACGCCCATATCTCCTCTTCCAACACAGCAATTCGACCCAGCCGCGAAGAAAAGGAAAGCAAAGCAAAGAAAAGAATGGCAGCGGTGCAATACACAGACGTCGTGGTCGTGGAAGAGGGCCAGGGCCAGGGCGGGGAGGTGCTGCAGATGGGACCCGTCACGATCCGGATTCTGGAGGATGGGCGACACACGGATAATCGTATCGGGTCCATGGTGTTGACTATCCAGCCAAGGACGCCGGGCCCGCCCATCCATGTTCGTTTGCTCGCTCGTTCCGCCATTCTACCCTTCTCTCTCTCTCGGTCTTTTATTTGATCTTGTTTGGGTTTGTGTGATTGTGTGATTCAGATATATGTATATATATGTGCATACATCCATGTCGATCTACATACCCAGACCACGAGCTGATGCGCGCGCGAGAGGGCGAAAAATAGTGGCACCGCATGCACGACGAGACCTTCCTCATCACGTCCGGCCGGGTCCGCTTCACGACCATCAAGGCGGCCACGGCGAACTCGTCGGGGCCCGGCGGGCCAGAGCTCAAGAGCGACGAGAGCCTGCGGGAGGATCTGGATGCGAAGGCCGGCGACTACGTCGTCGTGCCGACGAGGAGCATCCATACCTTTAGCAACCCGTGGGACGAGGAGGCGAGTTTCTTCAATACCTTTACGCCGGCTTACTATGTGTGAGTTTCCCTTGCTTTCTCTCTCTCTTTCTTTCTTGCTTCTTCCCCTTTTTGGTTTGGGTCTGCAGATTGGAGGCTGGGTTTAGAGATGTTATGTGATGTGATGTGATGTGATGGGGCTGGCGAGGGAGAGATGAAGAGAGAGGGAGTGAAGGGGTGGGTGGTGACTGAGTTGAGAGAACTCGAATGCTGATGCGGGAGTAGGGACTATCTGAGGATGTTGGCGAAAGCCATCAACGAGGCGCAGAGCGGAGGGAAGAAGTTGACGGAGGATGAGCAGAGAGAGGTCATGGCGCAGTTTGCGACCTTTGAGCCGTAGGTGGGTATGTAGGTGGCATGTAGGTAGGTGGGTGATTCGTTTTCCAATATGCTATTAAAGATAAGAAGTTTTTTTGGAGGCAGAAAACGTTTGGTGCACAGCGACCGACTAGCTCGAGCTTCTTTCTGTCGACTGGAAAACCCTTGATGAGGTGAAGAAGGGGTATCGAACGAGGGAAATTTACTCGCTTAAGTAGTAAGGGCAGGCCACTCGCTTAGCAGCCCTACCAGTCTTCCTCTTTCCTTTTCGGGCATTTCATTCTATTTCCTATTTTCGTTTAGTGTCTCGGCAAAGAATTCTTGAGTAATGAGGCATCAGTGCGTTTGAAATGTTCGTGCTTTCAGAATATCGACAATAATAACATTTATAAATCAAGCGAGTTCCTGCACATACGTACCAAACTCTCCTTTTAATATATACAGAAACAAGCATATCCGCTGGCACCGCCTTCTCCATGCCACGTCTTCACCAAGACAGCTAGCTAACTTACTGCTTGGGGATGCTCTGCGGGTTGGTGGTGAACATGCCCGTGGGATCAATCTCCTTCTTGATTCTCAACACTCTCGGCCAGTTGCCAGCAAACAACCTCTCGCTCCACTGCGCCTCCGTCAGCTCCGTGTCTCGATAGTTCACGAAACCCCTCAACGGCACGCCCTCGGTGGCCAGCTGCTGCTCGAACGGCTTCAGTCCGTTCTGCATGTAGCTGATCCCATCCGCAGGGAAGTCCGTCAGGCCAGCCGCGAGACGGCCCTCCCAGCGGATGAGGAAGAGGGATTTGGCGTACGCGAACGCGGAGTCGGCATCCTTGACCTTCCGGGACGACGCGCCCCAGAGGTCGATGAAGCCGAACTTGGTCATGTCGGTGCGGTTGAAGGCGAAGGTCGTCGCGTTGTACAGGGCGAAGGCCGACTCGTAGGTGAAGGGCTGGTCCTCGCGGAGCACGAGCGCCTGCAGGTAGAAGTTGCGGGGCGGGAAGAATTCGATCTTCTCGTCGATCAGGGGGGTCGCGGCTTTCTCCATGGTCCAGAAGTCGGCCGTGGCACTCACCAAGGTCGTGTTGGCGGGCAAGCGGGCCATCAAGGGCGCCATGATGGCCTCGAAGTCCGCGGGGTTGCCGTAGTAGAAGCCCGTGCCGGAGAAGGGGGGCGCGGTCAAGGACCAGCGGAGGGAGAGCTCGTCGGGGCACTCGCCGCTGAGGTAGTAGTCCTGGATGCTGAGCAGGGCTTTGACACCTGCGTCGAGGCTGGCATCGGGCAGGGTGATGGTGTAGTTGGTCACCGTCTGGTGGACAGGCTTCCACGTCCTGGTCGTGAGGGAGAGGACGATCCCGTAGGACGAGGCGGCGCCTTGCACGACCCAGAAGAGGTCCGGGTTCTGCGTCTTGGAAGCTGTGACGATGGTGCTGTTGTACAGCATGACCTCGACGCTGGTGAGCATGTACATGGGCGTCCCGAGGAAACGGGAGGTGCTGCCGAATCCCGCGCCGATGGTCGAGCCAGCGAGACCGACCCGGTTGGCGCGCACGTGGGGGAAGTGCACGCCATGGTTCTGCCAGGCCCAGGTCACGACGTCGCCGACGATAGAGCCGCCTCCGAAGGTCAACAGGCCGGTCGCAGCGTCGAAGCTGGTGGATTGGAAGGCGTCCATGTAGATGACCAACGCCCCATCGTTGCCACCGACACCGTACGAGCCGTAGGAGTGACCACCATTCTTGGCTGCTACTGGGACTCCGGCAGCGGCGGCGCAGCGAAGGGCTGCAGCGATCTGGTCCACGCTAGTGGGCTTGATGACGCCGGCAGGCGTGGGCCTGATACGGAGTTGCCATGGAGAGATGTCCTCTGCCCAGTCGGCGCTGTCGGCGAAGGTGGAGGGGATGGAGGCTGCGGCGAGACAGCTCTGGAGAGGAGATTGGGCCACGGCGGGATTGGAGAAGGCGAGAGCCGAGAGGAGCAGGGCGGTTAGGGTGAAAGAAGGCATTTTGGAGGAAGCGACTATCAAAGCGGGTGTGGTAGGTAGGAGAAAGACTGCAATGAACGATTGCTCAATTGGCCGCTCGATTAAGACCGGATTCAACCTCGCTTTGTATTTCCGGAGAGCTCTTTCTCTTATAAAAGGAAATGTGGCCTTATGAAAAAACGCAAATAATCCTTTTAAAGCAAGTAGAATTGATTGGTCCATCAAAAAGTGCGCGTAGTGACGAGTAGCAAAGTCTTAAAATGATAAACAACGTGGTTGGATTTCATTTAACTTTCAGAATCTTAATACCTCCGCTCTTAACGCGTCTTAATTAAACGCAAGATGAATCGCGTCGACCATCATACTCTTCGCTGAGCTATTACCGTTTTCGATTGTCAGTTAATAAATCAAGTACGGATAGCGCTTTTCTAGCATTTACAACACTTTCCCCTTTCTTCGCGAGTTTTCATAAGCTTCGCTATGCTTTTAAAAATCGCTTAAAAAACAAACGTCGCTTGCAAACCTTAAATAGAAACAGTATCGCACAGCTCGCAAAGGACTACGAAATAAAAACGTTATTGATAAAAATGAAAACGTCTTGAAAAGTCGAATCCCCATTATTCTCTTTCGTGCCGAAATTGATACTTCTGATAATGCTTGACGGGTTCATAAGAAAAAAAGCATCAGTGAACGAGTATAATCATATCAAAAATGTTTGCGCTAAAAACTACCTTCGTTGAGCAAATCAAAGCTTATCATACTAGCCAAAAGGCTAAAACTACCGGATAAAATACTTCAAAGTTATGGATTCCAGGGGGTGTAGTAGGGGGTATAGCAAGGGGTAAGAAGGAGTATACAAGGGTTTTAAGCCAATCGATTAAGATTCTATCTGATATGGAGCTGGCCCTCCTTGAACATCGATTACAGCTTAACAACGCTTCTATTACGATTCGTGTGGAGATTCGACATAGCTGTTGAGAATAGCGTCTTAAGCCTCCCGTTTAATCTCGGAATCTTTTAAAAAGAGATCGATTAAGTATTGTAAACAAATAGAAAATATTTCTTTTTGAATATACCTTTTCATCTAACTCCAAAGGTGTTCGATTAGATTTGAATCGAGAGAATAAAGAAGCTAATCGATTATCGAAATACGTAGTATTCCTTCGATACTCCCCCCTATGAATACTATCCTCCTCTACGAATACATATCGGACCCAGTATAAGCTTATAAATCGTAGAGTGGTGGTTTCTGAATGGCTCAAAGCCCTATCCATTTAATTGCACGGACTAAATACTGCCCTGAAGATACTTTTCAAAGCTGGAATCTTACAAGTTGATTAGTTAAGCCTTGGTAAGATCCTTTGCAACATTATACTTTCGACATGTATTTATAGGGGGAGTATCGCGGCTAAAGTTATGCTTACGAAAAATCCTCAGATTAAGAGAGGCTTGACTAGCAATGCTTTAAGTATCGTGAGAGATTTTAGTTGGCTTTTTGAAGCTGGTTATGACAAGGATATTCTTATTATGCTGATCGCTTTCGATAAGTACCACGGTCTTTATGTCAGGAGCAGAACCCACTCGGAAGTAGTCGGAGGCTTTGCGGGCTCGGCTCGGTCACGTATCCTATACAAGCCACATTCTATAAGAAACCCCTGGAGTTCAGGAGTTTAGAAGGCTAGGGATCAGTCTGAATACCAACGGAGCCTGATCGGAACCTCGAATAGTGATTCTGTCCCATTATGAACCTTACACTTTACTTCTTTAAAAGTGCTGAAGCTTAACAAGTCGTGCCGATTACTCTTTCAAGAAAAAGAATTTCAAGTAAAGAATATGGCTTGTACTCGGACGCAGCTCCCTCTCATTATTGTTTTCGCCATTACTGTTCACAAATCTTCAAGGGTTATAAAGGATAAAATGATGACGAATTTGATTGCTAGGAATCACTTTATTAGATTGACTTACGCAGCTGTTTCTTGGGTCAGGACCTTAAGAGGTCTTTTATTAAAAAGCTATTTGATTACTTTCGTTTTCAACTGACGAAGGTTTCGAAGACTAAGAATATAAGACTAGCTAATATAATACGGCGCTTCCTTTAGCATATGTCGTTCTTTATTTTAACGTTCAATTAAATCACGTTATCAAGGATTTATAATTGTGGATATCATAAGGGTCACGTTTTGATAATAAAGCTAAAGGTACTAACAATTAGACACTAGATATATACTATTATTTCAAACTTTAAATAGTTCAAATGAACAGGCCTTTTGAAATTCTGTAAACTCTCAATTGCACGCATATAAGTTGGTAGGTGCACCTTTAAGCTCTCTTTACTATGACGTACGCTGCTTGCCATTTACGTCAGCTTACTTAATACATACATATATACATATGGCTCGTGGTTCTGGCCTTGGATCTGACAATGGAAATGAGCTGGCCCTTCAAGACGGTTTAATCTTGGTGACGATTCGCTCATACTCTCAATGTACCAATGCCAGCAGCGAAAATTCTGGGAATTAGCCTTTAGGGAGATCGGTGCATGTTGCGATCATCTCAAATACCGGTACTACGTACTACGTAGATACGTAGTAGTAGTACCTATGCATATTAAAGCTTGAATGCTGCCGGTTTGACTTTTATTACTTCTTGGCAGGGGATTGGACTCTGGGGTACAGTAGCGCATCATTACTTGAGTGGTTCTCGATATCCGCCAATTACTATGCGCTGAGCATATTATGCTGTGCGATGAGGATAGGGGTTGTCGCTTTGAAATTATCATCTCCATTATATCCAGATAGAAATAAATATCTCGATCGCGTATAACTATTTCGTTGTCAAGCAAGGAGGGTTTTGTGATTCGGCAAGGAGGGTTGTCAAGAAACACCAGGCGGATATGGACCGCGCAGTCAACATATCCTTGTATGTAGTTTGTCATTTCTCCCGCTACTACCATATCATAACAAATGGCAGAAACGCATTGTAGAAGACTCTCTATATTTCTAGGGATACTTCTAGGCCTCGACTTTTCTCTTGCGAACTTTCCGTTTGGCCGGCTGCTTCGTGAAACCAAATAGCCTATTCGCTTAAATGTGCCAACTCTGAAAAAGAACCACTAAAGAAAGCAACGAAAATCTTTGTTTTCAGCTATGCATTTTGAACCTATAGCCAAGTTCAATCAATACTGGTTAAAGTACAATGGTTACGTATGAAAAAAAGCCTTTGTTGGTGGTCATGACGAAGATCGCACTTGCCATTAGGTAGTAGCCGCATCCGCCGAGGCTCCAACATAAATCCTTAAACCCCTCCATTTTGAGTTTATGCTAGAGCGCTGGACCCCGAAACTTTACAGTACTATAATTTGCTTCTCCTTCTTCTTCTCCTCGACCTCGGAGCAAAACAAATACCATCTACCTCTTAACGTTTCCTGAAGGAAGCTTTCAAATTACTGCCCAGAACGGATACTTGTGGAAGCTCGTCTGATGATCCTTTATATGACTTTTGTTACGACTTGCACCGCATTGAAAGTGATCCAGTGCGGATTTCGAATGCTTCGAAACCCCTTCACGGGGCATTCATATTCATTGATACTGGCTCGAGGTGTCTGACGCTCACCCAGGAGACCTTGTTGATCGAATCTTCTGACGGGTCGGGCTCGCTCATTCCAGGAGCCGTCTACTGTTCTTCGGATTCCCTGCCCATGTGTGTGTGGATCGTTACATCTTCACAATGGTTGATAGAAGATTATCATGAAAGATTACACACTTCAATATATTGTTCCATCAAAACAAGAAGAAGCAGCTCGTCGCAGAGAATATCAACGACGTTCGTAACATGCTATTGATCTTGACTGTTTTACTTATTTTGAAAAGTATTTCTCGACTACCTTGATAACTATCAATTACCTTTGACCTCGCCTCGGCTCGAGTTTGACGGCTCAAGGCCTAGGTAAGCCTTCAGTTTCGCCGTCTTTCTCAAGCTTGAGCTCACGCCTTCCGCGGTCGCGTTAGAGCAGAATAATCATCGTGAATATTAATATCCCATCTTATTTTTATTCGCTTGAGGTTTAAACCTTGCTCGATGCCGCCGCTTGCTTTACGAGAGTGGCGTTATTTGATTTTAAAAGTCGATATTCGCAAAGTAGAAATAGTAGCAAAGGTTTTCCTTTCAAGAAAACAGGCTGCTACGAGCGTTATGATTACCGAAAGGCTAGGCCGAGAAAGGGAGTCTTGGCGGGATGACAGGTCCGGATAAGGAATCCCATCGGCGTTTTCGTCATACAGCCGGTTGCTATGCAAATAGTGGGTAACAAAAACAGTGGATTCCTCTGATTGCATGTGACTTACGGAATTCGGTCTAAACGATCGAATAGTAAAGAAACAATGATTACTATGCTCATCACATGAAGCTGAGGCTTAGGTTGAACTTGAGGTATATTTCGCACAAATTTTTTTTTCTTGGATTCCGCGAAACCAATTTGAGTCAGTGTTTTGTGTGCGAAACAGATACACTTGAAAGAGTGGTTCCTCGCGAGGTCGTAATGTAGTCCGAAGCTTCCAGCGCCCCCTTTCTCTGATACTGCCACCAAACATGCCTGCCTTTGGATATTCATTCGTTGACATCGTCACTATCATAAGCATCCCCTAATACCGCCAGATCCCACCGCACCCACGATTCTAGTATGGTGCCGATTCGATTAACCGCACTATTTCAGTCAGTCCCCTTTCGATGCTACAGTATCTGAGATTAAGGGGTTGTCTTACGCATTTCATGATCTGTGTCGAACACGCGATTAGCCTCATACCTGACTTGACAGGAAAGGATACTTACACCACCTTCAAGAGGGAAGCCACAGTCGCCGCCTGTTCCACTCGGGGTTACACAACGGCCACGAGGAACGACAAATTGATCCGGTTGCGCAATTCCGTTCGAAGAGCAACAGTACAAGTACTTTCCCTCCTTGCCTTGGCAGCCAGTGTTGAAGCTTGACCAGCCATAGTCACAGTACTCAGTAGTCCTAGGCTGCTGCTGTGGTATAGCACTGCAGCTCAGGGCGAGGGCACTGGCGAGGAATATGGTAGTGAGTTGCATCTTGAGGAGCAGTTGAGTAAAAGCGGGCTTTAGAACTGTCAGTAATCTGATGTACCGGCTCAGGAACTATTCGAAGAATTGCGGTAGCTCAAGTGAAATAAGATGAGTTGAGAAGGTGTTGACTGGTGGGGGGAACCCGAGCGCTATATACAAAATTGAGCACCCCGCAAAGAGACTCTTGAATAAATTGAAGGCCAGGAAATACGGAGTAAGAACGTGTCTCAGACCTGTGGATCGGCACTACGAAAATACGAGGGCTTAGTCGAAAGACTTGACAGGGTTTGGTACAGTAGAAGCAAGAAATTCAAGGAACGGAACTTGCTCCGTAGTCCGTATTATCCTCCCCCATGAATACATGTCGGACCCAGTTTAGGCCCATAAATCGTAGAGCGGTGGTTTCTGAATGGCTCAAAGCCCTGTCAACTCGATTGCACAGACTAAATACTGACCTACTTAAAGATACTTTTCAAGGCTGGAATCTCATACGTAAGTTGATTAGTTTAAGCCATGATAAGTAAGATCCCTTGCAAAATTATACTTTCGATGTGTATTCATGCGGGGATAGTACAAGTAGAGCATTGTCATAAGTAGGCTCGGGTATGATATGGCTGACTCTTTCCTACGTATGCCTCGAACATGGTGGAGCATGTCTTTGCATCCCTTAAACTTCTTAAATCCACTGCCGATCTTCCGAACAATGCGAATTGTTCGTAATCTACCTACTCGCGTGGCCATGAAGTCCGTCCGTCATGCGACCTATTTTTAGACGATTTTCGCCTTGGCGGAAAGACTTCGTGGCCGTGACCGTTTTTTCCGGGCCCGGTTTGGCCTCATGGTACTAAATCGCAGAGCGGTGGTTTTCTGAATGGCTCAAAGCCCTTTCAACTCTACTATACAGACGAAACACTTGCTTGAAGATAATTTTTAAGGCTGAACCATTATAAGCTTCAAGCTCGGGTAAGAACCCTTGCAAAATTCGTAGCACGGACGATTACAACGATTGATTAAACTACGCTTAATCCGCTCCTTGAAATTGTGCAACAAATCGACTTTGCGAATAGCTTCATTTTCTACTCTCCCCCGCCATGAATACATGTCAAAAGTATAATTTCGCAAGGGATCTTACCAGGGCTTAAACCAATCAATTTATAAGGATTCAGCCTTGAAAAGTATCTTTGAGCCAGTAGTTAGTCTATACGGTGGAGTTGACGGAGCTTTGAGCCATTAAGAAACCACCGCTCTATGATTTATGGGCCTAAACTGGGTCCGGCATGTATTCATGAGGGGGAGAGTACTACGTACTGTGTTTCGCTTTGCGCGTACGAAAGAAGTCTGCGCTAGTAGCACAAAGTGTAGTAGCAATCAAATTAAGAGGTTAAGGCATGGGACCCTACAGTATCGGCCGTATCCACCCTTATTTTTGAATCTCTCTTCCTTCCTCCGCCATTTACGTAGTATCTCTCTGTATCCTTGGATATCCCATCTCGGGTATCTCGGTATCGCGAAGAATCCTCGCATTCTACGTTCCGCAGCGGAACGAAGACATGGCGTCATTGGCGAAAGCATTCTCGGGTTTTAATACATCGTCAGTAACACGTCGGTAAGAAAAGTATCCATCGGTGGGGACGCAATAGGCAGAACTAATCTGAATCGGCTATCTGAAAGCATACTGTATCAGATTAAAAAATAAGAAAAGTAGCTTGCTTACACGTAAAGTTCGCATCCGTACTAGTTGTGGGTATCGATACTGGTCACACGGCCCGCCATACCAAAGTTTGAAAGGCCGAAGTTTTATTTTACAACATTAGCTGCATTCAATAACAGCTTTATATAAAAAAGTCGATAATTGAATACAACTCGATTGCGCCGCTTCGTGCATCTATCTTTCAATATTATTAGTCGTTGCGATATTGACTTATTCGAGTTGCAATCGCATCAATTCTAGCTGATATTTTGATGTTCCGGAGCCTTTCAAGCTTAATAATCGATAAGCTGCAAGCTTGCTACGAGTTTTCATTTCAAAAAACCAATCATTTGCGTAATAGATATTATAATAATTGATATATATATATATATATATATGTAAAATTTGATATTTGATAATCTAATAGAACATCGTGACGCCGATACGTAGATATAACTTTTATTATTAGAGCTTGTTGCGTTGTACAGTTATTGTCGGTATAAAGCGAGATTTTTGATGATTTTTAATGATTTTCAACCCGATTATGCATACTATTTAAGATGGGACACTTGCTTGGACTGACAAATATTCAATTCAGCGGTGCCATCAAAAGCCTTACCTCTCAGTGTGTCAGGCTATTCCTGGCTCGTCAAAGTGCCAACTTGGCTGCTGACGCGTCGATAGATTTGGAATTGTTCCGAAGCTTCCGTGAGCTACTCACGAAAGGAATCAAGACTTTGACGGATCTCCGTAGAGGGACGTTAAGACTTCCGGAAAAGGATCGTAAAATGCGTAGAGCTTGTCCGATGATACAACCCGTAGACAGTTTGCTCACTCCCTTGCAAAGGGGGCAGAACGGTGGAAGCAGCTTCTGAGCTCGACCAGACCTTCTGCTCGATTTTTGCTCTCTTTTTGCCATAAGGCCCACGGTCCCTCCCCGGGATAGTTAATAACAAATGGACATACTGCTGCATAATAATTGAATAGCTCGTAAGTGCGTGTGTGGCTTCAGACTATGGTGCAAATGGTGCGCAATATTACTACTAGAAGGAGATCCCGGGGACTACTCCATAAATAAAGCTTGTAGAGGATCATCTGAATGATCAAATTATACGGAGTAAATTAATGATGGTCACCAACATAGTCACATAAGCTGTAGCTTGGGGGGAACCAGAGGCATCCATATTTCACAAAAGACCGGTTGAAGTAGGTACTAATTGTATTAATCGGACATTATTGGCATACACAAGAAGAGGCATCCTATCGTGGGGAAAATAGCAGTGCCGCCCGCAGGATGCGATCTCACTCATGGTTCTCAAGTACAAACAACCAAATTCCAATGCGGTGTTCCAAAAAAAAACCGTGCAAGCCCGCCATAGGTGAGCGTAAGCAGAGATGTGGTGTAAACAATAGACTCCATTCCAGAGCCTGCGGGATGATGCGGTCCTCGCTATGTACCCTGACGAGAACCTCTGGCCTGGCCAAAATATTTCCGAGAATGGTTTCGAGAAGAAGTCATTCCGCAGCTGCCTCGGCTGCCTCGGCTGCCTCAGCCCCCCCCAGCTCCACCATCTCCCGTGGATCCCGCAGCTTGTGCATCGCTTGCAACATTCAAAACACGACACCTGTACCGGGCGACGAAACCAGAATCATAATTTCTCTTCAATCGGAGGTTCTCTGGCCATTGCTGCTCTTCCGCCACTCGGTCCAAATAGTCCCCAATGTGAGTGTATTTCATTCCGCCTCCTGGGGCACCAATGTCTTTCAAATTTCCCAAGAGGTAGGCGAGCAAGTCTCGCTCGCAATCCTGATACCCGACTGGGTTTGCAATGAGATTCCTGAATTTGTATGGGTAGTAATGGGAATGGACCGCAGGTCCGACGGGATCGTGAAGCTCGACGTTTTCAGGGATAGGCTTTCCCGAACGGTGGTATTCCCTAAGGCGGGAGTTGATTTCGGCAACCAGTCCTGTGAGATCGATGTGGGCGTGTCCTTTGCCCAGCCGCTCAGTACGTTTGTCGTTCAGAGCATTCAGCAGATCGCCGTAGCAACATAATCTCCAGTGCCCAGCTGGATCCTGAGGAGTGGTAAACAGCCTGCGTCTGTCGATGTATTTGTCCTTGTCGATTTCATGGAGGAGGGCTCGGAGATCTCCGCGATCATGGCTATGGAATTTGTGACTTTCGCTAAATTCAAGACTTCCCGGTTCCGGGGAACTTCCTGGAGGGGACAAGCTGGGAGACTTCCTTGCTAGCTCCGCCTTTCTTGCTTCTTGAAACGCCATCCTCCGGCCGTATTCTGTCGTCGAAGGCCTCTTCTCCTTTGAACCACTGGCCGCTGATGACATATCTGTATTTGTTGAGATACGTACGATAACAGTTTGATCTGCAACTGCCAGAAAATCTGTGGAGGTATTGCGAACAAGTATGGTAGTAGATTAAAAGTGAACTTGGAATTGGAAGTACCGTGTCGAAGTGTGTATTCAAGAGAAGGCTCTGCGAATTGTGCTGGTGATGATGAAAGGAAGAAAAAATTAGAACAGCAGTGTGTTTATATAGCTCTCTCGAGGTACTATTGAATCACAGAATTATTAAGCTGTAAACAGGCTGTGAATCAAAAGGACTGTGAATCGAGGACTTCTAAGGGTTCGGTGGCTGCGAATCACCTTTGTAAGTCACAACCATGTTTCCTAGCTATTAGTGCCCATCACCCAAATCATAACTGTGATTTAGGTATCAAGGGAATAGTCTGAGGACGGTCATACGTAATATATACATATTCGGGACTCATGGTTTGCGCCTTTAATACTAAGCTTGCTATCCCAGATCCAGAAGCGTGCTTGCAAGAAGTCTTGTGGAAGGGTCAGCCCTTTACAAGTAAGTCACAAGGGAGTATAATAGCGAAGGACATTGTGCCATCTGGATGTCTAGCAAACATTCCAGCTTGCCCGCTGGGGACTTCAAAGTACTCTTCACGGAAGTTCACTATTGGGTTACAGTTGTTTCCCCCTTCGCTAAACAATCTCGCGTAATAACAAGGTAAATAAGCCGCTGGCTGACTGATAACAAAGACCCTCTGACCTTTGATCTCGAATTACATAAATGCCTGCTACTATTACACTTTGTATGAGGCTCTTTCGGTATTTGTGCTGCTATACGTGATACTATGCTAATAGTCACGTGTGCATTCAACATCTCTATTGCGGAGAGAAACGTTTCGCTTAATTCTCAACTGTTGAATCCTCACTTCGCTGCATGAAAATAGCCGTCTAATACAGCTAGATATAAAAAGCAAATTTCCGTTATTTCGAAGGTAAAATACTTTTCATCAGCTATATGCGAATGAGAATTGAATACGAAAATCGTCTGATCTAATACATCATAGGCAAGGAGTGAAAATCGCTAACAGGACTTTCACGTTTAGTTTCAACGACAGCCACAGCTCATAATCGCATAGCAAACTTGGCCCAGCATGACATCGAGCAAAGCAACACACCCGTCGATCCCTCCAGCACGGAGCATATTACTGCGAAAGGGCGCAAAGAGCCCGAGGCAAACCTGGGCTTCGTCAAGCAACTAACTCATCATCAAATCGCTCTCTCCCTTATCCGGAGCTCTCCAGACGTCCGTCCGTCCGAACAGATGAACCGAGATGGGTACCGTACCTGCATTCCGAAAACTCAAAAAACGCTACCCCCGCGCACTCTGAGCCGCCATAGGTATTTGTCGCTTCCGCTCACGGTTGTAATTGGCTGCAGCGAAAGGCATATATTTCTAGTTTCCCCAGCATGGCGAGTTGAGAACTCGAATCAGATCTGGATATCAATTATTCATTCTGTAGATAAGAAGATCGAAAAGTTAAGAGCTAAGCGGTAAACAATAATCAAAGCCTTCTTTCTCGCTTTTAACGCATATCTTATCACAGCCAGCGCGGGGGCCTCACACGTGGGGGTCCCGTTCCCCTCTTCGACCTCGACTTCGATTTCGGGCTCATTTTCGAATTCGCACAGACACTACTAATCGGGCTCATACCACCCAAGCCCGAGTCCCTGAACGTCTCATCTTTCTTCGTCGGCTTTGGCTTTTTCGAATTTGCGGCTCCTCCCAGCGAGGCTGCCTTGCGATGGCCGACGTCCTTCTTCTTCGCCTTGCTTTCTTCTTCCTCGCTCTTCTGAACGGCCCGCCGGCCAATGTCCATCAGGTTGCACTGTTCCCGCTCCGCCATCTTCACCTGCGCCAGATGCACCACGTCATCCCGATGCAGGCTCTCTCTCAGCTCGCCCGAGTACGGCCCATCGCCGGCACCCAGCTCGTCGCCGGCTATGCTCAGGCTCACGGCAGAGTCGACCGAGCCGTCCCTCCCGTGCAGCGGCTTTGGCTTGGCTGATTGAAGGCCGGGCATGCTCTCATCCTCATACATCATCATGCTGCCGCCGACGCAGTCGAGGTGGAGCTCTTCCACCCAGCTCTCGATGTCGGCGACCTCGCTGGCCACGTCCACCTCCTCCACAAACTCCTCCACCAGGTCCGCGAGGTTGAGGAGGGCCTCTGCCTCTTCCTGCATGATGACGACGAGCTCGGTCAGCTCGGCCACGATCCTGTCTTCCTGCTGGACCGTGTGCTGCTGCTCCATGATGGTGTTCATGATGGACAGAACCTCACTGAGGAGACTTGTCATCTTTTCAGGCGCTTGAGATGAGGGCGTTGGAGGGAAGCTGCAGTCCTGGTCCTGATCTCGTAGTCGCATTGGTGCGTATTTGGGGGTCGGCAGGCGACGAGCACTTGGAGGCAACGGGGGGAGCGGTGCTTGAGGCGGTGGTATCGATATCGGCTGTAAGATGAGACTGGGTCTCCTTCTGACCGGTATCGGCGGTGTATCTGGGTCCGATCTCCTGCTCCTTTGCTGGAAATAGTCAGAGACAGGAGGCGGTACGTCCGGCAGCGGGAAGGAGGCAAGAAGCGTCTTTCTCTGCGGCCGCTCGGTTGGCGTAGGCGTTGTCAAGACGATATCAAAAGTCGATGACGAGAATTTTTGTCTGTGAGCTTCGGGGTGAAACTCTGAGCCCATGAAAGCAATGGGGGATTCTCCGTCGACGGCGGCCTCGTGCAAACCGTTTGCGAAGCCGTCATCAGCGTGCCGCGGAAAGGGAGGGAAGTGATTCGGGTGCTCATGATGGAACGGATAAGCTTTACTGAATTTCTTTCTCCACATGTTTGATCCCGCCGTCCGTCTTCTTAACGCCCAGATTTAAGTCGGGAAAGAAGAAGATTTTATGAAGGAGGAACCTAGAAAATGTCCTGGTCAGAAGCCTCGGGGGGAAATTAGGTCAATGTGGCAGGGACAATGCCGCGTAAGATAGGGTTCCCTTCAGCGCCTACTGAGAATAGACGTCATGGAGAAACAAATTATTGATGCGGAAGTCATAAGTTATATGGACTTCAATGCAGGCTGGGATGTTCGAGATGTCGATCTCGCTTAGCTGGAGAAGGACCCTGAGCGGAGGCGTTTCCGGCTATAATTAGGCCCAGCAGTAGCAGGCATGATGGCAATCGTAACATACTACTATTAGAGCTTCGAGGAAGCTGCTGGGGTAAAAAGATCGAAATAACTTCCGTTTAAAGTGAAGAATTTGCAGATTACATAGTTCATAAATATCACCGCTGTGTAAATCCGGGTAATGCGAATCATGAAGACCCCGGAGGCGGACTAAGAGTCAGTAAGGCTGAAGGAGGAACATCTTAATAAAAGCTTACAACACTACTGGCTCTGCGACCGCAATAAACAAAGAGAAAAAGACTCCCTCGGAATTATTGCAGCATCAGACTGCCTTGGTAACCTTAAAATAAATTCTGTCTGCGTCTCAGAGCAAGGGAAAGCCTGATGGAAGAAAAGAATAGCGTCCAAGATACGACGATAAATCGCGTCAAAAGAATGATGATTTGAACTTCCACTATGACTACATCCAGGAAGGAAAGAAGAGGAAGAAGAAGAAGAAGGGGGAGGAAACGACAGTAGATCCCACAAAGAAGAGGACTCGTCCATTCAGTAGCAATCCTTCATCTCAGCACTCCATGTGTCGTCTGTCTCTACAGCCATATAGACCGAATCCCCGCGTCGGACATATTCCTAGCTTCTTGTTTCAATTGGTCAGGGACCATATCTACAGGCACTGCGAATAGTAGATGGTCGAGAACGTGCAGACATACGGAGCCACGCAGGTGTATGGGCCAGCGAAGGGAGCTTGACCACCACACTGGGCGTAGTGGGCAGCCCCGGAAGTGGAAGGCGCAGTGCTCGTGGTAGAAGTCGCCCTGCTTGTCGTCGTCGACGTCCTGCGCGTAGAGACCGATGTAGCAGCCTTGGAGGTCGAGCTAGAGCTAGTCCCACTGCCGGGGAGAGGGGTGCCAGAGAAGGTTGAGTTGAGAGCTCCAACTTTGATGTTGCTGTAGATGACGTAGGAGTTAGGGGAAGCGGCTTCGACATCGGCGGGGACTCCAGATGTTGTTGGGCAGGTACCGCGGCCGACTCCCGGGGTAGCTGGGTTGCCGGTGACGGGGTAGGTGGAGTCAAGCCACAGCATGTTGGCGGCATAGTCATCCCAGAGAGAGAGCGAGAGAACCATGCCAGCAGACATGGCGGCTGACATCGATGCGAAGCCTCCGCGTTGTTTGTAGATGTTTGGGTCACCAAAGACGGTCTTCTGAGCATCGCAAAAGGCGGCCGTGAGACTGTTACCTGGGACACCGGCAATCGTCGACTGCGAGTTAGGTATCACGACGCCGTTTTGAACGTAGAAGCGTCGAATCTCGCTTAGAGTACCGGCATCTGTACCAGTATTGGTGATGAATTGGGTGACGACCGTGAAGACTGAGTTTGTGTTGACGGTCTTGCCTGGGCCGTAAAACTCCTTGTTGCCTTGGCGGTAAGAGTTGAAATCACTGTCCGAGAATTTAGATCTCGATTTTCGCAATCCAAGGGAAGGTATATGCTTACCATCCGTCTGGATCGGTCACCCCAGCATATCTATCGGCAGAGTAGGTCCCTCCGCATGCATCACCGAGACATCTGGTCTGCCCGACAGGACTGGCCGAGTGAGGAGTGAAGGCCGTGGAGATGGAGTTGGCTTCCCAGATATCCATTTCGGCCTGCATAACAAGTCAGTATCTGCCATTTGTAGGTAGGTTTATCAGTGTGGGATTTGACAACGTCTAGCGATCAGACTGGATGAAGAGGGAAAGATCTCAGCCTCCCAATGTCTTACACAGCAAGAACCATATTTTCCAACACCGGTGTTTGCGTTGTTGGACGCCGGCACCCATCCTTCAACATTTGCCTGAGAATCTATGTCAGCGGGATCCTCTAAAGAGAAAGGTATTCGGGACTCACTTCTCCGTTAATGAACTTCAAGTCACGGGGACACTGCCAAGGTAAGAGGGTTAGCAGACGATCAATGTTGCATGTTTAGGAGCAGTCTTAGGCATAGATTTCCCCAAAGACACTCGAAACAAGGAAATTGGCTATGAGCCGAAGACTGACCTGAGCATCGCAATACCCAACACCGTATTTGGCTCCGGCCTTATTGTTGGGGTAAAGAGAAGCACCACCATCCTTAGCCATGCTGACTAGATAGAGAGCACCATTCAAGCCACAAGGAAGATGAGAAACATCAACGTCGAATGTGAACTCCTTGTTGAGCAGGTTGAAAGTTTGATAGGTGCTATCATCAGCCATGAGGAACATACGGGAGCCCACGTTCCGGCTTGCACCGTTGGTAACGAAATTGAGTCTCAAAGCATTGCCAGTCGTCGTTGCTCCGTAACTCCCACTGTAGTCAGCACCGTCAAGGTAACAGTTCTGAGCACAAGCAGTGCCATTGGGGCAGAGAGCAGCGTTCCAAGTGTTGCCGGTGTAGCAATTAGTTCCTGTAGAGCTGTGCAGCCAGCGCCAGTTTGAATCGAGGACGACCTTGCCGTTGATGGTGGTGCAAGAGCCAGGAGCTGTACAAGTTTGCCAAGTGAGAGGGGGGTGGACCTCAGCAGTGAACGTGCCGATACCCTGACCAGATGCAACGGTGAGAAAGAGCGAGGCGAGGGCGAATCTGGAAGACATGGTTTCTGACTGACGGATATCTTGGAAGTGAGTTATAGAAAGATTTGGTGGGAGGAGAATGAGACTTATATAACCAATCCTGGATCTTAGAGCCAAGGGGAGAAAAGGCGGACGTGAGGGAGAGAGCTCATTGCACGCGGGACTCCAGATACCAAGCTCTTGCCGTCCTGGATGAGCGGCTCGACGGGCCCATCGGAATGCAAAGTGACGAGGAAGAGGAGGGATGACTTTTCACGATAGCCGGTCAGAAGCAAAGAGATTGGAGGGAGGAAACATGAAGAGTGAATTCTTGTACCCCACGCGCCTTGCTCTCCAGTCCACTGAGTATTGAGTGGAGGACTTTCTTGCATTGTCTCAAAGCCAAGCTCGAATGAGCTCGCAAGGCTTATTGTCTTGTCGCGGGGATAACTTCTTGCTTCTTTCACGATGTAGTAAAGAGGGCCTTCCGGACCTGTTTACCGAGAATTATCGCGGAATAAATCCAGGGTAGATTGCTCGCCCGGGAGATGACTGATGAGGAATATGGAGATTTTCTCCGGCCCAGTTTCCATTTTACGTAATCTTGAGCCAGGCCAAGGAGAGAAACTCTGGACGATTCTGCAATAGAGAATGTGCTTCTGAAGGAACCCAGGCAAATTTTGGTGGCACGACAGCAAGCAGTGTCCCAGATTTGACAGCATCTAGTAAATTAAACACGCGATTTACTTCACGGGAAACGGGTTAATTTTTGGATAGTGGAATGCACGGATGCAGATTGATTGGAGGGACTTTGGGTTTTTCCATATAAAAGTGAGTCTACTGAGACATTCTTGTACTGCAGCTAAATTTGACGATATTCCATACAGGGGTAGTGAATGGCGCAGCAATACCTACATTACAGTCGCCGGAGGGAGACCTGCCGTGTCATCAAGATGACTGCGACTATTCCATAGCTACGGGCAAGAGTTCCGAGCTTAGGCCTAGAAAGGACTTGGAATTTTCATAGCATTAGGCTATCAAAACATTCGGCTCACTCTTCTCGCCGAAAGCTGGAGACGGCTTGGGCAGACCCTAGACCATCACACCCTCAGGTACACTTGTACTCCAAGACAATGTTCCTGCCTCTCATATCACCAGCCGCCTATGCAGCAGAAGGGTGAGGTACCTCCGGGGGTTGTGCATCAAATGAACGCTGCTGCAGTCAACATCAAGCCAAGAGAGACTGTAGCAGAAACGATCAGACCAATGGGATTTCCTGCCGGGTAGCAGCAATGATGGGAAATTTTCCCACGGTCGGAAAATCTACCTCCACTGCGTTGCGCCGCTGCGGACGAAGAGGTACCATCTCAGTCCGGCGATGAGCTGATAGATTGGGATCCTGCAGATGCAGGAACCTCACATCATCGTTGGTAAGCTTCCCGAGGCTCCTGAATGGTTGCACGCCACAGTCGAACGGCCTTTGCATTTCCGCATATTTGAGGGTATGCCATGTCATGCTATGCCTTGCAATGCCAGGACGATGGGTACCTACCTTCAGGCGAGCCGTCTGCTGGATATCCTTGGTAGAAGAGTATCTACGGAGATTGACCGTCTCCATGCAGATAAAGTCATATCGAGGTACTCAGACCTACCTATACAGTTAGTCAGCCTTCTTCCACGCCAGCACAGATAGGAAACTGGACTATAGAGCCCCGGCTGCTCGATGTGTGTCTCAGAATCGTCTTACCAGACCTATCCTCCGTGACCTACTCTGACAAATACGCGTTTGATCATTTCACAGGAAAATCAGAGGTATGCAATTGGCTAGTTGGCGGTTGAGTTGAATTGAGTTGAGTTGAGTTGAGTTGAGTTGAGTTGAGTTGAGTTGAGGATGATGTCGATGTTCTTGTTCAGGCGGAGGTTTTCATGACTCGACTCGCCTTGATTTTCCGGAGGTACAGCGGTGAAGTTTTCCGACCCACTTTGGAAACTGGCATAATCGAGCATTACTTTCACGGTCCTCCGCTTTGTATCGCAGAACCCGATACGCGTTCGAATCTTTATTTCGTATACTTTACTTCGTACAATATGTTATTATCAATAGACTACAGTGTAATCAGGCTGATAGGAAATTGAAGAAACATAAAAAAACATCCTTTTCTGTCGAATATATATTGTATTATTTATGTAAGAGGCTACGATTCTTTACCTGTACGAGGCGCCTCTTACGAACCTTCAGCTCTCTCTTGCGGCAAAGAGTCTAGGAGCGAAATTGAATTATTGATATGCGACGTCTCTTTGAAGAGATCTTCCTTTATCGGCGGTTCCGGACCCCCTTCCTCTTTCTTCTCGAATACTACGCAGACTACGATCTATACTTAACGGGCATACCGATTGAAAAGACTAAGAGGATTTGCGATAAAAAGGGAACGGGTATAAGAGATGGGATAGGAAAGGCTTAATTCGATTATTCGAAACCACGATATTGCGCTTTCGAAAAAGCGTTCTGCAAATGCACCGGCTTTATATAAAAGCTACGAACGCGAGCCTTTTGAGCTTTACAATAAAAGAGAACGATGTTTATACTTATACGGATCGAGGCCCCTCGTAAGGCCACACGTATTCGACCATTGACGAGAAAAAAATGGGCGCACATTATTATGAATTGCTAAAGGGTTTGTAAAGTGATATAATTCTTTTACTCAGCACGTCGCCGTATCCTATAGGATGTCTTAGGGTCTAAGCATTGCCTTTTGGAATCTCGCCCGACGTTAACAAATACAACAACAACAACAACAATATATTGTATTATCGCGTTCAGCGACACGAAGCGAAGGACCGTAAAGCTACTGCGCGATTAAGCTAGTTTCCAGAGTGGGCCGGAGAACTTAACTGCTGTACCTCCGTTAACCTCTCCTCGTCTCCTTGCATGACTCTTGTTCTTCCGATACCTTGCACTCGGTCGACGTATCAAACAAAAAAGGCCCATCTCTTCATATTTCTCTTGAGACGTTTCGCACGGACAGTTGGGGCGTTTGGTGAGATCTGAATCATCTGATCCCGTGACCACAGCGGACTTCTCCTAAACCATAGCTTCCAATGTCAACGCCCGATAAAAACTTTAACCTCTCTGGAATTTTCATTCTGGAATCCGACAAGCCAACAATCTCAAGAGCCGCATCGGAAATAAAAGCCTTCTCCTACTAGTATATGTAGAACCTTTCAGTTGACTTTTCGTAAGGATACACATACGTTATTTATTTACGTAGTAATGTAAATTCTATTTTTGACACACATCCAGTTAAGACTTCGCTCGTCCCTGCGGAGCTCCTGGTCTGCACATCCCGGACCAGCGACGTTTCAGAACTTCAGAGCGAACTGAACAGAGCTGTCTTGGCATGTCAATTGAGTTCAACGGATGTGTTCACATCTTTCTTTTTAAACTCCCGAGTCCGTAGCCCTTTCTCCATTTCCACGATGCCTCTGCTCGTTAAGTATTGCATCTGCACAATCGCAGGATGCCGTCTGATGTCCCATCTCGGGAGAAACCCCTCCTGCCTTACTGGAACTCGAAGAAGAATGTGGCCACGAAGAGGGCGGTTCGGACCCTGACTATCGCCGTTCTGGTCGTGTGCGGGCTCCTCCTGGTCCTCAATCACAGTGTCTCCTCCCAGCCGAGTCTCGAGTTCAACTATGTGCCAAAACCTATTCGGCCGGAGAAGCACCCGGCCGAGACGGTGATCCCTCTACCACGGAAGAGCGCAAAGAAGATGCCGAAGATACAGCATAAGGCTGTGCCAGAGACCATCAGGGAGAAGAAGATCCGCGAAGCCAGGCGGGAAGAGATTCGCAATGCGTTCTTGCATACGTGGGAGGGCTATAAGGCGCACGCATGGGCGCATGATGAGCTGCGCCCGCTGGCTGGAGGATTCAAGGAGCCTTTCTGTGGGTGGGCGGCGACGATGGTGGATAGTCTGGACACCCTGTGGATCATGGGTTTGAAGGAGGAGTTTGAGCTGGCTCTGGCTGAGTTGGAGAAAGTGGATTTTACGAACAAAAAAGGCTGCGTTATCAACCTGTTCGAGACGACGATTCGGCATCTCGGGGGTCTGCTGGCGGCGTGGGATCTTAGTGGAGGCAAATATGGTATTTTGATAGAGAAGGCAGTGGAATTGGCAGAGGTGCTCTTCACGGCGTTTGATACACCGAACAGGATGCCCACCCCGCACTATCAGTGGTCTGCGTTAGTAACACCTGTTCGATTTCTCGTATCTCTGTTGACATCCACAGCACCAACCCTGCAGCGAACAATCACTTACCGAGTAATTCCGTGGTACTTGCTGTACTGGGCACTCTGTCCCTCGAATTCACTCGGTTATCGCAAATCACGGGAAATGACAAGTATTACGATGGGATCCAAAAGGTTATGGACGAGCTCGAGAAATGGCAGGACCAGACGCTGCTCCCGGGGATGTGGCCGGCGATCGTAAAATCGGACATTTATAACGAGAGCATTTCCCTGGGAGCGGCAGCGACAGGGGAGCAACAATATACCCTCGGAGCTTTGGCAGACTCGGCGTACGAGTACCTGCCAAAGCAATACATGCTTCTGGGAGGTCAATTGAAGTCGTATCAAACCATGTACGAGAAATTCGTCCGAGTGGCCAAGGAATACCTATTCTTCCGACCCATGACCATCAGCGACGAAGATATCCTCATATCGGGCACAGTCTTTAAGGCACCGGGCGGCCAACCGAGACTGTCACCCGACCTACAACATCTGTCATGCTTCACTGGTGGCATGCTAGCTATCGCAGGAAAAATATTCAACCGACCGGAGGACGTCGTTGATGGCGGGAAGCTGGCGGATGGTTGTGTCTGGGCATATCGAAACACCCTGTCCGGTATCATGCCAGAAACCTTGACTGCGGTCCCTTGCGAGAATAAGTCGAGCTGCACATGGAATTCGAATAAGTGGTATGAAGCCATCCAACGTGGGCGTGGTCATGCGGCGAGTACTACCCAGGGTAAGATCAATACCGGGGATTTGTCTCCGGGATTCGCCAAGGTGAGCGATGCTCGATACCTTTTGAGGTAATTCATATTTCCTTCCTCCCAGCTCAATCTCTACGTCCTAACGCAAATCACAGACCCGAGGCCATCGAATCAGTCTTCATCATGCACCGTATCACAGCGAACCCGTATTGGCGCGAGAGCGGGTGGAACATGTTCAAGTCCATCAACGCCTACACCGTGACAGATATCGCGCACTCAGCGCTCGATAATGTGCTCAAGGGCGCTCCGGCTCAAGTTGACGAGATGGAGAGTTTCTGGACGGCGGAAACGCTCAAGTATTTCTATCTGCTGTTTAGTGACAACGACGTCGTCAGTTTAGACGACTACGTCTTGTGAGTTACCTTCCTTCTTTCCTTCCTCCCTAGCAAATGAGATGAGAATAGAGCGGCATTGCTGACCCCGAGGCATAGAAATACCGAGGCACATCCTCTCAAGAGGCCTAGATGAGCTAGATCCTAGAACGGGGCTGTTTATTTGCATTAGAAGGGAGGTGTGGGGGGCAGCATATTTCTTTTCCAGCGAGCGCATCAAGAAAAATTGGGAACATTCGCGTTCCCATGTATTAGTAATTATGGTCGTTACTCCAAATAGAGAATTGTATATCACCTCAACCTGCTTGCTTGCTGGCTGCCAATGCCCTCTCTCTCTCTTCGCACATATCCGTCCTCCGTCCTAGGTATGCAAAGCTCTGGATTCCCATCTCTCTCCTTACTGTCATCCAACAGATGAATTATACATCTATCATTTTATTCGTTCATTCTAGGCGAAAAGTTCGAGAAGTTCGAGGAGTTTTAAGGGTTATTTGTTTGTGTATATATATATATATACGTGCTCGGTAAGCGTGATGAGCCCAGTAAGCTAGCTAGGTCAGGAATGAGAAACCTACAGCTCGATACAGGCATCTCTTTCTCTTATATTTACATATATATATACATATAAATATATATAAATGCGAAGCGGGAACTTGATTAACACTTCTCACTAACAACCTCATTTCAAGGTTCGAACGAGAAGCGAAAGATAAACGAAGAGGTCCTGCCTGTCCTTTGTATAGATAAGCATCACAGAAAAGAAGGTTGGGGGGGGGGGGAAGATAAAACACATTGCAAAGAGGGTCCAAAGAAACAAGAAGCCAACTTGAAGGTGCTGTGCAGATCCAGGGCATTCGGGAGACGAAGGACCCAAAAAAAAAGGCTATAAAGGAGATCCGGGGTAATCATGTAACTGTGCCGAATGTTCAAGTATTTCAGGTAGCGAGGAAATGTGGGGAAATCGGCTGTCGTAGGAGTGCTGTGCAGAGTGTCCAGGGCATCATATTAAATAAAAATGGATTTCTAAAACTCGTCCGAATTAGAAGGAAAACAATTCATCAAGGGTCCAAGGTACCTACTCGTCTGATGTATATGAGCAAATATAAACATAAGAATGAATAGGGATATTCATCGTATCCAGGACGTCGGGATTCCATATGGTGAATCTAGGGTTACAACCGAGTGAAGCCAAGGAAAATAGGCTCTGGGAAGTTGCCGAGAGACAAGGTCAGGAATTCTGACAGTCGGATGGCGGATAGACGAGTAGCCAAACAAAGATGCAGGGTGCAGTGAAAGAAGAATGACTGCCGGAAAATTTGACTGGCATGAAAAACCAAAATAGTAGTTAGATGTAGCGCTCAACAGAGTTCTGAACTAGGATCCTAAACGAAGGTTGTAACAGGTGTCGAATGAGCGTTCTGACATGGGGGTACTGAATTAGATCGAATTCGAGGTAACGAAGCTCGAATGAGAGAGGTGGTGTGAATCGGGGAATATTCTGGCAACTTTGACAAAGTTTGTTGTTCCTGTCCCAATGTATTTTTAGTCCTGTGCCAACGGAGTTGCAGTAAACGAATGAAGTCGACTCGTCTGAGGTGGAGAAAATGTAGAATCTTCGGGCCGCTTCCGCAAATTCATAGGTGTTGCTGGGGGTACAGATGTGGTATCGGATTTGCAAAAATCTCTGGGCAACAAACGAACCGATTCGAAGGGAGGCAAGGCTGAAAGAAAAGAGAAGAAGGCCAGGATGACTGATGGAAGTAAATTGACAGAGGGTGAAGTCAGTGAAGGCGCTCAAAATTGGCGGAGGAAGGTATGAGAAGCGTTTGACAAGGTGGTGGCCAAAGATAGAGAGGCCGAGGGGCAATAGGATGCTTGTAGTCGAAAACAGGTGATGTTTTAAGATCGTTCTCAAGCTGATATGAAGAATAGAGGGGCCGATAAGTAGGGGGGAGGGGCGAAAATGCAGGCCGACAGAACAAGCCAAGAAGCTAGGAGGAGGTTGGACATCGGAATGAGAGATTCTGAGCACCGATTTGGGGGCGGAGTAATTGGCCGAGGAATTGAGAGGGCCTAATAGGGAAAGTTGGAAATTTTGCGAGGTCGTTCGAGCTGAAGGCAGGGTCGAGATAAACAAGGTCCGCAGAGAGAAAGCAAAAGCCGTGACAATGAAAAGAAGAGGTGGTTCCGAATTCGTTTTGAAGGCAGAGAATACAGAGAGAAACGAGAAGCCATATGAGGGGGTTTCGTTAGCGCCGAATCTCCCATGAAGGCAGAGAGAGGCTCGGAAATTGAAGAGAGGCGTGGGAAATTTGAGTGGCGTGCTCAGAGATCGGAACTTCAGTGAGAGAAGTGAAAGGCGCTAGCACTGCGTAAATATTAGAGGTCGATTGCTTGCCAACGAATGGGAGTTTGCACCTGCCAAGTTCTAAATTCTTGTTCCAACGAGAAGTTCAGGGCTTGTATGCTCGGTAAACGAGCAAGCGACTAACTCAGAGGGTCAGGTCGGGATAGACAAACAGGTTTCCCCAAGGCATCAAGCCAACGACGCAGAGGGATAGGCAGAAGGAGAGACATTCGTGAAGGATCTTGAACCATCGCAAGAAACAGTAGTTAAAGGAGAGCCAGAACGCGGAAGGGAAGAGCGAGAAACAACAAATGTCTCAGAAGAGGATGCGGCGAAAGTAGACAGATGGGTGGAAGATGGAACCTGTTGGGAAGAGGGAGGAAGGTTGTTGCTTGAATTCTGGAGGACCCGGGCCCCTGCTGTGGTTCGAGGAGTGCGGCTGAATCTAGTCGAGAGTCAGCGGGAAGAGGAATAGAAAGATGTGAGGTCGTGTTTATGGTTATGGTTATGGTTATGGTTGTGATATATCTTGCACCGGCGCGTTGAATTGGTGATGACGAGCTCATGAGAGGGAAGCCACGACTATGGCCAAGGTCAAGCGATGGCAATATCACGAACAAAGAACATTGTCAGGCTAAGAGAACGGAGCAGGCAGTTCTTGCAAATTATTGACAAGATTTATAAATGAAGTCAGGCTGGTGATGTGATTTAAGTCATTGTGAGGTTATAGAGCTCAGAGGTAAAGTGGAAACTTGGGCGACTCTTGCTAAAGCGGCCGTCAAGCTTGTCGGCACATCTAGGATGGTTCGAAAGGACCAGCATTGCCAGCTGGGCTTCATCCCCTAACTGAATTTGACATCTCGAGACGATCCATGCCATCAAGATTACTAGAAATTAATCAAGAGGATTCATTGAGACGGATTCGATGGGTCATCTGACTTCACTTCCAGATATGAATCCTTTGGGAGAAAAAACACATGTGCTTGAATGAAGTGAACCTTGACTTCCTGCATTTATGAGGAGATATGAATCCCAAAGACAACATGCAACATGGCTCAACGGAAATTTGCAGTTATAATGACCAGAAGAATGGCCATTGTGAGTTCTCCAAGGTCCAATCGCTCCATATATCCTGCTACTGCTACTTGACCGGCGTCGATTGAAAACCACGAAACAATCAATGAACGGAGATTCAGACAGCCTAGCATCCATCTTTCAACTTTAGATCAGTCCAGCGAGAATTCCTACCCACTTGGGACATAGGCACACTGTTTTACGCAGAGCTGCATACTCTTTTCCAAAATCGCCACTCCGGCCGCACCCCATGATTTCTTCTCCGGAGAGCGTCGAGAATCTCGGCGTGGAACCAGCCGCAACGAGGGAGCAGATCTAGGATGAGCCGTTCAAAGGTTGGACACCAATACTCGATTGCGCTGATATCGATGTGGCTCTCCTCCTTCGGCCCGATCTCTGTCGACATACTTGGGACTTCCCACGCGCAACTACCACGGAGTAGCGAAATACGATGCAGAGATCAAGGCGCGCGCGACCGACAGCAAGATCACTTTGGAGGACGGATCAACATTAGAATAGCAGCAGATGACTCGTCCAAAGAAATCGCAATTTTGCAAAAGCCCTAGGTGGGATGAGATACGATACGGACTTGGAGCCACAAGCACATACACATAGCGAGGCATGAGGATTGCGAGGAGGATTATCAGCCGTTCAAGAATTGTGGATGTTGACCCGGCAAAACCATCAGTCCGCACGTACATGAGCACTGCTTATGGTAATGTACAACCTCACACGGCATCTCCCAGACTTCCATTACCGGGCGAGCTCACCAGTTGCAAAGTTAACCAGATCTAAGGTCTTACATCAAAATTTGATGTCACCATACATACTCTTACGCAGAACCTCTTCAAAGACTCCCCTCGATCGGCCTCGCTAATCCTCACGCAAGTGATGGTCCAAATAACTTTTCCTATCCAGGATCCCGGGCACGCTTTCCCATGCATGGCACCTGCAGCCGCTCCCACTTATGATCCCCCGCGACAACAATTGCAAGACCAAAGGCAGACCATTTCTCCCGTGTTGATATCTAAGCGAGTATACGTGCATGTATTCTCTAATAGAACAGAATCCAAAAGATATTGTGTAACAATGTTTTTAGTTATTACTGATAGCTATTTCACTTGGTGTGTTGAGGAGATGGAGCTTACTGACTTGTTGACATCGGTTATTTTGCAGCTGGACCTGGACCTGGACCTGGACCCTGCTAAGGGTGTTGGTCACACGATAAATACGTACTGTCATCGGAGTAAAGAGCCAATACGCATCGCAAGCGGCGAAGAAAGCATCCTACATAGGTGGTGCTCTGCTACACAATAAGCATACCTCGGGTCGTCGACAGTGACTCGCGAGGATGACGGGATCTGGGATACAGACTCCTGATAAGGGAAAGTTAAGCCCTCTTATCTTCTTCGTCCTTCCCTTCTTACCCCGTTGTTCCAGCCCCATTTTGTTTTTTTGCATTACTTGAGACCGGATACTCCTCGTCCACCATTACATTCTTCCGTTGGGACGCTGGTCGCGGTGAGAACTTGAGAAGTATTCCCGGGCAAGGCTTCTTCTACGGATCTTGGAAGAGGAGAATACTTATTCGCTGCGCTATATATTCGAGATTTGGCCTATGGTTACGAGTAAAACCATCAGGAGAGAAAAGCAATTATGGCGACCATAGGCCACGATGAGACGAAACTCGCAGACGAGAAAGCCTCGCTCCCATCAGCTCCCAATGGCGTCGACGACAGTCTCGCGGCTCTGGGCTACACTTCTGAGCTCAACCGGAACCGTTCGCTGTTTACGCTGTTGTTCCAGTCTCTCGCTATCGCCGCAATCCCCTATGGCGAAGGTGGGCCATTGATCTCCGCCATTTATGGAGGGGGACAACTCTCCATCTTCGTCGGTTGGCTTACGGTCCTCGTTCTTGATGAATGCGTGGCACTATCACTCAGCGAACTCGCATCTCGGTATCCAACCTCGGCCGGGCCCTATTACTGGTCTTTCCAAATCGCCAAATCGCACAAGACCATTCTATCGTTTATCACGGGTTGGATATGGCTGATAGGAAATTGGACCATCACACTCTCCGTCAATTTCGGGTTCGCGTCCTTGATCGTGGCGACGGTGTCAATGTACCACCCTGATTTCATCGCTACGGCGTGGCAACTCCTTCTCATCTTCTATGCTATATGTATTATCACGCTGATAATCTGCACATTCGGCAACCGCTTTCTACCCATGGTTGACACCATCTGCGCAGCCTGGACCGGACTATCCATCATCATCATCCTCATCGCCCTCTCGGTCAAAGCAGACGTCGGCCGACACTCCGCATCCTATGCCCTTGGTCACTACGACACCTCCCTCTCTGGCTGGGGTGGCTTCACCTTTTTCATCGGCCTCCTCCCCGCAGCTTACACATTCTCCGCCATAGGAATGATCTCCTCCATGGCGGAAGAAGTCTCCGACCCAGCGATCAAAGTCCCCCGCGCCATGTCCTTGTGCGTCCCTGTTGGCGGCATCGCAGGTCTCTTCTTCATCATCCCCATCTGCGTCACCCTGCCGCCCCTAGCAGCTATCGTCAGCGCACCTGCCGGCCAGGCCCTCCCCTACATCTTCCACGTCGTGATGGGCTCCCCCGGCGGTGGCCTCGGTCTCACGTTCCTGGTTCTGGGCATCACGATGTTCTGCAGCATCAGCATCACCGTCGCCGCGTCGCGCTGCACATGGGCATTTGCGCGGGACGACGCCATTCCCGGTTCCAAGCTCTTCGCCAGGGTCAACACGCGGCTGGGCGTACCCGTGTACGCCCTCGTCCTCGTCACGCTCGTGCAGATGCTTCTCGGGCTCGTCAACCTCGGCAGCACGTCCGCCTTCACGGCGTTCGTCTCCGTGGGCGTCATTGCGCTGGCCCTCTCCTACGCCATCCCCATCGCGCTGTCTCTGGTCTGGGATCGCAGGACGGCGGTCGCGCAGGCGAGGTGGAATTGCGGACATGTTCTTGGAACGGCGGCTAACGTCGTTGCGCTGGTCTGGATTGCGTTCGAGACCGTGTTGTTCAGCATGCCGACGGTGTTGCCGGTCACGAAAGTGAGCATGAACTATGCGAGTGTGGTCTGCGTAGGCTTCGGCGCTATCGCGGGGGTTTGGTATGCGCTGCATGCTAGGAAAGGTACGTTTAACCCTTGCCTTGCGAGATGCTTACAGGGATGTTTCAAGTTTGCTAATCCGAATTTCAGTGTACAGAGGTCCGCCTGCCTCTGATGGGCTGTAGGTTGGTCCGGGGCTTCACTTGGAGCCTTCGCTTAAATTTTGACTTCTGGAAGTGGATGTAAACAGAGAGGCTCGGAGCGAATATCCCAGAACTCGGCTCAGTCTTTGTCTTTGTCTTTGATACCCCAATCGTTTATTCAAATCAATCCCTTTCCGCATACAGTTCATGCCTAGAGAGAATACAATCCTGATAACTGCAAAGCCGTAGACAACGCTGCTCTAGCAGAATTAAATTTATACTAATGTAGCTGAGCTAAGAAGTAGGCGTGGGATCCCAGAAGATCTAAGTAAGCATCGAGACGAAGTTGTAATTTTTGGAACGTCGAAGTGGAAACTTCGGCAGACGTGAATGGGACTTCCGATATCGACAGAACCCGAAGAAGACAAGTAGCGGGGCTCGCGCTGTGTGCTTCGCTTCGCTTATCCTTTCTGCTATTAGAGTTTCGCGCAGAATTGGGTCTATAAGGACCGCTCGTTCGTATATGCGTCTCTCCTTCCATATACGAACCGAACGAGCCAGGCACCACGATACGAACTTTGTAATGCGGTCAACTGTTCGATGATCAGGAATTACGTTGGATCTTTTACTTGCACGCGTATGGGAATTTCAGGCGGGGTGGTTTAGCGAGAACTGAAAGCTTGGCTGGATGTTAGGAACAGACTTTGTTCTACCTATCTAGAGTTCGGTCTTGCTTTCGGGATTGAAAACTTGTTGTGCTCCGTGTAGATAGATAGATAGATAGATAGATAGGTAGATAGCTGCATGTTTGCTGTCTTATCAGTGCGACGCAAGCATCCCTTATATTCCTCATATTCCTTATATTCCTCATGTTCCTGATATTCCTGATGTGAATACCCCCCCCCCCCTCTCTCCCTCCGCGTCGGTGTCTCTTGATTTCATTTATCAGTCACACATTTGCTAATTTGGTGGGGGGTGTTTGTTCGTTCCAGGGGGAGTAGCTATCTGGGATAATCGCTCCGCGTTCCACGCCGCGACGCTTGATTACTGGGCGAGCGGGCGGGACATCGCGTCGTGGGTATTGGTGAGAAGCCGTACCTGGATCCGGATAGCGTGTGCGTGTCCAAGGCGGAAGCAGTCGCTGCTGCCGCAGAGGAGGTAATCGCTCAAGGCCTTTAACAAGAAAAGATAGATGGGAGTTGAGCTGATAGCGCAGATGATCTATCTCACTGAGCTTCTGTCTGTTTTTTAAATGATGATGGCTAATATTAGCTAGCGGTTTGAGACGTTATATGATGTGAATTGGGATGGAGGGGAGATACTCGCTTAATTACGACTAATGTCAATAAGGGTTATAATCTATCATCCTTATCAGCAACACGCCTTAGAAAACCAAAACACAACTTTTATTTTTTACTTTCAGACTAGCGTTCATCCGCTCTTCTGTTCGGGTTTATAACACCGTGAGCATTACGCAATAGGATAGTATTTAATCCGATATAAGTGCACAATCTTTCCAATATCCATCCGTAGTTCTACGCCTAAGAGCCCGTCTATTGGCATGCGTATGATATGATAGCGTCATCACGAACCGAACCGGCCGCCACTCCACCTCAAGCAGATCTCTACGGGAGCCAAGGGAGGAAGTTGCGGAGCCATGCCAGAGTACGGCGTAGAGTGATTTTCTCTAGACGTTGGCTCTTCGGTTTCACTTATCGGAGAGAGGGCAGCATCGTCATCTTCATCCTCGCTATCCCAATCACCTTCATCGTCTTTATCACTATGATGTTCATCATCTTCACCATCGTCTTCATCTTCGTCGTGAATCCGCGGCTGATACGTACTCGTCTGCCGACGTACCGAGCAGCTAATCCCCAACCCAGACTGCCCCCCCGTACAATCCTCTAGCGTGATGATCCTCTCTCCATTCCCGGTAGAAGAAGAAGTAGTAGAAGAAGAAAACGTCAACATCCTCTTGCTCTTCACTATACCCCTCTTCTGGTTTTCTTCTACGCGCGGACGAGCGAGCAGTGGCGGCGTGGCTGTGACGGGTGGTGGTGGTGGTAGTGGTGGTGGTGTATAGCCGAGAGAGACCTTGCTGACGCTCAACGGCGCGACGGAGAGTACTGGTGTCGATGTCCGCAGAGACGTCGCTGCTGCTGCTACTGGCTGTGCAGCTTCTTCTTCGTCTTCATATAGCAGCGACTCGGTGGAGCTGTACCATGCATCATCATCCAATGTTGTCGCCGGACTGGGAAGACCGGGTTGGGGTTTTGTCTCCTGGGATATCTCAAGTGGGGGTGGACTGCCTCTGAGAGGACGAGGCGAGTCGGGGCGCGCTGGTGCTGCATATGCATCTTTGAAGCGGAACGATAGAGGACATTTCCTGGTCGAGCAGGACGGGGACGTCGTGGACTCCACCTTCACTTCCTTTCTGCGCAGTGATGAGGAGCGTGGAGGGGGGATGATCGGCTTTCTTGCATCTGCGTTTGGAAGTCTTGCTTCGGCCACGTTTTGCTCGGGGCCTATCGGGGCGTCTAAGAAAATACTGTGCTGCTCGGAGATTCCTAACCCATTGACTCCTCGGGCCGTTGGTTTTTCATGCAAAGCTGGGGATGAAAACAAGACGAGTCTAGTCCCCAGCCTGTATTCCGGCTTGCCGGAAATATCGTACGGGGTCGCCAATGTGCGCGGCTCAAGGGATATCGGTCCAAGACTATCCTGCCTGCATTCCTGAATCGGGGACAGGCCGGCTTCGAACTTGCGTCCTCGCTTTCTCGTTCTCGCTTTGGGGAGCCGGGAAGGCATCTGCGGTGCCAGAGCAGCGCTAATTCCGCGTCTCTTCGCCTGATCTGACCTCGATGAACGTGCTGCAATGCTAGCTTCGTCGGATACAGACCATTCACGAGTGCTACTAGGCGCCCACCTGACCGTATTGCGTTGCTGAGTCTTGCGCCGATGTTCAACTTGTCGAGCACTGCGCTCAGCAGCCAGTCTCAGCCAAGTACCCGGCCAAACTTCACGCAGCCGCTCTTCATACTCATCGTGACGCTGGATTCTCCTCTCCGGCGAAAAAACTGGCTTCGGCTTCATCCCGCTCGGCCTCTTGGTCCAGACCCATGCTACCCATCTCTTCGCACGCGGCAGGATCCTCCTGAACCGTAGCGGACATACCACTTCCCGGGGTGTCATGAAATCAAGCAGTTCGCTTCCCGGGTCCTCCTTCCGCCTCTCGCCGGCTAGAAACTCGTGGATAGCCGTATCCTGCCGCCGCTTGTCGAGGAAGTAGAGATATGTCTTGCCAATACACCAACCGGCAGACACCACAGCGAAAGCAATGCCGAGACCTTTCACGAAGGACCACGGCAGCGTCTTCCTGTTGACGAAGGTGTAGATGCAGACTACCGTCGCCAGAATCAAAAAGAGGGCGAGGAAGAGGATTGGAAGAACAAGCCTGACGAAGTCTCGGAGGATGTGCCGCGGAGTACGATGCGGATGGTCGAAAGGGCGCGTGAGGAGGTCGGCTTGTCTTCTTCTTTCTCGCGAGTCGACGAGGTCTAGAATTTTGTTGGCCTTGGGAGTAGGGGTCAGAGGCATGGTGGTTCTGTTCAGAGGACTCGGAAGAGAGGGCGTAAGAGATGTCCCCTGAAGTATTTGTCCACCGAGGCGATTTTAATGAAAGAGGGTTGCATAAGAGAGAGAGAGAGAGAGAGAGAGAGCTCATCTGGACGACAGACTGCGGCATCGAGGTCCAGCCTTCGAGAAGCCACGGCGGAGACGGGGGAGTGATCCATCGAAACGCTGTCTCACTCTTTATGGCGAGACTGTTGAAAGAGTGTCTACGAGTGATGCCCCGGAATCCAGCTATAGCGTTCCAAGCGAATCAATCTGAGGCGGATTCTCTTGTTCCTATTGTGTCGAGGGCTTGGTAGACACACGAGCCCAAGACATTTTAGTATCGAGACCAGACGTCCGGATGACTTTTCGAACAAGGGACTTACTTGGTGTACCATTAGAGGTAGATGTACCATACATATTTCCCCGAAGCTGTGTCTCTTGGAGAGTTATGGGATGTATACCGATGCAACATGCTATTAGATCTAGAGCTAGCGTCAAGGCCAGATCCGATATAAAGCAGCACTTCCTCCCTCAACCATCCCAATCGTAGATCCAAAGTATGACTTGACTCATTAATTAGTAATTCAACTCCTACACTTTTTTCTTCTCGCAGCTGCAGATGAAGCCTACCCGCGAGAGAAAACACAGCTCCATCTCCCCTTTCCTCCAAAATCCAACTCCCGCTAAGAGTGGTCCTCAACAAAGGCCCGTGGTGAGCTGGGCGAAGACTATACCTCCCCCCTTCTTCCCCCCTCCTCTCCCCTCTCAAAAATCACAGCAACATCCCCATCTCCAACCCACCGATTCGCACTAATGTCATCCACCTGCTGCATCCCCCCCTCCATCCCAACATCCCGCCTTCTTCGCCCGGACCGCCCCCTCCTTCTAACCGTTGGCTGTCGGGAACTCGTCACCGTCGCCGCACGGCCCGGCTTCCTGCCGTTGCCCTTGCTATCACCATTATTGTTTTTACCAATCCGCCTATCTCGCGAACGACGAGGCTGTTCATCCCCGTTTTCCCCTTCCCCTTCCCCTTCCCCTTCCCCTTGCCCTTTTTCTCCCTCCCCTTCTCCCTCTCCACTCCTACCATTCATCCCAACCCCAAACTCCCACCCTAGCTCATAGCCACCGTAACCAAAACCAGAACCAGAACCAGAGCCACAGCCCGTGTCACCCAGAAAAGCCCTATACTGTCCCTCCGCAGGCCTCTGCACAGCAGCAGAAAGACCGGCCACCGAAGAGACAGAAGCTTGCGGTGGTGCATAGCCTCTCACCGGCGGCGGCGGGGCCGGGAGAGGAAGGAGGTGCTGGGGATCGGGCTGTGTCGGCTGTGCTTGACGAGCATCGGGCCCGGGACGACTCTCTGATCCGCATTCGGGACGGGGATCTCGTCTCGAGGTTGGAATTGGAGCTAGGATTGGAATCGGGATTGAGATTCCGTGCTGCTCATCGCGGGAGTCGGACAGCAGACGTGAATGCCGCGCCACCTCACCGGGAAGCCAGAGCGGCTTCAGCTTGCTATCTTTCCCTCTCTGCATCGGCTTCCATGTCCCCCCCTCTCCCTCTTCTCCTCCTCGCTGCTCCCGGTCCTGGCATGGATTTAGAGTATCCGGCTCCGGCTCCACGCCGTCCTCTTCCTGATTTCGCTTTCGCCTCTGCTTCTCTTTCCGCTTCTGCCGTTGCCGCAGCAGCCTCACCTCCCCCCTCTCCTCTTCCATCCTCGCCAAATCTCTCACAGGCTCCCGCTCGCGCATAGCCAATCCACAGACCACACCCCCGTTGCCACGACCATCGATCTTGACCCCATCTTCTCTCCCTTCCCCTTCCTCCCGCAATGCTATCCTCCCTATGTCTCCCGGCCCAGGATGCGCCACCAGCAGCGCGTGCTGCGACACGGGCCGAGTGAAATAGTGCGCGTCTGCGGATCTGGATCTGGCGGATTCGCGGGGACCGGGTGGCTGTGGTGCAGCGCTTCTCGAATCGTCGTTTGGCTGGAGAGATAGCGCCGATGACCCGTTACCCTGCCGCTGCTGCTGCTGCTGGTCGTGGTACTCGTGATGGAGCTCGTTGGCTTCGAGCTCGGAGACGTGGCTGTCGCGGCTTCCTCTGCTGTTGAGGTAGATGGCATTTAGATGCCGATGTTGCTGCTGCTGCTGCTGCTGCTCCGGCTCTGGATCTTGGAGGCCTCCAGACGCGAAAGGGTGTCCGCTGTGTGTATCTCCATAGCCGTTGGTGCCGAGGTGGCTCCTCGCCGTCGCTGGAGCGACGACCTCGTTTCGCTTTTGTTGGAGCTGGTGCTGATATTGATGCAGCTCTCGTCTCTGACCCTGAGCCTCAACGGCTGGACCTCCATCATACACACACCCACCCACCACTCGCGAACTCTCTACCATCCCATCCGGACAATCCGAAGCGCTCTCCTCCCGGCTCTCCTTCTTCGTACACGGAAAGAGCCAACCCATCCAGACCCGCCAGCACACATCCTCCCGATCCTCCTCCTCCACAACAAGCCCCGGATCGCAACTCTTCGTGCTCCCCGCCGTGGTATCATCAGTATTTTGAGTCGTAGCTCCTCCATGCACCACCCTCCGCTGTCTCTCCCTCTGCCTCTCTCTCCTCCGACACCACACTGCACAATTCCCCAGAACAAAAGACGCAATGAGCACCGCGAACGTGATCGTAACGCCCACCACGAACCTCACCGGCAGTGCGCGCCGCAAGGCCAGCGCGTAAACCAGGACCACTGCCGACGTGATGCAGAAGTGGATCGTCAGCAGCAGGGGCAGGATGCGCGTGGCGACGGTATGGAGGCAGGAGAAGGTGGTCGGCGGGTGTGTGCGGGGTTGGGGTTTGTCCGGGTAGCCGGTGATGACGATGGGTTGGGAAGACATTGCGATGTGAGATCTGTTTTGCTCTGCTATGCTCTGCTCTGCTATGGTGTAGTATGGTTCCGAGTCCGTCGGCCAGCTCCTCGAGCGTTGAGGATACAGATAGAGATGGAGACGGAGGTAGACGATAGACACATACTCACTCACTTGTTTCACTGATTTGCTTGCCTGTGTCTGTCTGTGGTCTATCTCTCCATCCGTCCCAAGCTTCAATCTCTTGATCGGGCTAACACTAACTAACCAACCAACCCATCAATCGACAACTATCGAATCCAGACGACGGTTCGAGGAGATAAAGAAGAAGAGAAAAAGAAGCAGAAGGAACGAAGCAAAGCCATAAATGTCTCTAAACTCTACCTACCTACCCACACCCACCCACCCAAATCCAAAACACGACGTTTCTGCACCGAGAAAGAAACGGCGTACACTTGCACTCACCCAATCCCATCCCATCCCACTCCAATCCAATCCCGTCCCACCCTTTAAAACCATACCAATGAAATGAGAAATCTGTAAAAGAAAGTCCACAAAGATCCAAACAAACAATGGCATTATCTTCTTTGTAGAAAAAAAAAAAACCCAAAACAAGATTGAAAATGCCCCTTTTCCATCTCACTCACTCACTCATTCACTCATCTCAACTCACTTGAGCCCCCTTCGTTTCGTACGTTGGTTTCTTTCCCTAGCACACATATATCTTTCTCGGCCCTTTCGCTTCTCTCAAGCTATCAGGAAGCCAGATGCAAGAAACCGTGCATAAGTAGTCTTCCCAACCCCGATGCCGCCCACCACTTGGCATTCGGAAATCCTGTTCAGTGCCCTTCTATCGTGGAAACAACAAGACAAAAGTTCCAGTACCAGAGAAGAGAACGTGGAAAACAAAACGCAGCGCCCAAAGTACAGAGAAACAGAACAATCGCAACCTTCGACCCTGTCTTCCTGAAATTAAAGCTGTGGATTTTGTTCGGCAAGAGATAGATAGCTGGAGAGCCCATCTAGCTACCAGCCCTATCAACCAGGTGATCACTCATACCATAGATCGATGTTAACTCCCGCTAGCGCCCAGAAAATGCATGCTCGGCCCTTCCTACTACCGCCTACCGTTCACCGTGACTCTGGTCAAATTCTCGTCTATCTTTTTAATCGCGCACCCAGTGGAATTCTTCGCCTAAAGTCAATGTTCATTTCCTTGTTGCTCAGCTAACATCTGGTAACCGGACTGCGATATCCCCGGATTGTGTGATATAGCGAACCCAGGGTAGAGAGGGGTATTGCAGCTGACATATGTAAGTAGGATGATATTCGGGATGGGAGGGCACGTACCTTTGGCTCAATAATCTTCAAGTACCGCACTTGAATTCCACTCGTAGTGAAATACGGAATCTCAAACTTCACACTGATCGGTCTCTTGGCGCCCTTTCCACCCATTCCCCCCATACTGCCGCCAAACCCGCCCGTCATACCACCGCCGTGCTCATCGTCACCCTTCACACTCGGTAGTCCCAGCTCGGCCCTCATCAGGAACTCCTTGCTACCTCCAAATTGCTTGATCTTCCATACGATAGCGCTCTTCTCTGGCGCATAGTGGACGCTTCCAATGTTCGTTCTAAATCGCGGGGAGTCGGCATCTTCTGGCACCGGAACCGTAATCTCGACATTGTTCGCCGTGCTCCGTCGCTTAAATTGCGCCTTGGCTTTCAGCATGTACTCGATCCGACTCCCAGAATGCGACTCCACGATACACTCAACCCAGATCAACGGCTTGACTTGCGTGTTCAGGCGGTAGGACATGAGCTCGAACTCCCCGTCGGGAGGAATGAAGGAGATGGTGCGGTCATTTTCGAATCGCGATAGGCGCACACATTGGTGGAACTTGACATCTTCCATCTCAATAGCCTTTCCTCTAGTCGCCCGGCCGGTGGTCTCGAACATGACTTTGTCGTTGAGACCTAGACGGAGTTCGGGCATTCCAGACAGATAACACTTCATCTTGATTGCACCCAAAATCTCAGACCGCAGTACATTGCCGTTCGAGGAAACGAGCAGGTTGAGGGATTCGACGACATCGAGGAAGACCTCGTTCTTACGGTATCTGATCCCTTCCGATCGCCAGGAGACGGCATTCGTGACTGCAATAGGCGGCCGTGCTTGGACCTCCAGCTTGTGCGATTCCTGTGTAATGTATTCTTGTAAGATCTTGGATTCGGTGGTCTGCGGGTGTCCAAAGTCCATCATCTCGTCGAGAAGTTCGTAGATGATGACGAAGTTATCCCGTATCGATTCCTCCTCTAGCTCTTTGAAGTACTCGGTGAACACCTCGACAATTTTGTGCAGGAAGAGGAGGATCTCGGCGGCGTTGGTGTTCCGTTTCGTGAGGGCAAGGAGGTAGAGGTTGTTGTGTCGAATGTAGAGGTACTGAGAAGGTTAGGAGCGGCCTCGACACAGCAGGTGTGACATACGTTGATGCCTTCGTCTGAGAAACATGGCGGGACCGAGGAGCTTTCTTCTTCTGCTTCGCTCAGGAGTATGGGGAACTTCTCGACGGCGGACATGGGAATGTCTCCTCTGTAGTTCCTTGCCAGAAGGGTCTACGAGTGTCATCAGTACCGCCCTGAACATTGAATTGTTTGGCTGGGCATCTGGTTGGGTCAGGGGCAATACCTTTCCCTTGAGGTCGAGGAAGAAGAGCGCAGAGGCCATGGTGGAAGTATAGAGCAGGGTAGGGTAGGGTAGGGTAGGGCGAGGAGAGGGTGCTCCTTGGTGAGATTGGAGAGCGGGAATGGCCGCTGTTTAATGGATCAGGTTCGTGGCAACATCCGTGTTGGCGGCGAATATTAGTTCGGGGTCGGATTATGGGAATGCGTGGTGGTGGTCGTCGTCGTTGTCGTCGTCGGTGCTCTAAGTTGACCCCACGTAGCCGTTGCGGTTATGCCTGGAGCTCCCAAGTCGCTTGGGAGTGAAGTTGAAAGGAAGGCTTGAGCTCGGAGCTAATCCAGATTGGTAACTAGCGCCTTTTGGATCCGTATAAGAAAATTCTCCGCTTAGGGGTAATTTTCTTCCTTTTCTTTCTCCATCGCGCCCTTCTATAGACAGTGCTACTCAACAGCACCACCGGCCTGCCGTTATGGCAGCGCCAATTCTGCTTTCAATTGATGAGGAAGTGATACTGCGGCGCGGAGACGGAATATTGAGGAACCATAAGAGCTGGCCGAGCATTTCGCAATCAACGAAGCTGTTGCTTGGGTGGCGTCAGAGGGTCCATACAGATAGGAAGAAGCTGCGGCTGATGGAAGGGGAGGAGAGGAGTAGGAGGAGGGGGAGAAGAATATATTTAAAATTATTATCATTATCATCGGTATTGTGATTAGTGTTGTTATTCTCTGCAAAGTTTGGGCTAGTCTGGCCGTCTGTATTTATTTGTCTATTCATCGATTTATTTATTGTCTAGCATCCCATCCATCTTCATACAAGTTGCGAAGTACTTTTTCCTCATCTCATGTCATGCTCTGTCGTGACCGACTGACCGCTCTCCACACGTGATCTCGTCCTATCATCAGATCACGCGCCAGCTTGCTGTCTGTGCATGTACCGGTACTCGTAATTACGTTCCGGGTTGTCGTTTGGCCAGTGATTTTTAATGCCTCGAACATAGTAGATCATGTTATTGTATGCCTCAGCCCTCTACCATGTTCGAGGCATTAAAAATCATTGATCCTTGTCGCTGTATTAGCACGTGCTCCCAACAACTGTGATAAGTAATCGTCGGCACCGATGTCTCGCATGTGACGAATATCGTCTGACCGATAGAACTTTTACCCTGACAATTGCCCTGCCACTGTATACAACACCGCAACTTTTCCTGACTATACCACATCCACACCCACATCCAATCCACATCCATATCCACATCCACATCCACATCCACATCCACATCCTCATCCCCATCCCCATCTCCATCCCCATCCCCATCCACATCCACATCTGTATCCCCCCTATCCCGCGAATGCTGTGCCATCCGCCGGTCCCTCCTATACGCCTGTTCCCTCAACGATAGATACAGTACTTATCTACCTACCGACCTCTTCGACTCGCAGAACCTCGGCGCAACCCCCTTCCCCTGCGACGGCCATGGACCAGATGGAGCCGGAGCCGGAGCACGACCACGACCACGACCACGACCACTATCATAAGCATCCTCCCCCCTCCTACTCCTGCTCGCCCTCCTCATCCACGCAGTCTCAGTTCCGTCATCACGATCCTCAGTCTCTGGCCTTTCCTCCCGTCCCGACCGCACCCATCCACCATGAGCGCACACTACCGCCGCTGCCGCTACCGCCGCCCCTTGCCCCAGCAGAACAACGATGGCGAGCAGAAGAGTATCGCTCTATCTGGCCGTCCTCGAATCCCTTGGCTGCCTACTATCAGCCAGGACCCTCGGCTCTGTCGCCAAAAACACAGACTTCAGTAGGCCTGGACTCGCCGAGGACTATGGATCTTGAACCGCCAGATAGTAGGGGGAGACGGGGTGGGAGTGTCCTGTCGATCGACGATCCGGACGTTCGACTCGCAGCTGAAGCGCTGGGAGACCTCAGAGCTGGTACGTAGATATCAGGGCACTCCACTTCGCGATCCTCGGTTGATTAACACACGAGACAGACTTCATTGGATCACCGCACCGGGACAACACATCACTACCATCCTCCTCCCCTCGAACCTTCCCCTCAGGAGGTGCACAACCCGAACCGCTCCTCTCTCTCCTCACAACCTCTCACCCTCTACTCGGCACAGCAATCGGCGGCTCTCTATCCGCTTACTCAGCCTCCAAGAATTATAGTCCGCGCTTCAAATCAAGCGCCGAATACGTTGAGCGAAGGTTCAGCCCCGTAGTCAACACAGTCGGCTCAGTCGGGCGCATGACAGGCATGGAAGGACGAGTCCGCTGGTTCCTAGGTGGCCGCCGACCATCTCACCCCCAACCCTCCGATGCTGAGTATGGTTCCGAAGGCTCTAACAAGCGGCGCAAGGTCGCCTCGGAAGACGTCGACATGGACCGTAGTGTCCCTCATGATCCATACCCTGTCAACAGACAAGAACCCCAACACAGACAACGCAGATCCAGCCAAGGCTCCACGGTCGAGAGTCTGCCCGCCTACGACGAACATCGTAGTCCCAGCTACGAAGCGAATGCGCTCGTACCGACACAACCGCATGGTGAGCCGAGCTCCCCAGGCAGCTCCTGGCAATCGCGGCTCGTTATCTCTACCAGCGGCCTCAGCGTCGCCATGAGCGAAGAGTCGCTCCGCAGCCTGAAATATTGTCTCGGCTGGCTACGCTGGGCAAACGAACACATAGGAAAAGTCATCATCGCTCTCAAAAGCGTACTCGAGCAATACGAGAATGGGCAACGGACAAATACGTCCGGCAGCATAGAAAGTGGCGATAACTCTGGTCAGCTCATTGTAAGTAGTGACGCCGAGCGCTCAGTTCTCAGCGCCAAGATCGTCGAGCTTAAAAATCACCTTTTGAAGACGTTGAAAGACGCCGTAGACATAGTGTCTAGGTACGCCGGCGGCGCCCTGCCCGAGAATGCTCGCATCCTCGTGCGTCGCCATCTCACATCTTTACCTCGACGCTTCCTGCTCGCGACCTCGCGCACGGCAGAGGGTGCGCGGAGCGCGGAGACGAAAGTCACGCAAAGCGCTAATCGCGCATTGGTCTTGGCGAAAGAGGGCCTCGATATGATGGCCCAGGTATCCGGTGTGCTGGATGGCACCATTGTCAGCGCGGAGGAGTGGTGCGAACGTCTTGGGCGGTCGAAGCGTGAGGATGCGGAGAAGGAGCCGATGGAAAAGTCGCCTGCGGTTTTGCCTCCTATGCAAGACAACAGGTACACGAATGAGAGTCTGGGGCAGTTACCGGATGTGAAGATGGGTTGAAAATTCGCCCTTGCACTTCTCATCTGTGCGACACGATCTCGTCTGTTTGGTACGAAAACTGGTCTTGCGTATGTTTGGTTTGGTTTGGTTTTGGAGTCGCTGGAAGGAATGGTGTGTAAGGATCCAACGGTGACGACGATGATCAGAATTATTAGGATTTGGTATGATCGCATTGGACGAAAGGAGTCAACAGGAGCTACGAACGCTGCTGTTTTATGTGTGCTTGAACTCGGCTTGGTCTGTCTATACTGACCGACCGACTTGTTGATATTGAAGCTTGGAAAGCCCTCATCGGATATTATTTGTCTGCTTTTTATATACCATTCAAACTTGCAGTTGGGAAGGCTTCGCGGGTTACAAAAAAAAAATAGGATACATAGAAACTAAAGTCAAAAAGGTAAAATGAAATTATAAAAATTGACTTGTACATGCAATACGACATTATTGAAATTTTATTGTAATTTTAGATGCTTGCTTGCTCTCTTACCTACTCGCTCATCTCTTTCTTTCTTTTCTGTATTTTGAACCTCGATATTTGGAAGGGGGGGGGGC